GATTTCTTGCGGTTCGCGGAGAAATCTATCTCCACCACGAGCACGTTTTTCTTGTAACCATGGCGATGTGCTTGCGACGACAATGGAGAGGAATCCGTGCTGACTTATGTAATAAATAGGCTATTTATTGGAAACTTCAAGATACAAAAATGTACACAATGCAGATAATGTGTATAAAAAGTACAGTACTAGTTGAGTATAATGTTTAAAGAACGAAAGCAATCTCTATTTAGATTCTATCTTTTTTATGATGCGTACAAAAGTGTATCTATATGCAGTCTAGTAATAAATCTCGTACCAGTGATTTATGATCAATGTTCGATTGCCAACATATTCTGATCAAATTTATGATTCGAACGACTCGTAGGCTTTGTAAAATCTAAATCTTTCTTGATTGGCATAATCTTTGAAGCGTGGAGAAATGTCGTGTCAATACTGTAGCAGGAAAGGCTAATGGATGAGAATGAAGGCAAAAAATAGATTGGAAAGTCTATAATTTAGTTTCTTCGAACTTTGCAACGAATATTAATTTTGTTATATGTAAAGAAGTTGAAGAGAAGAATAGAATGTATGTAGGTAATTCTTAGATATGGCATCAGAGTTAGAAGTAGATACATAATTTTTCTTCTCTTTAATTAGAAATTATTTTTAGGGTTTTACGAATCTCTTTTTTTCCAAAAAGCAATAACGAACGTCTTCTGTACAGGTGCACGTGGTGTTGACGTGTTCTGCGAACATTCATTGTTGTTCGCCAGCTTGTTCGTTGCATTCCACGAAGCGAGCCAACGTCAAAGATAAAGAATACCAAATAAAGAAAATATATCGACCAAAGATAAAGAATAGCGTGTTGAAAATCGAGTCTCCGCGTGAACAAATAACCAGCCGATAATTGCTGGAATTCGTGTGATAAATGTCGAAAGAGAAGAAACATTGAAAGAGAATAATTAATGACACTTTTTCTTCACCAAAAGATGCTGCTTTTCTGACCGATATTCGAATCATCATCAGGTACCCTGCTACATATCCCAGTAACATTATCCATTATCCAGTTTCATTCTCACAGAAATATACATTTCCTTTCCAGGAAACCGTCAGCCCTTTGTGAAAACAAATCCGAGCAAAAGCTGTTCCATTTCACAAACTACGAATCTACCTTTGTTTCCTGCCGCTCCTTGTTGCGATGCTTCAATTACCTTCCAAAGATACCATCCGCTTAAGACTCGTATCGTGAAAAAGGAAAAAAAAAAAATACTATGTCAACTACGTGCTTGATCGTGAAGAGCCACCCGCGTACAAAAGTCGAGCGAAGCGGCAGTTGTGGCAGGGAATTTGGTAGGGCAATAGTGCCGATAGAGGAATTAGATTACCGGCATCGATTTAGAAGAATTATTTCAAAAATATATCGGCGAGGCAAAGTGCAAGTTCGGCCCTGGTTATGCAGTTCATTCACACGGCGCTGTGTCTCGCTAAATATAATATGGCGGTGACCCCGGTCCTCCACCGTTGACTCCCCCCTCCCCCCTCCTTTCCCCCCGGTCCCTTCGATTCCCCCCTCCTACTCCCTTCGATGCTTCCCTAATTCAACGCCCCTGTGATTACGTCTCTGCCCCCGCGTCTCTCCTCGTTCCCGGGACCATTCCACTCCGCTTCTTCGTACGTATGTATTCCCTTCTCTCTTCCTTTCTCTCCACTTCGCTTAACTTCCTTTCTTTTCTCTTTCCTCCTCCTCCTCCTCCTCCTTCCTCTCCCCCTCCCCCCTCTCCGCGTTCCCTCCCCTCCCTCTGATGCTGGTCTTTTGCCCCTAGAGCTTTCTATTCTTCGTCGCTCAAGGAAGAAAAACCGAACGAGAAGAGGCCTCTGATCCTCTTATCTTCCCTGTTACTTTTACGGTTGTTCCAGTCGTGCCAACTGTCAACGATTGGTAGACATGCCCGCGAGCTTCCGAGCTTTATGCACTTAACGTTACGTCCTACGAATCTCACGGTAGAAAACTTCAGGAGTTCCGTCTGGATGCAGGGAATTTTGATTGAAAATCGATCAGAGTCAGACCGGGATGCGATCCGTTTCTCTCACAATTAACAGATTTTTGGGACAGATCCCGTCTTTAACGATCCGGGAGAAATTTGAGTTTGAAAATTTTTAGAGGAGAGACTTTGTTTCTCTTGATAGCTCGCCGATCTTTCCAAAAAAATGACGATCGACTAGTAGTTACTAAAAAGTTTTCTCTTTCTCTTTTTTTTTTTTTTTTGTTTCTCTTTATGGTAGGAGGAGACGGAGGATGAGACGATTGCCGATGGGAATCGAGAGAGGAGTGCAGCTTTTCGTGCAGCGTACATAATTCCCGCTCGACTACTCCTGCATCCAGGTCCACCGCCGGTCTTCCAGACTTTTAAGATTCGTCCACAACGAAGTCTCAACTTCCTCCATATCTCTTTCCCCCGTGAAGGGGGAACACGCGAAAGCTTTGGAAATTTGCAATTCAAATTCACGGTGAATTTGTCTATAAACAATGCCCAAGGTAAAATTAACATTACTACACTACCGAGGTTGATTAGATTCAAATCGATTAGATCAAAAATCAATTGTTCGAGTACACCGTGTTTTTTTTTTTTTTTTTGGATCTAGAACACGCGACCCACGTGTTGATCCGGGATATTTTCTAATCTGTCGTGCATATTTCAGGTGCAGATTGCAAAGCGTAGTCGGTCAGTTGGAAACGGTGCCTAACATCCCTTAGGGCCGCGTGAGGAGAACTGCAGAGGCCATTCAACTGTCTACGAGCGAAGCAGGCAGGGGGATTTTTACAACGCCCGGATTCTCTCTACCTACTCTCCCGTATTCTTCTTGCTCTTCTTTCCTCTCTCCATCTTCTTCATCCTCTTCTTCGTCTTGTTTCTTGTAGGATAGCCCCGGCCCTCTTTTTCTATGCCCTCCTGATCTCTCTACCCGGCAACGGCGTGGTAAGCTACAGGCCCACGCGTGAGAAGCCTGATCCTGAGCCCTTCAGAGTTTTTCATATAAGGGATAATGCGTCTCTGGATAATAATAACTTTAGAACATGCTTGACGATCCGTAGGTTTGTTAATGCTCAACATTAACGTTTGATGATTTGCTGGATGGTTCGTTCACTGTCTAGGAGAATCAGAGATTGTCCAAGTCTATTGAAGGAGCAGCGATTTCAGCTGTTAACTCGTCAGCTTAAACGAATCCCTTAACCTCGTTAACGTGTCATTCGTTTCTTCCGTTTGGTCAGCCAGCCTTATGGAAGAAAGATCGAAGAGACGGTTATACACACAGCGGCTACGTTTATTTCGTTGTGCGATTAAATGTAATTTCATTAATTTTCAGATGTAGTCGCACCCGAGCGGACAATAGGAAGCAGAGAAAGGGAGACTGGAAACGCCGCAGCGCGGAACGATCCAGCGATAGCCGTTATCAGCTATACTTGATGATACTAACCCGTAGATCCGAACTTGTGGGCTTTTTTATATGTATACCGCAAGCTCCTATCTACCGGTACATGTAGTCAGGCCAGCATTTAAGCTTTTCGACGGAAACCTACTCCTTCTCCTTCACACACCCCTCTGCCCTCCTGAAAGCCCGCAGCACTTCCGGCCATCAACGTGTAGATTCTTTCACCAAACAATTTTTCTCGGTCGTGGTATAAAACCGTGGAGTGAGAGAGAGAAAGAGAGAGAGAGAGACGAATGAAATTGTGGATGAAAGGACCGATATCTATCTGTCATTTACTGGTCAATTAATTACGAACAATATTTCTGTAAAATCGAAGCGCTGTAAATCTTGAAACATAGGATATACCTTCGACGAAAATTAATTTCGGCGCTCTTGTGTTCCGAGATTGGACAGAACATGCATCTGCTCGATATTTTATATGATTATTTCTCAATAAACATCTATGTCATTGTGCATTGTTATAAACATTCATGATACTCTGTACATAAATGTCCACGAAGGGGACGATCACGAAGAGGACAGAGCCGCATCAGCGACGACGCCTGGGTGAGGTAGTAGGTTGTATAGTAGGGAATGGAAATTCGCGATATACGAAGTCCACTGTACAACTTGCTAACTTTCCCGGTCGTCGACGCCGCAACGTTTCATCATCCAGCAACATCTTCAAGAGGTCGTTAAACCGTTATTGAAAAGGAAAACGAAAGTAGTAATTTTATCTCGAGCGTACGCTGGTAATGTCGCGTGTGTGCAGACAGTTTTCTCAAAGAAGAACGAAGATGATCTACCACCATAAGTGATGACGATGTAGTACCCGTTTAGACATTATTCTAAGTTATTTTAGTATCTATAACGTAACTATGAAATGAGGAGATTATTAAAAAATATATATAGAAGGTGGTGGCTCCTCTTGAACGGTGAAAACAATAAATGCGTGGATGTGTGTGAGATTAAATAGCGAATAAAAAAGGGAGAGAAAATGAAATGAGAAAAAGGGCAATGGCGGGCGGGCTGATTGTAAAGCCTGCCGCGTCGCCGGTCCCCTGAGACCCTAACTTGTGACGTCGCGACCGATATCTCACAGGCTAGATTCTCTGGTATTGGCGATGAGTGCTGCCTTTTGCCGATCAAAAGTCAGTCCTAGTCATCAGAGATAGAAAACGGCCGGAAACGTCGACGCTCTGTAAGCGGGCAAGTTAAAAGAGGCTCGACATTCAAAGGTCTATAATCCACCATTTGCGTGGGTGCATCTTGAAAAATTAATGGAGTTTGCCCTGTGAATATATAATGTTTTAATGCTATAATTTAATGTAGTACCAGAGTATTTTGTAAAACGAGAGAGAAAGTATTTTTAAAAAGATACGGTTATATATTCACGTTAAGATACTTGGATGCATTGCGGATTTTAAGTATCATGCTTATAGGAATTACGCAATTTTACAGATTATAATTTTTACTACTTAATAAATATCACGAACGGCATATTACAGTAAGGGTGTATTTAATTGCGACAGAAAGAGAAATAAACGTTTATCCAATGATCTCTCTGTATTTCGATGTATAATTCGATTGTCTGAATAATAATCTGTTCCCCATTTTCTTTTATCTTCCATTAAATATGTACAATGATTGATACAAATCACGTTGAAAGTACAATGATAAAATTCACTGTGGTGATAAAAAAATAGCATGTCATCAGAAATATTTTGTGCCCTCTTCCACCAATCTGCTCAGTTCTGCTGCCGAATAACCCAAAACTTGCTTCAGGTCGCATACGAATTTGTATACGAAGCGTTTCCCATGCACCTTGGATATCATATCTCCATCATAATAATAACGCAATGCACGGCTGAGTTTCTCATAATTCATCGAAGGTTTGTTTTTACGGGCTCCCCAAAGTTGTGCCACCGCTTCTGGTTGATTCAATTTAAACTCCCCTTCTGTCCCAATCCATTGAATGGCGCCTCTGTGTTCGCGGTCTGTCAGCAATTCCAACAGGAATTGCCACAACTGTATTTGACCGCTGTTAACCGAACGACTTGAGGTTGCTATACTGATCGGCGTGGAGTCGATGTTCTCTAAAGGAACGCTAACTACTCGTGCTTGTTGATTCACTACTGGTCGTGTCTTCGTCGCTTTTTGGTTGCGAACTTTTATAGTTCTATCCACGTTATTTTCCGTAGGTGATGCTGGTGGATCCTTTTGAACAACAGCTGTAAATTACAGAATTAATCAAACATTCGATCACAATTTGATAGTATTTTTTTTTTTTTTTTTTTGACAAATATACAGACCGACAAATTTACACTTTCGAAGTAACTCTAAATGGGTCCAAAACACTTCTCCGGGATCTAGAGGCACTTTAGCTTGGAATTCTTCCAGCGTGAGATTACACAATTGTTGACCCGTAATGTTCCAATCTGCTAATCTCACCGAGGCCAAATTGAACTGCCTAACTGCCCATTGAAGCCAATGTTTGACATGTGTTTGTGTCCATTCTTTTGGATCGGCTGGAATTTTTAACCGTTCCTGTATAATATATATGTGTTACCATACATAAAGTAAAGTTAATCTGATGCTTAATTTTCAATAAATTATACCTGTTCTTTCTTATATTGAGGATCAACCATCCATCTTATGACATTTCGTTTGCTATCTTCATTAACTGGTGTGGATGCTAAATAGCGAAAAATATATACACATTAAAAGAACTCGCTAACAATAATTCATAAATTTTCTCTACATACTATTATTTTCTGCTAATTCTATATAATCCTCTGCAGGTTTTAAAACATCCACTATATTTATTCTCCTGTGCGTTGCTTTTATCTGAACATTTACTTGAACCAATCCTTCTCCTTGCACGCACTGATCAACTAAGTTTTTGTGACTTTCTAACTAAAAAAAAAAAAAAAGAAAGTAGAAAATACAACCATATAAGCGTAAGTAGATTTGTTATCAAACCTGTCGCTTACCATTTGTGCATCTTGCAACCAAAATGAATAATCTGTCAACTCTACCCCGAGTCTTTGTTCCAAGAGATTTCTCAAGGTAGAGAGAGGCTCTCTGATATCCATATGTTGCATTAAGATACCTTCATTGCAATCCTCACCATTTGCAGATCCTTCCAATGCAAAACTTGGCTCTACCTCTAAATCAGAGCTTTCTTGTTGTAACTGGGCCATTATATCGTTCTCTTGCGATAACATAGCTTCTGGCTCCATTTTAATCCGTTTTATCATAGCATAATCAGAATCATCGTCTGTGTCGAAACTATTTGAAATAAATTATAAGTTTCTAGAATCAGTATTACTCTTCAATAATATTATATGACTAAAATGACAAAACATGATCAAATACTAAAGCATTTGAAACATTTCGTTTTTACTTTAATTATTAGATTATTTCAAAAGGAATACTGCAAAGAACATATTTGTTTGTCTTCTAACAAATACAATACGTTTTATTAGTCCTAGTGAGGAGCTAGAAGAAACTGACCTCTTATCGCTGCTTTTCCGTCTGTTTTCCAAATCCATAAGAACAGAAAAGTACAATTGGGTTTTGTCGAGAAAATATGACAACTTTAACCTTTACAAAATAATCACTCTTTTTTAGACAGTTGCAGCCATCTTGTAATAGGTATATAATCAGTCATGGACTACGAAATGCCATAGACGCGTCGAGTTGAAATTTAAAAACAGCTTTTTTTGTAGATCGCGCTGCTGTGAAAGTGCACTGTATCCGCAAACTACATCTAGGGATTTTTAACTTGACGATTATCCTGAATTTATTTGAAAGGTCAGTATTTACATGTTGGTGTTTACATATTTCATTTCTCCAATTGATCAAAGCAATTAATTTAAATATTCTTAGATGTAAGCAAGAAAAATGTGAACGCAAAGAAATTATAAACAGTATATAATATATTGCTTGTATGAGGTATTAAATAACGATCAATACATATGCTATATTAATTTAATTTGCATTTCTTCCACACAATCAGATGTGTTAACAATAAATATTTACAATATATACTTATATTATTTATTTATTGAATCTTATTCTTGTTATACGAAGAACAATTCAATAATTGGTTATTATAATATATTATTATTAATAATATTAAATATAATATATATATATATATATATATATATATATATATATATATATAAGAATAAAATTGAGTAAATGTACATATATATATATGAATCAAATGATTGTATATATATATATGAATCAAATGATTGTACATTTACTAAATTTTATTTTTGATATATGAAGAACAATTCAATAAATGGTTACAATGAATTGGCAGTGATATTTTTATATAATCACAATTGTCTAATATTATGCAACATAGAGAGCAATTTCTTAATATAATTGAGCTAATTAGAGAAAAGTACAAGTCATTTTCAGAAGCATCAAAGTCCAATATAATAAAACAATAAAAAACAAAATTTAACAAGAATTTTATTTTTACAATTAATCAATTCAAGGTATGCCTAGTAATACAATAATGATTCACTAACTACCCAGAAGATCGAGACCTTATTTAGTCAATAAAGAAATGTTTTTACAAAATCTTAAATATAAATTCGAGTCGGATATAAATACCTGATACATTTGTTTATTTAATAATTTAATTTGTTTATTCCTTATGAGGAATTTAAATAAATTTAATTAGTACTGATAAAATTAGTTAAGTACATAAAAATGTACATAAAAAGTTATTTTTAGTTATGATGTTTTGTTAATCATTTATATCTAGTAATAAGTTCATAATTTTGGAGGTAGAACTAAATTACTATTTGTTTAAGCAACGCCTTGAATGAAAAATTGTTTGTTTCGTCTATTAAACTTAAAACAGATTGCCCAGAAAAGTTCGGTAAATTCGCGATTGCACCACATTCTAACAATTTTTGTGCTACTAATGTGTAATTATTTTCAAGAGCATGAAAGAATGGCGTTCTTCCCGAACGATGATCCTTCAAATTTATGTCTGCTCCCACTTCTACCAAAGCAATAACTCCATCTAAGAAGCCATTTAGTGCACAATAATGCAAAGGAGCTAATCCTTAAAAACAGATAATTAAAAATTTGACATTGTTATTCATTTCATTTTAAATGCTTACCTGATGAATCTTCTCTATTTAATAGCTGAGGTTCTGTAACATAATTTAGAAGTAATGGTAAAAGTGGTGATGATTGTTTGCTGGCTAAAAGTACTGCGGAGTCACAAATAAGTTCAGATGAAATTGGTTTCGCCCCAGCTTCTAGTAGCAACTTTACTATACTTTCGGATGCATTATACTGAATTCCTAATTCCAAACTTGTCTAAAAAGATATATATATATATTTATATTAGATAGTAGATATATATATTCATTTTTATTTTTTTAATTATATTAATGAGATATGAATTTACCATTCCATCTTCTGTTAATACATCAATACTAGTTTTTGAAGCTCTTAAAATTAACAATAGTTTTTGCACCTCACATAGTTGATTATTCACCACTGCTCGATGTATATTTAACATTCCATTATTATCACAATATTGCAATTCGTCATAGTCTTTTTTTAATTGTGCAGCAACTTTTTTACATAAGGAATGTGGTGTTGATAATATTTTTTGCACCTTGTTTATGTCGCTATTGTTATTGAAAATCTCATTAAAATAATTATCAATGTCTAATGTATCTTGTGGGACCACCATATGAGGGCCTTCTAATATAGAGAATAAATCCGTATTGTAGACATTATTATGCAATTTAGATTCAGTCTGTATTTGCATTTCTGTTTGAGTTTGTACTTCTTTCATGACAGGGCAAAGATTAACAGTTGAACGCTCTATTTGCTTTATTCTTTTTATAGTAGACATAGTTTTTTTCACTAGTACAAAACTTTGCCTATCAAGAAGTCCAAATACATCAGTTTGAATCTGAGAATCATGAACTGTTCTTAATCTTTCAGATGGAATAATTGGGACTTGTTTCGCTATACCTACTCCACACTCTGCAAGGGCATGCAAAGCTTTAATTCGAAGTTGTTCATCTTTTACGCTGGTCAGTGCTTCTTTAATTACATTTAAATATTCTGATAATTTTTCTTTTTTTTCATTATCTTTTTTCCCATCATGACTTATATCAAATTCAGGGTTTTCATTTAGTACATTATTTTTACAAATTATCTCATTTCTATCAAAATTTGGCTTTGTATTTACCTTAACAAATACACTTTGAGTTTCATTGTCAACATCTTTGTTATTCATAGATATTATAGTACATTTTTTCTCTTGAACATTATTATAATGTTGACCCGCAATTTCATTTTTTTCGCATACTATTACAACATCATCATTATCAAAATCATTTACATTATTATCACATCTTGTTGGCTCTTTTAAAATACTTGCGTGTTTTTGATTTTCACTACTTTCCAGATTAAGTGAATTATTATTTGATGCATTTTCAATTCTTTTTGCAGAATGATTCCATTCATTATTTTTCAAAAGAATACGTTTTCTTTTTCTTATATTTTCATGAGATAGAGTATTGTTTTCTTTTTCTTGCCTTTTTATTTTATTAATATTAACTTTAGTTGGAGGAATCTGTAACCTCTCGCATCTTACTATTGGAAACTTTGATTCTGCTAATTCGATCAACGAGCTTTTAACATCCGTTACATTTGTCTTTTCTAAAGTATCATTATTCTTATTTTCTATACATTTTTCATTATTTTTGAAAATATGTTCGTCTCTAACCTCTTGTTCATTTATCAAAACTAAAGTCTTTTCTGGTTCTGTAATTTTTTTTGAGACGGCTGGAACATTATGCAATAATCTGTACCCATTGTCATTTAGTGGACTATTACTTTGATTCATCTTATTTACTTTGCTTAAAACTTCATGCTTCTGAATCACATTCTTATTTTTATTTCGAGCCACGGGAATTTTACTATGAGAAACAACAAACTGTTGTTTTATGGGACAGTGTAATTCTCTAATACATTTCTGCGTTTCCCTACATAATTGAGATCCTAATGGTTTCACTATTTTCACAGTGTTACTTTGTGAGGAAGTAGAAAGACCAGCAACACTATTCTTCATACAATTTGAAGCTTGTTGGACTTTGACAATCTGTGGGACGTTTAATAAATTCTTTTGATCGTTAGTCAGCAGCTGTACCTTAACTTCTCCCAAATCGATGCCATCTTTTGTTTTTATTCTTAATTTCGTTATTCCATTAGTAGCTAGTACCTTCTTACTCTTCAATCCGTTTAAACTGCTTTGCACGCTCGTGTTTGACGTGGTGAACTTTTCGAATACCGAATTACATTTAGGCGTGTTGATCATGCTGGGAAACTTGTGCGGCAAGGTGAATTCCCGCCTGCATTCTATTATTGGTCTACCGCCAATGCGCTGCAGACGGCGTTTCTTTAAAATCGACGGGAGCGGAGGATCCATTTGGATGCAATACTGTAGGCAGTGTTTTCTATTTAGACAATTATTACGATGCTGATATTATGTTCAAATCACGAAATATGCTACACATAACCTTCGTACACATAAACGATAAAATGCTACTCAACATGTTCAATTACTTTGGTTGATCCTTCATACGAGTTAGTTCGTTCTGATTAGTTTTCGTATGTTATTCGACTAAATAAAATTAGTCGAACTGCAGTTTAGCAAAATATGCATTTGAGATTTCTTTTATATAGAACGGGACATCCCTCAATCGAGATGTACTGCCATCTATTTTGTAAAAACGTACGTTTCATTTTTGGAATCAAGAGAAATAGTAACATTTTGTTTCATGATTCCTCCTGAAACAAGGAGTGCATGTCAATTGATGAACATCAAATTCTCTAGAGGAAGTAAAAATCGCGGATATAAAAGCTAATTTTCGTTAATACGAAAGCGTTGAATGACAGAGAGACTGGTAAGGTGATAAATAAATTTCGAAAAGTCGTAATTGTCATAATCGAATGCGTGTTTCTTCTAGAATTTTATAAATAACGAATTTTTTTCTTTATTCACAGAATATCTCCTTGAGATTTATAGATTATTAAATAATTAAAGTTATTAAATAACTCATTTGCTGATATTTAGGGATTGTGTGTTTCAATTGTTGGTACTGATCAACTGCTACTATTTTTCGACTGTATTACGTCATATTCAATGAATCGATCCAGGTGAGGTACGTGAAATTAAAAGATCGAAATCCAAGAGAAATAGCAGTTAAAGATCCAAGAAGAATTGCGATCGAAATTCGTAATTTTGAGAAATTCGAACAAAAAACGAGAAGTCACATTTTCAATAATAATCTTTCGAATAATAATCTCTCAGGTAGGAAAATTAAATGTAGTTACTAATAGTAAATGGTATAATGTAAATATAATATAGTACGTTATATTTTCTATTATGGTATAGTATATTATATTTCGCAAAATAAGTATAGTATTAGAAATATACCTAAAAATATATAATATACATATATATATATATATATATATATATATATATATATATATATTATATAATGAATATATTAAATATATTATGGAATACGTATAATATAGTACATATTATATTACATTATGAATAATTACATATACGGTGTTTCAAAAATTGTGAGTTTTGGAAAGAAAAAAAATACATGAAATATACAATATAATATCATACCAGTACTATGTTCTGGATTAAGAGTGCTATTTTTTGGACGAGATTCATTGGTAAATGAAACGTTTCACGAGCTACAACCTTGCGATTTTTAAATTCACTAACATTGTTGGTAATTTATTTTGCAAGATGGCTCGGTTTGCCAACTCGATAGCCGACGAAGCTGCGCAGCTCGATCGAGCGACGCCGAGCGTCCGTCAAGTGTGTGTTCAATCACTGTTCGAGGTGTGCGCCACGTGTTCCCGCGACATTGCGCAAACAGAGAGAGGGAAAACCCACTGAGAGAGGGAGAGAGAAATGCCAGCTGTGCTTAAATTCTATCCGTGGCAGTGGCCGCAAATAGCAATTAGTCGGGAGTATCGTGTCAACTGGCTGCGCGAACGTATGGAGTGAGAGCACCGGGAAGTCATCATCTAAAAGAGGATCCGTTCGCGCAATCATGGACGATCGACAGAACAGCCGTGAAGTGGTCACCATATTGTTCCTCTGTCTGCTCTGGTACGGAATCTCGAGCAGCAGCAACGTCGTCGGCAAGATGCTGCTGTCGGAATTTCCCTACCCGATGACAGTGACCATGGTCCAGTTAACATCGATCACCGTTTACTCAGGCCCGTTCTTTAATCTGTGGGGCGTGAGGAAGTATTCCAGTGACATCCCCTGGGGATACTATCTGCGGCTGATCGTGCCGCTCGCCTTTGGCAAGTTCCTCGCGAACGTGTTCAGCCACGTCAGCATTTGGAAAGTGCCCGTCTCGTACGCTCATACTGGTATGAAATATTATTTTGACAGTCACGTGTGTTACACGTGGCCGTTTTTAAAAATAAAACAAGCCTCCCTTCACTTCCGAACGCGCGCGCCAAGTTCGTTCGATGCCACGATCCTTCCATCGCGACAGTCACAATGAATTTGATTTGATTTGATTTTCATTGATCTATTGTTTGTTTGTGTGTGTATATATATATATATATATATATATATATTCAAATGTTTGAAGAGAAATGCTTCGACATTTGTGTTAATTGTTTTCTGAAATTTTTTAAATATATAATTTGGAATAGATTTTGTTTGACATTGAGAAATAAGTTCACTAATGCATGGAATTAGAGATGAGTCATTTGTGTAGTTTTGCACTCTTATCTAAGAGTTGGAAATGAGCTATTTGTGTAACTGCACTTTTATCTAGTAGATACACAGATTTCCTCTGATCATTAGATGTAACATCATAGATAAATAATTCTGATGTATGCATTTTTGAAGTAGTTCCTATACATATGTTGCTTTGTTTCATTTTGTAAGTATCATATATTAACTGAAGTTTGGCTCTGTCCCAGTAAAGGCTACAATGCCGTTCTTCACGGTGTTCCTGTCAAGAATCATATTGAAGGAAAAGCAGACTTGGAAAGTGTATCTTAGTCTAGTCCCGATTGTGGTGGGTGTGGCTGTAGCCACCCTTACAGAACTCAGTTTCAATATGATCGGCTTGTTGAGTGCCTTAGCATCTACCATGGCATTCTCGTTGCAGAACATTTACTCAAAGAAGGTACTTTTTCTGATTTAAAGCTCGCCTTATGTTTATGGATCGACGAGATAACTAATATGTATTTGTTTTCAGGTGCTTCACGACACTGGGATACATCATCTGAGGCTTCTGTTCATCTTAGGCCGTCTGGCGCTAATATTATTTTCTCCTATATGGCTATTGTACGATCTGAGGAGATTAATATACGATCCAGTTACTGGTGAATCAGCCGACTTAAATTACTACATAATAGGTCTATTATTCCTGGATGGTGTGTTGAACTGGTTTCAAAACATTATCGCGTTCTCCGTACTGTCTATTGTTACCCCTTTAACTTATGCAGTGGCTAGCGCAAGCAAACGTATATTCGTAATCGCGGTAACATTGTTGGTGCTTGGAAATCCAGTGACATGGTTGAACATATTCGGCATGACATTGGCCATTCTTGGTGTGTTGTACTACAATAAGGCGAAGTACGATCAGAGAATGGAGAAAGAAAGTCTTCCGAAGTATTACGATAAAAACGGTAGCAGTAGTTCCTTTGTGGTAAACGGATGGACTGGAACAAAGCAGCAGTTGCTTGCAGTCTAGTCTTTTTTTAACTCGTTTTACACTTGACAAATTCATATGAGTTTTTTCTGTTGTTACATAGTATTTCAGTCATAGTGATTGGGGAAGTCATAAGAGGGAATGGATGTAGCATTCCAACAAAAACGATCGCAGATCAAAACTCATATGATGATACAAATATTTATGTACATGTATACATACATTTTATTAGTATTATTATTCTGCGCAAAAGGTGTAATTCATCAAATTTGATTATTTTTATCTTTGTTTGGTTTAGACACAATTTTAATACGATGCTTCTCACAGGCAGAGTAGACTTGCTGGCAAGATGGGACTATATAATTCGCGAAATCATTAGCGTTCAGTGCTAATTGCTGGGTCAATTAGCCTCTAAAATCAATTACATTCCCCCGTCGCGATAACAATGGCGAATAGATAGAAATCGGATATTTCAATTGTACTCAATCGATATTGAGCAATGTATACATAGTATTGATTAGGTTTTGAGTTAAATACCTTCGTCCAGTTACTAGCTCGGATATTGCGATTCAATTTCATCAGCTCTTTAGGTTGTTACAACAATTTAACCCTCTATGAAAATTCATTTTAATAATACTCTCTAGACTTTCGCTTGTAAAGAATATTGCCACTATAATAATATTTTTTTCGTATATATATATATACATACTGTATATACTAATTTATAAAGTTTGAAAGTATAATTGACGGAACGAATAGAGTAAGGTTTGAAAGATGACAAGATCAGGACTGATCCTTTCTAGGTTTTAATTTAATTAAATTACATTCACTAAACTCAGTCGTAGATGTCGAGTGCCTTATTATATTAATTCCAGCAATTATACCATCCTCTAGGACTCTAATTCGTAGAGGGTTAAACAAGTGTCACTTGACGATTTTCAAGAGTGTGTTCAAGTATGGTGTGCGTGAATTGTATGCAGGAGAAGATGTTCTAGCTGAAAGCAATCTATACATTTATTTTTATAAATAAAATACAGGTGTGTACAAAAATATACCAGATATGTTCACCACCGTTTTCCTTTGTTACACCGTACCGTCACGTCCGCTTGTTCTCCTTCACAGAGTTTTCATGATATTAGGAGGAGATACCGGCCGGGCTATAGTGAGATCCAAACGTGGACCGGCCGCAGCGATCAACGGGACAGCCAAGCAACAGTCACAGTCCTCCGTGCTGGCTTCATTTACGCGTAGAATTCTGTCATAAGGCTTGAGAACGCCGTCACAGGGTCCCCCAGGTCGAAGACGGTTTATATAAACTCCACGCTCGTACAGACCATCGGACACAGAAAAGCCAAAGTCCTCGTACACTGGGTCCTTGTGCAAGGAGACGTGAACTATCTGTTGGGGTCTATCTGGATTGTTGCATTCCTGTGGCCTGAAAATGGAAGGAAAGACTAAAGTGAATCATCATCCTTCGAAAAGTACTTTTAAGTAGAAAATCATCGTGCAATAAAAAACAAATTTTTTTATGAATTCTATTCTTACGCAGAATAAGGAGGCATGTGTAGATCCAGTTGACCGCTATCCACTGAAGCTGTATCCCAGAGCCTCAAAATCTCCGGACCTGTTCCACTGTTTTCCCCTAGCTCTCCCCAAGAATCCACTGCGCTGTCTACACTGGGTAGACTCTCCCTAGCTGGCCGAAGAATCCCCGAAGGATACTGTTGCACCGAATCGCTTCCTATACTGGAATCCTTGCAGTATTCTCTGCAAAATTCAGTACTTCATCATTATTTCCTCGTACAACTCACTTACAACTTATTGCCTTAAAAGGGAGCACTGAAGAGTTAGAAAGAAGTTAATCGATGTTTGTAGGTTATATCGTTACCTGGTTTCCGAGGTAGGATCCGGTTTCCTCACGGTCAGGGCGATAACCGAGCTCCCTGGACGATGTAACAGCTGTGCGGCTTGTCTGAGGTCGCCAGGGTCTAGTTTTTGCCCGTCTATAGCCAGTAGCCTGTCTCCTGGAGCTAGGCTACCGGTTCTGTAAGCTAAAGATCCCTTGCGAACCTCCGTAATGATCAGATCCTCGTTTACTGTGAGACCTACATCGGGCTGTCCACCTATCGGTCTTGCTACTCGCACTGTGAACACTCCTGAACTGGGAACAACTGGACCACCGACCTTATACTCCGTCACTAATTCAATCTGTCGAGAAAGCGGGGCTCTTGATTTGAAATAAACGGAAGAGACAAGAAAGAAAAGCAAGACGGAAGGCATAAAATAAACGAATAATTTTAACAAACAGGCATGACGACTACGATACAAAAATTATCACTGCGCTCACCACTTGAGAATTTTCCAAAATGCCAGTCACCTCGGCTGGCTGAAGATCTCTGAGCATTCTGCGATTAATCGCAAGCACCTTGTCTCCAGGCAGAAGAACTCCACTGCGTTCAGCCGGTCCTCCAGCCTCTAACAGATTGACGATGTAATTTAGATGATCTTCGGCGAGCTTCAGGGCAAGTCCAAATCCCTTGTGATCGGGCCTAAGAACCACGGTCAGGCTCTCTTTCGTTTGCAAAGTCTGACTAGAGGTTTGCTGCGCCTGTGGCTGCGCTCTCCTCTTCACAGTCCTCTGTGAAACACTCGGAGGCCTAGGTAAAATCTGCAGCCTGGCTATGCGAGAGTCGAAGTTATTTCTGAGAAGTTTGGCAGCCGTCACTGCATCCTGGACGGGAGTTTCGTCCACAGCAAGTAGTTTGTCACCAGGTTGCAAGGCGCCGCATCGGTCTGCCGTGCTTGCTGGTCTTAGACTTTCAATGTAGACTCCGTTTGGCGTCTCTCTTACCGTTAGGCCCAGTTCTCCTGCAATTATATATGTATATTTATAGTTACGCTTATATACAGCTTGATCGTCCAAGTTGAATCCTAAAAAATGCCCTGATGTATCAAGGTACCGGAGAGTCCACGTTCCAATTGCACTAGAAGAGGACCGGAAGTAGCTGCCCTGGCCTCTTCCATGTTGGCAACGTCATACTCAATGGTCAAAGAAGCGACAGGAGCATCAGAGCTCCTCCTGAGCGCTCTCTGCGCCTCCGCCAATGTCAGACCCCTCAGTTCGGTGTCGTCAACAGCCAATAACCTGTCCCCGGGCCTGACTCTTCCCTCTTTCGCCGCTGGTCCGTCAGACTTCACCCCGGTGACCACCAGAGCTCGTGAAACACCGCCTCTCAGAGTAACTCCAAGACTTCCCCCTTCACGTTCCACCCTCACTTGGGCGACCTTGGACGATACGCTGGAAGGAGTGGACACAGGACTATCTTGATCGTCCAGCAGCAGGAAACTGTGCGTGTGATAGGATTGGGGCGAGATCTCGTCGGGTCGTGCCGAGTCGGAGCTGGCGGACGTGGCCACGCTTCCTGGCCGAGCACGGTTCTTGTGCGAGCGCATGGTGGTCAGTCTCAGCGAGCTGAACATCCTCTGTCCTGTCTGTTGGGTATTCTACGTAGCACCGACGCCGTACCGAGTAATCACTACCATCGCCGAAGAAACGTAGAAGAGGCTCTGACCTGCGTGTTTTTGTCAACCATCCTCGTGGAAGCACGCTTGCTACGCAGTAGAGAGACCTAGATCTAGGTCTAACTCTCCAGATAGTGGGAGAAAGTCGCGAGACTAGACTTGAGGTCACTCGGCGAGGAGAATCTCGAGACTTCAACCGGGTACCACGTTAAAAACTATCACACTTCTTCTCACTGTGGCTCGGTCATTAGGTTACGCACCTAACTGAATACGAAATAAACGTTCATTTTAGGAAAACTTGAACAACGCGAACGTGACGAAGGAGTGGCAAGCGCGATCTAGAGAGAAGAGGAGCAGCAGGTCTCTCCGAGGAGCCGCCACGACCAGCGGAGTTGCTTTTGTTGCTCGCGGCGTAAACAGCGCGTCCCCGTGTCTTTGTTCGCTGTTTGGCCCGAGGAGTCGTCGCCGATGGGGAACCCGTTGTGGAGCGGTCGTACGGAGAACTGTAACGAGTGGCGATATGCCTGTCGAAAATAGCCGCACGATGTAGGGCCGCAATCGTGGTAGTGCCGAGACTATTTATAGGGTTGGCGAGTGAGGTGGAGGAGGGAGGAGCGTGCGTGCGGCCCTGCGGGCGCCCCGCAGTCGCCTCACCGTCAAATAAGTCTGCACTTCTCGTTAAAAGCTTCGATTTCGAGCGTCTGCCGCAGTGCCTCTTATTTTCCTCTTGCTTCCTCCTCCTCTCTCTCTCTCTTCCTTCACTCGCCAGATTTCACGGCCTCTCTTATTTTTAGTTGTCAATATTCGCAACGATATCACCGACACCTGGAAGGTTTTTTACGCAGCGGTTCGACGATCGGATCAGAATTTCGAATCGAACGGTTCGAATAACTTTTAGGGAAACCAGTTGGAAACGAAACGGAGAGGTTTTTCTTTTGATTCTAGTACGAAACACTTTATTCCTAGGTGTTTGTAAACTACAGTACGAGAATGTTAGAAACGACAGGCGTACGGAACGTCTCAAAAATTCTGCCAGAACGAAAAGCGTTTAAACAATCTGTAACAGATTCGGTTAGAGTTGAAAGCAAGAAGCGTAGGATTCAGGGTCCATTGACCGATCCTCTTGGTTTTTGCGCGGCCTCTTCCTACGACGTCTCCTCTTTAAATCTCTCCTCGTTTCAATTTCTCGAGCCCCTCTCTCTCTCTCTCTCTCTTTCTCTCTCTCTCTCTCTCTCTCTCTCTCTCTCGTTTCGTTCCCTTCCACTCTAGCTGATTCGATCTCCGTTTCGCGGAACTGCGTGCGTACACCTTCCATCGTTCTTCGTTCTCCGACCTCTCACTTCCACGTAATCTGCGTTGCAGTCTTCGTTAAATACCTTTCAAACTGACAATTTATCAACGATTGGATTCTTTACGACTTCTTCGTGAAAGAAGAAGAGGTTTATTTTATTTATTTAGGTTTTTCGAAGTGAGAGCAAAGTTTTCGAGTTTACTTCCAGTTTCAATCGAGGCTGGCGTTTTTTTTTTTTTTTTTAGATGATAATTAATTGCTAGATGCGACCCCTTAACGCACCATCCGTGTCGGAATGATCCAATTGAATCAATTAGCCGGTTAATGGGTCTCTCAGTTAGTGTTCTTTTCCCTCCATTTCTTTTGGTATTAACCTTAATAATCATTCTGATTGTTATCACCAGACCGCGCATTTGTGTGAAGTTTGTGTGAAGTTTGAAGGTGCAGCAATGCACATAAATGCATTTGACATGCAAAAGATACGTGAAACAGTATTTTGTGTAATGGTAGTGGATATGTTTATTTACAGAATCGTTTGTTTTTTCAAATTTTATTTATTTGTAGAGTTTCTCTTTCCGAATTTTGTTTATAAAAATGCGAATTCGCATGTCTAAATTCCGTCCTTTTACAAAAATCCGCAGTCTTAACTAGCGTCACGTCGCGTTTGATCTTTCTCATTAAAACTTCAAAACGAGCTTGCCGATTCTAGTCGAACAATTCGAATGATAAACAGGAAGCAACAAACTTTCGTTCGCACGACGAGATAGAGATAGAGGATCGTACGAATCGTCAAATCTTCAAGCGACGAAATGCGTCGAATCGGTGCTCGATACGGTTATTATTATTAGTTTAAAATTAAATTAAACGAGGTTGCAACAGCGCAAACCCGATGGCCCACTTGACGATCAAGTCAAGTTGACGAGCACCCTAGAAATAAATTGATCGTGTTGCAGGTATCTATGCGAAGTGTCCTGGAGCCTTCTTCTTCTTCAGCTTGCGTTTCGACTTGCGTTGCGCCAAGTCGCGATGCTCTGCCAATTCCACGGTGTGCTAAAGTTAGCGTCTAGTCAGTGGAGCCAAGTGTGCGATCCGAGAAGCGAAGAGGAGAAAACGTGCAAGGGAGGGGGAGAAGTGTGCACGGTAGACAGGATGGAAATAGAAAAAAAAGATGAGCGAAGGAGGAAAAATGGATAGAGGAGGGGGAGGAGGAGCATGAAAGGCGTAGGATTCATGAAAGAGAATCGAGCAAACGAGCGAAAAGGGACGAAAACGAGAGGAAAACGCGGTCCTTTTAGAAAAAGAAAGAAAGAAAGAAAGAAACGAGAGGCAAAGAGAGGAAGAGGGAGGGCAATCGTCTGTGGGTGGAAGACGCTCGAGACGAGTATTTATCGTGGCCAAAGTAATGAGCCACGCGGGAGTATTAATAACCTGACCGCGGTGTAACGCTAGAGGTTTAGAATAAACGCGGGAACGCGGTGCAATTAGAGGTCTGCGAGCGTCTTCCGGTTCTCCGGATTACGATGCCCTCCGCCTAAAATATTCTGGTCCGTTCTCCTCGTTGCAATAATGTTGTCGTTTAAGGGATGTCGTTGTCCATTCCTTTATTTGAAACGTTCAATTCTCATTTGACAAACGTCGATAGAACTTTCCAGGCTGTCGCCTCCCTTTCGGAAGAAAAAAAAAAAAAAAAAAAAAAAAGNAAAAAAAAAAAAAAAGAAAAGAAAAGAAAAGAAACGAAACGTGGCATCAAAACGAAATCAGAGCCTGTGAACAGTGACATCTCGTTCGAGTTCCACGGATGGCTAATCTAAGTAGTTCTATCAACGGAGTACAGCCTCTACATTATAAAAACCTAATGTTTATCACCGGAAGCGATTCAGGAACATTCGACTCTTGCTGGAATCGCTCGCTAGAACCTCTTCTTCGACGAATATGACGTCGCGCTCAATGACCTGATTGAGTCTCAGTCAACTCAGTCCGTCCTGATAGACCTCCGAGTAACGTGCAGCCTCCAACTCGAAACGAGTGTGACCAACTTATGTTCATATCGTTCGAATCAACCTTCAGGCATCCAATCATCAGGACCATCAACATCGTAAGACAAAGAACATCACGTTGAATGACAGATCAACGTGCAAAGCTGCGAAGTCGTGCGCACGTGGTGGTTCTTCGCGGTTTCTTCAGTCTGTTGCGTTTGGATTCGTGTAGGAGAATCCACGGAAGACACCCTGGTCCATGGAGGTGAGGATCTGATCAGGTACAGGAGTCAGTCGTGGCCTCTCAGCGGTGAACGCTGTGTCGAAGTACCTCGTGTCCAGAGTGTGGTCCAGGGCCGGCTTGAAAGGTGGTTCTAACTGCCTTCTTTCCAACCTGTCCCACTGCAACGACTGGGAAAACGAAAGCGATCAATTATTCAATTGATTGACAATCTTTATCTGTTTTCGTTAGCATATTGACAACCATTGTGGTACAATTATTTATATAGAGATTTAACTACATTTAAGACTTAACTCTTAACTAGCAAGATTACAACTCTAATTTTTATATTTTATATTGGTTACGTCTGGAATCTTTTTAGTTAAATCTCATCATTGATGAGATGAGACAGACTTAACTCTTAACTAGCATCAAAGATTACAACTCTAATTTTTATATTTTATGTTGGTTACGTCTGGAATCTTTTTAGCTAAATCTCATCATTGATTTCAATGTGGAATTTGGTGCAAAATGGAATTAAAATTTTTGTAATCTAACATCACGTACAGTGATACTACTATTCTTCAATAAAATGAAGTTTCGCCGGTTTACAATACAGAGCTATATAAGGATCATCAATATGTTAACAGGAATTTGTTTTGTAGGATTATTAATTACTTCAAAGAAGGAGTGCGTCGCGATTTCATGACCAGCCAGCCTTTTGCCAGAGTCCTTCTCCAGAAGGGCGATCAATATGTCGCTGGAATCTTGGCTCAGGTAACGAGGTATAAACGGCCTTTCGTTGCATATACTCCAAAATAGCTCATCTTCGTCGCAGCCGGAGAATGGCGACTGTCCCGTGAGCATCTCGTACAGAAGCACGCCGTACGACCACCAGTCCACCGCCTGATTGTATTTCAGTCCCTTTATGATCTGCAATGCGGAAACAGAAGTTGGGCTGCGGTTAATTTAAAGAGACCAACGAATCGCGGCTGTTTGAGCGTTGCTTTTAGTGTCTTAATTTTGGAACCCCGGACCTTCTTCGAGCAACGTTAATTCGAATTGGATTAAACAATTCCACTGAGTCCATCCATAATAAGTATGTGTGAATTTTTTTTTTTTTTTTGAGAGTGTTGCTAAAGGGAATTTGGTTAAATTAAAAGAAGAAAATTTAATGCAATACTGTAAATTATGAGAATGTTGTAGAATATAACAAAATTTGTTATTAATCGTTTATTATCTAGTGTACAAGAACAATGTGACTGCATCAGTTGTGAGATGATTCAGTATTAGAATTTATTTTATTAGGTTTGTAGTTATTAGAAAATTTATTTTATTAGATTTTTAGTTATCAGGGAATTTATTTTATTAGGTTTGTAGTTATCAGAGAATTTATTTTATTAGGTTTCTAGCTATCAGAGAATTTATTTTATTAGGTTTCTAGCTATCAGAGAATTTATTTTATTAGGTTTGTAGCTATCAGAGGATTTATTTTATTAGGTTTGTAGTTATCAGAGAATTTATTTTATTAGGTTTGTAGCTATCAGAGAATTTATTTTATTAGGTTTGTAGTTATCAGAGAATTTATTTTATTAGGTTTGTAGCTATCAGAGAATTAATTTTAATAGGTTTGTAGTTATCAGGGAATTTATTTTATTAGGTTTGTAGCTATCAGAGAATTAATTTTATTAGGTATGTAGCTATCAGAGAATTTATTTTATTAGGTTTGTAGTTAACGGAGAATTAATTTTATTGATTTGCAGTTATCCTTTACCTCGGGAGCCATGTAATCAGGCGTGCCACAGAAGGTGTCGGCGGTTCTGTCGAGGAAAATTTGCAGTTTACACATGCCGAAATCGGCTATTCTGATGTGCCCCTCGAAATCCAGCAGCACATTGTCCAACTTCAAATCTCTGTACACTATTCCCTTCTTGTGCAAGAAGTTCAAGCCGGACCAGATCTCCGCCGCGTAGAACCGAGCTCTTGGTTCCGGGAAACGGCCCGATTTTTGAATGTGAAACATCAAGTCGCCGCCGTTCAGATACTCCATCACGAAGAACAAATGGGAGTCTGTCTGGAAGGTGCAAAACAGGTGACAGAGGTACGGATGCCTCGTGGCTAGGGTCAAGACCTTTCTCTCGATCAGGGTGCATTCTACGTCGTCGTCTTCGAGAACCACGTCCTTCTTCAGGCACTTTATCGCGTAAACGCACTCGGTGCCCCGTAGCTCCGCCAGCAACACCTTGCCAAAGCTGCCTTTTCCTAGAACCTAGAGAAAAACAACGAGCATTAACTCTTCTGAGAAAAACCTTGGGTATCAGGATTTTAATTCCCAAACCTTTCCAGGTGCTCTCCAGTTCACTGAAGATCAATGCATTATTGGGAAAGATGTAATTTGAAATTAGACATGGAAGAATCAAGATTATCAATTTTTAAATCGAATGGAAGATCAGATGTGAGACTAGGTATACTAAAGTCTACCAGAAGTAACTCAACTATCCAGATTTTAATTCGCAAAAATGGTTTTAGGGTGTCAGCAGAGCTCGGGAATTAAAACTAAGATCCTTAGACCATGATGATTGCTTTAAACCGGCTGTGGTACCTCAAAAGTGAGGCAAGGTTCTGTTACCAGATGGAAATCCAGGTCTGGTAGAGTGAAAATGGCACACGGTGGAAAGTTCACGCGTCTAAAGCGAGAGTGCCGCACGTGAGAGCACCTCGGGCCCGTTAAAAATAATCCGTTGCGTGCAGCTAATTCGGGTGGGTCTATTTGCGTGGCGGTCCTTTGCAAAATCAAGTCCGTTTTAAACTTTCTCTCCTATAAATCTTCTCATTGACTGGCGACTGGGCAAACCTGACGTGAAAAACCTGTCACCCTCCAAACGCGCGTGTTTTAAAACGTTGAACCGCTGTTTACTTTCGATGGGAGCGCTTAAAGCTTTTTGGCATTGTGACCGCGTTGAATCGATCGTAAGATAGAGGATCGAACGTCCGCACCTCCTTGCCTGGATTAATTCGTACCTCATGAATCAAGCCGAGCTCACGTGACGCAGGTGTACACGTGACGTGGGTTGGCTTTCGTTCCGACGAGCCAAGGTAGCTCATAAATTCACAGGAAACTCGTCTGCAAACAAGTCGGAGGGAACTCGCATCAAACGAACCCTCTAAAATCCTCTTGGAACTCTTCTCTGTTTAAGCTACACGCGCTACATCATTTCAATCTTCCAACAACAACAACAAGAACAAAAGATAAAATTCCATAAAATTCTAAACAAATTGCTCTGTTGTTTCAGATTTCTGTAAAGAAGATCTCTAGAGGTGGAACGTTGATGCAAGCTCTTTTGATGGATGAAAGCTCGCCCGAAGATGCAGACGAGGATCTCAATCATCTCCGAGTGAATAATTCGAGCGTTTCGTCAGCGAAATTTTCAATTTTGGCAGACGCTCGGATGTTGCACGTGCCGCGTAATACGACGGCCGTGGCTAAAATCTGTTGACGATGGATAATCATGCGCGGCGCACTTACTTTTAGGAAATTGAAGTCCGTCACCGTGTACTTCTTGAATCTTGGAAGATTGGTGGCCGGTGGTGTAATCCTCCCACTGGGGAAATGGTCCGAGGAGTCTGAGTTCCTCTGGGTGTCCGACGATTGCGAGGGTGCTACCAAGTCGAAATAAAAATAATGTATTGGTAAAACCAATTGAAAGATCTACTGGACTGTGTAATAAGTTCGTTTGCTCCTCTTTAGAAGAGAAGATCATTTAATTCAATTTTTCTTTTATTATTTAATCAATTATTTCGTTTGAAATGAGTTGAGCAATCTCAAGCTTGAGGATCTTGTTCATTGAGATAGTTAATACTAATATACAATCTTGTATATCTAAATTGGAACGGAATTGTAATAAAAATTGAAAATTTACTGTCTCATGAAAGAAGTAAGTAATTGAATGTAATTCTATTGTACAATTCAATTATAATGATCTGAAATGTGAACATTATGGGGCGAACGAACCAATCACACAACCCAATGTACACCAGTCGTGGTTAGTAGCCTCGTTTTTGTTAACCATAAGATAAACGACATTGAAATACTTGCAGTGCAGTCTCAGCTGATGAAAATTGTTCGTTCGAGACGTGAAAGATACTTACTGATGCTTAACAAGCAACTATTATTGAACGAGGCTCTCTATTTGTTGGAGGAGAACGGTTCTCTCCCGAGATCTCCCCGAGCCAAGGAACGTCTCTGGTCACCCGAACGTTTCGTCAAATCTCGATTAATAAGCGCATTAATTGTCGATTGCCGGGTCTGGCAATGCGAGCACGCTGGATGTTGGCCGACCAGCGTTTCGCAAAAATAGAGCTGACGCGAGCAACGCGACACAAATGATGGATTAGGGTACAGACAGGAGGATTGTAACAGTGTATAAGCACCGGCGACCGATTTAACGGTGATGTAACTCCATTTTGCTGAAATCATGGTATCGTCTACCTGGCCGGAGTGAATGGATTTATGATAGCAACGCAGACGAATGCGCACCTTGGGTCAGCCAAGTCTCGCTGCACGGCCAACGCTCAAGATCAAATTGCACGAGGAAAAGAAGATATCGTTTGGAGAGGAGGGAAGTCTCTTTGGCTTTTTTTTTTTTTTTTTTTCTTTTTCTTCGTCGATTGCTACTTGTAACGAGTTGGAACGGATAGCTCACCTTTCTTGAGCGCCTGCAGGGCCTCCGCCACGAGCTTCTGGTTCAGTCCGCAGAGGTTCCCGGTCAGTTTCTCGCACTTTTTGTGACAGGCCATGTCACAGTCTATTTCCGAATACGATTCCACGTGTTATTCGTTTGATTATCAGCTACGTGTACCTGCTACTTTGATGCACCGTCGCGCGAAACATCTCGGAGAACAGCAACGTTCATCCGCGCTGTTCATCCTCTACTAGATATCTAATCAAACTCATCGTCGTTCCCATCTAAATTTATCACGAAACTCTTGTTCGCGGCGTCAACTACTCGCCTGCTGCACTATGAAGACTAGAATATTGTTGTGAAACCGACGTCTTATAAATAGAGTCACGAAGCAACGTGCGTAACACGGTGCACGTTGCTTCTTAATCAGAAGAGTCTGAACAATAGCTGGCTATATCTGACGAAAAACGCGACTTACGTCTCTGCGTGAAAATTTTGCGAGACCCGCCACCGGCCAGTTGTGTGTATATTTATCGAGAACGATCGGGAAAACCGTTTCAACGGTTACGGTGCTTTCTGTAAACAAACGTGGTGAACGGTGTCGTTGACTCTGCGACAACGACCTTATGCAACGACGAAGAACGACTGGCTTTGCGCTTTGCAACCGGGAGATGCTGTTGGACCAGAGAATCCGCGTGGACGTGGAACGATTATGCAACTAGCCGATACCCTGACTTTGTATCATTCCAAAATTCCATGCAGAAAATAGCTGCGCGAATGCTGCCGCTGTGTTAGTCATTGAAAGCACAGAAACAAGTGAGAAAACAATGCAGAAACTGGTTAGCGAGCTGCCAAATCCCGGTTTCAATCATCGCCGACGAGTTTAGTGCATTTAGCGGGCGAAAGGAATTGAAGAGGAGTTGCAGGAAGATATTGAAACCAGCACATGTTGCCCCGGCCGTAAACACGCCACCCACACACACTGGCAAGACAGCGAATTTCCGTGAATTCTATCTGGCAATTCTCAAGCAAAACAGAGTCCCGAGGCAACGTTTGGTAAAAGTGGAGGAAATCAAAGATTAAAATTGCACAACAGGGACAAACGATCTAAAAAAAAAAAAAAATATTATTATTGCAGTGAGAGAAAAAAAGTACTGGATATCCTTGGCGAGCCGTCGAAGCCGGAGTCGTTGCTCCTGGTGGAGTTCATCCTCTTGTGTTCCGGGTCGTCGTCGAGCTCCATGGATCCGCTGCTCTCGGTGGTCGCTGTGCTGGTGGTGCTTCCGGTGCTGTCGCTGCTCACAGACGGCGTCCTGGAGTGATGTTTCCTCCTCTTGATTTTCGCGCGGCGAACTTTCGACAAGTCCCTGGGTGTGGCGGTTAGCAACGCCGACGGTGTGGTGTAAAACATTCTGATGAGATCGATGGGCCTCGGGGCGGGTGCGTTCTTGTTCTCTTGCCTGGCTTTGCCAGAGATCTTCGCCTCCGGAGGCTTCGGGGCTTCCTGGCTCTTGGCGGGTGTCTTCTTGGCGGAGCTCTTCTTGGTAGAGCTCTTCTTGGATCCCTTGCTGTCTTTGTTGCTGTCCTTCTTTGTAGAACTTTTCTTGGTAGTGGATGCTTTCTTCTTCCTGGCGATCTTCTTCTTTTTGGACGATTCCGGGGTGTCCTCCGGGCTGCAAGCGACGCTGACCTCCTTGGAAGGCACCGGGGTGATCTCCTGCTCGGCCTCGACGTTCGAAAGGTCACTGTGATTGTCCCACTTGCTGATCTTCGACAGTTTAACGTCCTGCCAATCGTTGGTCGGCGTCTTGGGCTCGTCCTCCTCGTTCAGAGCCTCGGAGTCGGGTTTAATCGGCGTGGTGGACGCCTCCTCGATGTTTATCACAGGCACGGGGATCTCTGCGACCGGTGTGGAGACCTCGGAAGCCGGGACAGAGGTGTCTGGGGTGCTGGTCACTGATTTGTAAGAAACAGTCGACGCCGTGGAATCTTCTCTCTTGAAGGGAGTCCTCTTCACCGTCGAGTACGCATTCTGAATTGGATCGATGATTACAGACAGGTTCTTCTTCTTCTTCAATCCCTTCTTTGGCGCCGTGTCAACTTTGTCAGATTCCAACTTCGCCGGAGCCGCTTCGCTACTGGATATTGTCCGCTCGGTCTCGGATTTCGACGGATTCTCCTCCTCGATTACGGGGATGTTACTGAGCTCAGCTGGCGGCGGAGCGGCGACGCTTATTTTAGAATCAGTCTGTTTTTTCTTGTCCAGCTGACTGCCGGCGAGGTCCTCGACCGCCTGACCCGGCACCGAGCTCTTCGTACCAGCCGCGAAACAGAATCCCTTGTCGGGATTCACTTCTTTCGTCACTTGCGGGCTCTCCGGCCCTTTGATCTCGCTCCAGAAGTCAATAGACTCGCTGGACGTGCTTTTAGACAAGCTTCCGTTCACCGCCGGCGTACTCGCCATCTCATCGGCGGACAGCGCTGATTGCTTCGAAGATTTCGAGTCTGTTGGTTGCTCCGCTCTCGTTCTCCACGGGATTCTGGGCTCTTTGTTCGCACTCTGCAAGTTGCATTTGTTCGCCTCGGTCTTTCTCGTTGTCGTCACGCTGACGGGCATCTCCTCGTCCTCTTTCTTCACCATCTTCTCAAAACTCGAGAACACCCCCTTCACCTTTGTATCCTTGACATCCTCCTTCGCGCGCTTTTCGACAATTCCTCCAGAAGCTTTTTCCGCCTTTTGCGCGTTACCCTCTGACAAGGTCGGTTTGCTCGCGAGATTGTTATTTGCGTCCTCAATGGACGAGGAAGTTTTCGTCGACGAGTCGCCTTTCTTCGCGAGATCCTTCGGCCGATCCACGTTCACCGTTTCACCACGGACACCCGCTGCGGAGGCGTTCCCCAAGGTCGCGGCTTTGTCCACCTTCCTCCCCGACAACGGAGAGACGACGTCCTCGGTTTTCGTCGGCGTCGTCTTTGCCAGATACTGCGGTTCTCGTAACAACGTACGCTTTGGCGCTTCTACGGCATTATTTTCATCCGTATTAATTTTAGACGCTTTTGGCAGGCTGTCCGCGACCGATGGAAGCGCTCCACTGGCGCTGCTTTCGCTCGCCAATAGGTCATCGCTTGTTAGCGTCGCGTTGGTCTCTTTGACCCTTGTGTTCGCCGGCGCATCGACGACGGAAGACACCGGGGACTGCGGGGAGCACCTTTCATCCAGAAACTCCAGCTTCTTCTGTATCGTTTCTTTCTTCCGTTTCGGCACGGTTTCATCCTTTGAGGTTTCATTCTTCAGGTTTGTATCCTTGACACCCGCTTTACTTTCTTTCGGAGAGTCTAACGTTTTCTTAGACAAGATCTGACTGACTGTTTTGTCTTTAGGAGATCCTGGCTCGGTGGTGTCCGCAGACGAGATCTGATCCATCATTTCACCTTTCGGGGACACTTTCGTTCTGTCGGCGACGACTTCTAAATTGTTCAGAGGGTCGTTCTTCGTGGCCTCTGGTGGCGTTTTCACCGTGAAGTAGACGCTGTTCCTCGACGTGTCCTTCACGTAAGGTCTCTTCACAGGTAACACCACCTCCGTCTCAGACTCTTCCTTAACCTCTTGCCCGTTGCGTGCTGGTAATTTCTTGGGAACAGGAATCTTCACGCTCTCCCGAAACTGCTCCGCAGGGCTGTTCACCCAAATGGTAGAGAAGTCACCGACGCTGTTACTGGCTTCGACCTTGAACATCTGAGAACGCTTACGGATCTCCTCCTCGTCGTTCTCGCTCGTTTGAACGTCCGCGGAGACGTCGCTGCTGGAGCCGGGTTCTCTCAGATTCTCACCCTCCTCGATCGGCGGCGAAGGCTTCTCGGTGGTCCTCCTTTTCTTCTTCACCTTCTTCAACGTCTTCCTCACCTTCTGCGCGCTGGCCTCCTCCTCGCCTTGAGACACGGACTCGCCGTCGCTCCTGAAGAATCTGGGAACGGTCCTCGGCCCGCCGGGCGGGGCCCCTTTCCTTATCAACGTCCCCCTACGAACCTCGTTCTCGATCTCAGCCTGCTCTTCGGCGACCAGGGTGTCCAACACCTTCGCCTGGACCTGAGCGTAAGCCACCTCCCTCTCTATCTGTTCAGGATCCAACTGAATGTCCGCGGACGACCTCCGCCTCGTGAACCGTCTTGTGATCTTGCTCTTCGCCTGTTGCGACAGATCCTTGTCGCTGTCTTGCTCATCGCTCGTGTCCACGCTGACCTGACGCAGCAGCTGCAAGCTTGCAAGTTTCTCCGTCTCGTCGGGTTTCTTGTCCTTGATCAGGAACTTCTCCACCAGCAGCTCACCCACAGACCTCTCGTGTCTCTCGTTGTGCTGGCGCAGCGCGGGATTGTCCTTCAGCGCTTGGCTCCTGATCTTGATGGTGGGCCTGTCGCGACGCAGCCGGCCCTTCTGGTGACCACCGCTCTCCTGACCGAGGATCCTCGGCGTCGAGACGTCGATGTCCGCGGTGTCGATGACGCGCCTGTGCCGGCTGACCACCGCCACCGGCGAGTAACGACGCAGGCTGGACAACGGGGACTCGGAGATGGTCGACAGGTGCGGCGAGTATCGGGACAACGGCGAATGGAGCGGTCTACAATTCCACCAAGTCGTAAAACCCTGTCTCGTCCAGGCAACCCGGCCAACGTGGATGCTTCTCTGGACGGTCGTTTTCGTACGTTACGTTTTCGAGGTCATGAACTTCGAAACGTGCTGGCTTTACGTTTAAACGTAAAACGCTTGCGCCGGCAACTGATTGCGGACCGTAACGAGTAACCGAAATATTATCGTCGGTAACGATATCGCTGGATAGAAATGATCGAGAAGCAATAAATTTAAATTTATTCGGTCTGGTTGAACGGAGGGAATTGCCCTGGCACGATCATTCCAGCGCAAGAGATTAAAGTGACGAGTCAAACGACGAAGAAAGTGTTCTAAGCTAAAAAAAAAAAAAAGAAAAAAATAGCAAGTCATTTTTGTTTGGCCAGCGTTGCATGAGGAATCAGCGGTGTTTCGTGATCGCGTAATCGTCGAGCTCGACCTGTTAAGCTTCCGATTGCGCGGCCTCCGAATGCCACATGCCCCGTGGACTCGCGACGCGAGGATCGCAGGGATCACGAACATTGTTGCCTGCTGAATTTGGCTTCAACCGTGGCCATGAATGATTGACTTCGATTCATGATTGCGCGCGTTCGATCGATGACGAGCAAATTGTAATTGAGCGCACGTAGCCTCTCGAGTTGGAGCGGCTATGAAACTAATTTTCCACTTTGAAAACACGACGGTATTGTAGATATTTAAATTAATTTGATACTTCGTAGAAGAGGCATTGATTTATCCACCGATTAATGTTGCTTTTTATTTTTTTAAAGGAAATCATTGCTTGCAGATGGACTTTCGCAGGAAATTCGTGGATGCGCGTAACATGTAAAATAACATAAATACATCGAGGTTGGCTCTGAAATTTTATTTATATAAGAACACGACTTTGCACGAAAGCAAAGAAAGAAGAACGTTGCAGTTTACCTGCAACTTGTCTGGAATCTGTCTGACAATTCTCGAGCAAGTATAATTTTGATGGCCCCTTATTTATGAACGTAACATATTAACATAACGTTTCAGCGTTACGAGCGTGGCGGATTTTACTAGAGGATTTTTTGGCAGTGCAACGGGTACGACGGAATTTTATCACGTGGAAAGTTTTAGCACGTCCAGACACTTGGTTGGCTATTTTTAAAATGCCTGATACTCGCCGCCACCTTCTAATCTTTTTTGATTTATCTCGACACCTCGGCCCCTCAATCTCAATTAATCGGCATCTCCGCGTTTCGCTAATGAGCTTAAAGGTTTGACCGATTGTATATCATATCTGTTACTTGCCAAAATTCGGGATTACCACTTGCCTAACTAGAGCTATTCTAATTGCAGTGAGCTGTGTACGTGTTTGGCATTTTATGGCCATTCGGTTCTCTTTCTCCGTCGGTTCGCTCGAAAAAAAAAAAAGAAGAGGAAAGAAAATTAAGAAAAACGTGCTTTCTATTTTCGGGTTCGCTTTTATTCTTCCTCGGGTATGTTGCGTTCACGTAACTGTCCGTCAAGAGAAGCCTCCACGTCGACGAACGTCACTCCGCGCGACCGAGAATAATGGTTCGCGAAGGAAAAGCGAGGGAAGAAAGCGAAGAAAGGAACCGCTTCTTGGAATGCTATTTTCGTATGAGCAGAGGGACAAGGGAGGAGATACAATCAAACTTGAAACGCGCGTTTGCCAGAGGATGACACAAAAAAGATTAACTATTTGAAAAAAAAAAAAAAGAAAGAAAATGAAACGCCTCTGTAACTATTGTGCAAAAGACCGAGTAAAACTTCCAATGACGTCTACGCTACATTTATACTTGAAACATATCGTAGCTAAAAAGCTTCCTGGTATCTGTCACGTGATGATATCAAAGATCTTGTTTAGACAGGGAGCAAGAAAAATGGCTACCAATGAAAAAAAATACACGTTATTAAAAGAAATGAAACAACTTGGTGAAAAATGTTAAACTGAGATCTGGCGACGGAGGGAAAAGAAAAATGTTTCACCATTAGGTGCAAAAAGGACTGTTAAAAATTAACTGATTTTGGTGAGAAAAATAAACGAATCCTTCAGCGTCAAAAGAGATTACTAAAAAAAAAAAAAAAAATTTACAAGAAAACAAAGGTACCTTCCAATGTCAAAAATTAACCAGGTTTCTTTGCTTTTGCAAGAAAATAAAGAAATATATAACGCATGGAGAGTCAGAAAGAAAGGGAAGAATAAAAGGCTTACCGTGGAGCGCCAGTCATCAAAGAACTGTGATTGGAGAACGGTCCCCCGTAATAATAGGGCAGACCATCGCCGTAGTAGGGCATCGTGGCGAGTGTTATCCACTAAGTTCACGTGTACAGAGGCCAGTTAAAAGGGAGGCTGGTATCCGGAGAAGAGAAAGGCACAAACGGAAGTGGCGAGCAGCGGGCACGAGCGGTTCGACGATCTCGAAGACGACTGAGCGCGGTGCGGATCGCCGGCGTACGCGTTCTCTCAGGTGTTCTCACGGTTCAGGGAGCCAACACCAACTGAGTCTAAGCCAGCGACCCAGTGTAATAATAGAAGTCTAGTATATGAGGCTTCCTAGCGTCTAACTATACTAGCTGGACTCTAATAACCCGTACAGAGAGTCTCAGGCATTGCTTTCCTACAAATATTTGTGGAATTGTAGCGTTTACGTGACTCATTGTCAGAGACAGGATTGGGCTGCGTGTGCGCTTATTGTCAAATGCATTTCTACTTTCCACTTTGACGGAGCAGCTGGTTACACACGAGAGTTGTCAATGCACGAAAAAAGGAAATATGGTAAGGGAAAGCAATTATTGAAAATTCTTCTTTCATTTCAGCAGATTGCAAATGCAATGAACTGCAGAGAGCAGAGAGAATCCAGCAAAGCTTGGAATTGGTTAAGGCCACTCCTTGTTATCATGCTGTTAAAGACGCAACAACAACGTGGAAGATGAAAGGTTGTAAGGAATACCGAAGAACGTGCGATCACACATCGTGATACGCTCACGGGGCACATGCACGCCAAGTTTGCCAGGCGACGATTTCGTGCGTGGTTGTCTCCGCAGCCGTGTAAAACGCGCATTAATGTGTCAACGGAGCCACGGTTTCGCGTTGTTTTGTGTTCCGAGCATCGAGACCCGCGCCAAACGACTCTCCCCGCCCCTCCCCTCGGTGTCTATTGTTGCTTGTTCAGAGAAACTTGGAAATAGCCGACGAATGGCAACGTACACTGTCTCGAATCAATCGTGCAAACTAACTTTAGAAACACGATGATGATAACAATTAAACTTTGCAAAATTCACGACACATTAAATCGCCATTAACGAGACGAGACGATACTATTCGGTTCTGTTCAAAGGTGCATCAAGGTGAAGTGGATACACGTACGAGAGACGATTCTATTTAAAAAACGAAAGTCACTTGGATGTGGAATTTTACTTACCATCACACCTGAGGCCTTGTCGGAACAAACCATACAACATGGAACCACAATGGTCACAAAAGGTCGGTGACATGAACGTGTGAGGACGAAACCTGTGAGGTACATCTACCTTGAAACGCTCCCTCAAGTACTGCCACCGAACAAGTATTGACAGAATTAGAACGGTTTTTGCGTAGGATTGGGTGTTGCGTTACTTTCAACAAATAGCATAAACAGATACAGGATGGTAGTCCACGAACAACCACGTAACCACCTTTTACAAAAATAGGTATCAAATATTCTCATAAAGTTTCCATACTACGGAAAGGGAGGGAACATATAAAAACTTGTGATTAACTACTACAAAAAAATATGTAATTATATAATCTGCTTTTAGTGGGACAAATTTGAACTTGATAGATAAACTAAACCGCCTGAGAAGTTGTCTGAGAATATTCAGAATTTGGTAAAGTTCTGCGTTGCATCACGTTGCAAATGTTTGCAAACGTTTAGAAATAGACGTCAACTTTAACGTACGAGGTAACGTTAGAAACAGTCTTGTTTTTCCAAATCCTCTGGTAAAACCTCTGGATGATCTATGCATCGCTGAGCAAATAAACAAACATAGTTTCCTCGCATAGTTTACGTTGAACGTTCTCACGAATACTGAAGGAAATTTGCGCCTTTCGTTCAGCGAGGTTTCTTCCTTTCTCGGAACAAAAACATATCTCTCGGAGGATCGAGCAGAACGTATTTACTTACTATCGTGTTCTCTGATTCTCTGCCACTCTCCGGGCACTTGGTCAGCAATTTATCGTGGCACTTCTTGTGCACCGCCGTTTGGCAGGCTGAAACGCAGGAGTGGAATATTAATAGAGGTACAACGTGGTAACAGCGAGAAAAACCACGGCCTGCGATTTAATATTTACCTTGGCACTGGTATCCCTGCTTCCCGAATCCCCTGCGACAAAGAGCACACCACAGATTAATTAGGAAACGCGCCGCACTCGAGGGAAATAGCCGGCCGATGCTACGATTAACGTCAACTATTTCTGCATGTCTGTCAATGCTGCCGCAATTTTATGACAATTTGATCGTTAGCACATCGGACAGTGAACGTTCTCGATGAAACATGCGCATTTATTTCCCTCCCTTCTGCTTGCATACGTGTGTTTGTGAAATTTACCAGAGAAAATCCTTGCAGAAGGCACAGAAGGTCGGTTGTCTGAAGAATTTTGCGACTAGCCTGTGACCTCGAACCACGTGCACCTTGTTCTGTTTCACTGCGCCCCTTCTTTTCGTAATTGCTCCACCGACGTTGTGTGTCTTTTCAGGAGGAGGTGACAAGGCTGCCACCGCGAGATCCCTTCGAGGAACCCTAGTTTTGTATACGTACGTTCTTCCCGTGGATGTTGTCGGTGGTAGGTCTGTTGGATTCAGTATTGGAATTCTGGTTCTGGAATGGTATCACGCCATCTTTTTTTTTTTATGTTTTCTTTCAACTTACTGCCCTTTCTCAATGAAACAGAAATCCAATTTAATGTTGTACCAGTCAAACTTTTGGTAACAATGATTTGAATTTAATCGAATTTTAATATAATAGTAATTTTTGAATGCAATATTTCAATGCAGACCAAAACTGATATATAAATCAGTTTGTTTCTTCACAACTCGTGTCTTTTAAACAACTATAATTCATTTTCACAGGGTCAATTTTACACTTGTAATTAATTTCCAATAATTAGTTTGAACATGGAAACCTTTAATATGAAAAATTAATATAAATACTCTGGCATACTTATAATATATATTATTGTAGCTACTTGAGTTATATTCTAAACTCGTGAATAACTTAGAAGTTGTTAACTACACTTGCAACTAATTTAGCTTTCACGTGTAAGTAATTCTTAAAATTCTCATATCTAAAAATTATACATATATATGTTTCAGGCTGTGAATTAATATTCCCTTCTCTATAAAACCTTCTATGTGACAAAACAAAATTCTAAACTGTATTTAACTATCAACTCAAACCATGGATTAATAAGAAATTAGGTAAGTTAAGATATTTTCAATCAACATCCTCCTTACGTCATGAAACATAATAAATAACAGTATTTTATCTAATATCTAGATAGACAATGATGCACCTTTTATTACAACGCAACAGAATTGTGAAATTGTGTAGTTAACTATTAATCCTTTAGTACTCCAAACTATTTTTCAATTATTTCTCTTTTTCCTGGCAGTTTAAAAATATCAAGTGTGACTCAACATCTAAGAGTTCCTGTGATAAAAACTGGCAAAGGAGTGCCAAAGGGATTAAAGAGTGTCAAATTTGATTAATCACAAATGATCATTCCTTAAAAGGATTTAATTAACGACACTGAACAGTCGACAAGCTTTATCTACCGGACCTGTCTCACCTGTAAGTGTATCCGTCCGCGGCCACGCGAGCAGTCTGTGGGCTCCTACGATCCGCGGAGGTCCTCCGGCTGGAACCACCGCCGGCGTTGCGCCTCTTCGCGTGGGCACCACCGGTGAACATCATTTTCCCTATTCACTGATTCACTCTCCTCTTCTTCTGTCCAACGCCTAATTGCCTTGTCATCGAGTGACGACTCGTTTAAATTCTTCAACGCCGAAGAACAACACGTCGGTGACACGTAAAACGTTCGTAAATCGGTGTCCGAATCACCATGTGCCGGATCGTCGATGCTATCTTTTCAGTTTCCCGCCTCGTGACGCTCGAATTCTACAGCGCTCGGCCGCGTAATGCCAGAAGAATTCTCGTCCAACGGCCAGCAACATCTTCGTCTCTGTCCGCCACGAGCAAGGCATCGATCGCTTCCGGTTGAATCGGAATTTATTTATTTCACTGTACCATCATGAAATTGCAATGGAAATTACCCTTCTCTGAAGAAGAAAGAAATAGGTGTGACTGTGACCTTGCTGAATTAAGCCAGCAAGAGACGCAGCAATTCTTCTAATCCTTCATTCCGTTTCTCTTCTACGAGTTCAATTCGCACCGGATCGATTTTCTCTTACAGATCTTGGCAGATCGTCGTGCGAATAAATTCTGACAGTCGATCGACTTCCTCAGACTCAGTACCACCTTCATGGCGCTTCACTTACCACTAACACTGAACATTAGCGATGACAAGAGTTCCAGAGTACGATTATGAAGACAGCTTACAGGAAATTGCCAGGAGATTGTCACAGAAACTTCCCCCCCAAGGGAAAATAATTAGCGGGGCACCGTGTCTCTTCTCGTCCTCGACCAAGACTGTACGTTTTTTCGATTCAAATGGAAGTATGACTAACGCCCGTGTGTCACGAAAGCAAAGGATGCCTCTTCCTTTCGAATTCCTCTCGGCTGATGCGTCGTCAATTCCTCTCGGTCCCAGCGCGATGCATCGTTACAGCAGGAATGTGTCGCGATCGAAAGTAGCACTGACGATGCTCAAACGTCAGTCAGGCAGATTTGACTGATTGCACACGATGCCCCGGGTGCCGTGCTGCTCTTCCGGTTTCTGGACGTAACTTGGATACCGCGGAATATACGCACGATCGGAATTGGAAATCCTATGGATCATCGGATGGATGTTGACGAACGTAGGAACTGGATTTTGACGCCTAAAACGCGTTGTGTAGCTTTGCATGAAACTCTCGAGTCTATAAATATCAGCCTGTTGAATGCCGCCCGCCATCGGATCGTGTCGGATAGCGCCGCGCGCGGGAAATATTAGAATAAACGCGAGATCAGGTGCGTTTTTCCAGTCTGGAAGAGAACAATGAGAGATCTCCAGACAAGGCTGGGGAAAAGTAGGTTTGTAGACGAAGAGAAGCTCGCGCAAAGTTCTAGGCAAATTTGACTATGATGGACAATATATATATATATATATAAAAAAAAAAAAAAGAAATACCAACGCAATGGTCTTGTTTTATGCAAACGACTGTATTTCTTTTCATATAATTAACGATGTGTACAATAAGTTCTGTTTCCTTAGGTATCAAGTACGGCAAAACAGTGGTGATTTCCCCATGATTCATTTTTTTTTTTTTTTTTTTTAATTATTGTGAATAGCGTTTCTCTTTGTCTTAAGTATTAAGTAGTATCTCTGCTGTTTCTTTATCTATACGCATTGCATTTTACAACAGGGACTTTCGTGACTGATTCTTTTTTTTCTGGTGGAACAAGAAAAGAGATCCCTCTCGTGGAAAGATCGTCGTGTTGATAAATATCGTTGAAGAAAATTAGAGAAGCCGCTTCGCACACAGCCTTTTCATATGATACACACACGAAAATACAACGAGGAAGCTGTCCGATCGTCTTCGGCGCTATGTACAGTAGAGAAGTAACAAATAGTTACAGATTCGATCGTGGAACAATTTGTGCTCGCGATAGAATCTCACGTTAGGACCTATCCCGTATGGGTCTCCTCGTCGATGAACATGTGCAGAGCTGTTACTTTCGCCTACGGCGAATCTACATCTTAAATAATGGAACTAACAGTAATCTTCTTAAAAATTACAATATTTATATATTTATATTTATATGTATATATATATATTATATATATAGAAGGTAAGAAATAGAGAATTCTAAATCGATACGAACATCTCTACGATAAAAATCCAAGTAATTCTTACAAAAAAGACTTTCATCAATAGAAGAAAAAAAAAAGAAAATTAAAGAAAAAAAAATACCGCTCTTCATTTAAATCTATTGAGCGATTTCGTGACTGATTGTGTGTGTATTCGCGCACGTGTGTGTTTGTGTGTGTTTGCATTTTGCTATTATCAAAATTCCCTAGCTAGTGGTTTTCCTAGTTACTTTTAAAAAACGCTTGAAATCCACGTAAAAGAAGAGTTATCAATTGGGAATGATTAAAAAATATACATCAGAAAGGATTCATTTTCTCGCCTCTTTTTTCTTTGTCTTCGCTGTCTGTCAGTTTGCGAATATCAGTGTACCGCTTTGAAAACTTGAGAACAGGGGGAAAAGGCGCAAATCATAGCCACAGTTCTATTGTGTACAAATTATTCTAGAAACAAATAGGGCCTGATAGCTTCAACGTAGTTTCCCTAATCTTGGTCTCACGTGTTAGCAACTTCTGTGTCGCGCAAATTTAGATGGTAATTAGCGAACAGGTCGCAGGGACGACTGATTGGTTGTCAGTGGTCGGTTGCTAGTTTCTTAGGCTGGCGTTCCTGAGCACGTTTCAGCCGCTGTTGCAACAAGTTGTGAAGCTCTTCCACTTCCTTCGGCGCTGCTTGAACAATGAAAATTCTGATAGTTCCTTGAACGTCCATCGCAGTTAACCTCAAGGATTTCGGCGCTGCTCGTTCTGCCGTCATTCCCGGCCACACTTTCGTGTTCATAATTAATCTCTGGGTCCCTGCCGTACGTCCTACCAGCCGAGATTCTTCATCGCGGTCGTTTAGTCTTAAAGTGCCTCTACCTCTTTCCTGCCAGCCGCTACTAGCCTGAACAAAATCGGACATTTACCATTAGACTAACAATTCTTATATGAGCCACAATAATTCTTATACAAACCTTATCGAACGCAAAGAACTTGCAGTTTATCTGAAGGATGTTCGTTTCGCCCTCTTCGCCGGTTAGCGGTGTTATTTGACTGTATTTCCTCTTATTAGCACGATTTGCTTCTTCTAGTTCTTGAGCTGCTTCGGTTAATGTTAGTCCTGGTTTTGAGGTAGTACGACACGCCGCTGACGCATTGGAAAAGAGAAGCTCCGTCGAGCCGTTTGCATTTGTGCTTTCATCTTTCTTCTCCTTTTTGTCTTCACCTTTCGTTTTCTCGGAGCTTTCCGCATCGTTCGCGATCATAACGCGTTCCTGTAGGTTTTGACCAAAGACAAAATTTGGTTCTGAAGTACAAGGCGCCACCGTAGTATTTACACTGTCCTTTGCGCTTGTACCCAGCACTAGGAAAGTAGACTTTATTTCCTCCGTTGGCTTGTCCTCTTTCTTAGTTTCCTCACTCTTAATTTCCTTTACTTCACTTTTAGCTTCCTCTGCCACACTTTTATCATTCTTCTCCTCACTTTTATCCTTTTCCTCTTTGTTTTTCTCTTCTTTTGTTTCCGTTTTGTTGCTTTCTTCTTCTTTTTCCTTATTTTTTTCGTTTACAAGCGTATCTGAGATCTTTGCAAACGGATTCTGAAACTTGGCTGGTTGTAAATATATTTTAGTGGTGGGCTGATTGTTCGTCACTGTGCCCAACTGAGAGGGCCACAACGTGAAAGACTTTTTTTTCTTAACTAAGTTTTTAAAAGAGTCATTACACCCAAATGACGTTCCAAACTTTGAAGCAGCTAACACTGGTTTGGTAGAACTCGACGGTGATTCCTGGGTATTGTTCTCTGTCGATGTGCTCTCCATTTCTTCTGGAACAATACAAACTTCGTGAACCCTTTAACTGAAGCTTGATGCATGTGTCGTAGCACGTGCAATTTGAAATAAGAGTCGTTGGTTTTAATTAAAAATTACACTCTGTCATAGCATGATACCAAGCGTATGTAAAGCATTCCAATTATATACTACTAGCTTCATAGAGAAAAGCCATAATGAAGTTGAAGCACTTGAAACAAAAAAATAATACAGCATATTATTTACCACTAGTAGAATTTTCTGGTGAATCTCCCGACGACTCTTGCGGTGGATCTACTTTTAAAATATAGGATGGTCGATTTGTCTCTTCTTTGTTCTCTGTGTGAAATTCAAAAACAAACAATTAACACGAGTGCCAAACAGAATTACTTTGTCAATCTTGCTTTAAAGAGTAAATATTGCCGAGAAAAAGGAGAAAGGAATACGGGAGGACGTGCAATTCACAAAAGTGGGTAATGCCGACAGAAAAACGATGATTTCGTACGAATCTTCAACTATTGCAATTGTGCAGAATTTATCGTTAGTATACCGTACAAGAAAGGAATCACAAACGCACCCTTGCAGTCCGCCATGTTTCATGAGGAAGTGATCATGTCGCCATCTAGTTATGTTATTAGGAAATAAAAAACATCTACACATATAATCCATACGTGTATGTGTGTATGTGTACGCATGAATATTTTACATCGTAATATCATTACATTTCTCTTCGTTGGAAACGTAATTACATTGTTACAACAAGATTCGTTTCATTGAAATAAGACCAGATGAAGCCGTTACAAAAATTAAATAAAAGTACTACTCGAAATGTTTATCGAAGAACTTATTGGTCATTTACGTTTATTAACTAATCTTCAATCGTAGTTTATTAAATATTCATTCAATTAATTACTCTATTTTTTTTCTTTTAAATTTCGTAACATATTAATATTACGTACGCATATACTTAAACCATTATCAACTATGAGAGGTCATCGAAGTCCTCGTTGATCTTTTTATTTCGTTTAAAAGCAAGTTTGTTTTTTTTCTTCATAATTTTATAATTCGATTCAATTTAAATAATAATATTTGACAATTATTTCAGTTTCTCAGCATCGTTTCTCTTCTTATCTTAATGTCATCTTATCTTCTTATCATGGTGTCATCAATCGCCATTAGTTATGTTCGAACACGTTTTCCCGCCATAAGTATAAAATATAGAATATTATATAGAATATGTTGCACAGAAAACCTCAAGGTTATGATGTAAAAATTTAAATTAAAATATTGCTGACATCATAATAATAATTCTTTATTAATGAAGTTTATTGGCGACGTGGTAGTATCTCGTATCATATGTAAATACGAAATATCATGAGTAGTACAGGAGTGGGAGAAAGTTAATCGATTGTAGTTCCAGGCCGACGTTTTGTAGATTTGAACCAGTGCCATAATACGAGTGGAAAGTTCTCTAAAGTTCCAGATTTTTCCAATCGTTTCGTTACCAAAGCACAATGTCTCTTGACGAAGTATGTAAATAGTTTTGTGGTTATCATATTTTAAATTATATTACATCTAATTATATGTTTTATCATAATTAGTTAATAGTTTCTTCAATCCTTGTACTTTGAACTTTTACATAAACTCATGAAACGAAGACTATTGAAACTATTTTTGTACTCTTTTTTTCTTTTAAGAGATTTAATAAAGCTGCAGAAGAGGTGAAAGAATTAAGTGCTCCAGCTTCGGATGCTGACTTGCTTGAATTATACTCACTGTACAAGCAAGCTACTGTTGGAGATTGCAACACAAGTATGTAGAAGGCCATTATGGTTTATGATTACTTAATATACTTTGAATGACATTATGTTTAAAATTGCTTAATATATTTTGGTTGAAAATTCCATTTGCATCGATAAGTTAGAAAGGATCTTGAAGGAAGTTAAACCTTTAAATTTGTAATATGAATAAATCACTTGATGCAACAAGTCATTTGGAATTTATTGAGAATATTGAAATCCACTTTCTAACTTTATTTTATGATCTTAATTTTCAATTCTAATTGCACAACAAATGATATAGAATAGACATGCAAAAAACTGAATTTAAAAACTTAATGAATAATGAAATGTTTTTGTACAATTTCAAACTCGTTGAATTCTAATGACAATTTTGTGACATTAATAGTATTATTCTTTTCAAGGGAGATTCCAATTTTTTTTTTTTTTTTTTAGCAAGGCCAGGCATATTAGATTTCAGAGGTAAAGCTAAATGGGATGCTTGGGACAAAAGGAAGGGCATGAACCAAGACGATGCAAAAGAACAGTACATTCAGAAGGTGGAAGAATTGATATCCATCATTGGGAAGAAATAATGCGACAAATTTATATACACACTTTTACCAAATTTTATCTTTTTTATACAATTATAAATATGCAATGTATTTATCATCTTTAATACCAGGGTGCAGTAGTTGCAAAAATGTTTGAATACATCTTGAATTAATCTTTTTGATACTTGATATTTAAATGATTTAACTGTCTATGCTGGGTATAGACAAAAATTGTTACAAGAAATTATGTTATTGAAAAGGAATTGATATATTGAATTGATAAATCAAACTTTTCATGGTAGCTGAATTTATTTTACTATCACTGGTTAACTATTTACAACGTCGATATTGTTGACTTGCGAAAAGTCAACACATACATTATATTCACTCATCGACATGTAACTGTTAACGTACTTATCTTTCGAATACATATACACGAGTTTTAATACGACATCGAAGCGTATAACGGTGAAAATATTAAAAAAAGGAAAAAAATTGATACTTTACCCTCCGTTTTTGAAAACTTTTACATTGCTCGACTATCTTGTTTGTATGAATTTCAATTTGTAGGTGAACTTCATTATATGAATATTATAAATTTCAATGGAGCTAAGAAGATCAAAATAAACAATTACTTTGTTACAATACGTTTTATAATAATCATCCTATCTTGAGATAAGTGTTTGTTACAAATATGAAAAGAGAGAACATCAGAGACGAGATATAGTACTGGATATCAAGAGTAATGAAATGTACTAGCATATATTAATGACGTATTTGTTTTCTTCTCCACGTTAAGTTTTAACATCTTTTTTCCCTTATCATTATATACACATACGCAAGAAACTAACTAAGAGAAACAAATAGGATTACGACATTTAAGTTTGCTTATGAGGAAACATTTCCGCAACAGAAAAACTTAGCCCTGCATGTAGTTTAGTTCTTTCCTTGCGGATCGATCAGAAAGAAAAGAAAAAATATAAGAGGAACACATTTCTTCCATCGTGAATGTTTCACCGCGATTCTCGAAAACAAAAGATGGAAAAGATCCACTGTAGTAAAATTTGTCGTAATACAATTTTATCCTTTAAGAGCACTTGTTATGACTGCAAGTCGATCGTGATGCCTTAAACAAATATACGTGTGATGAAATTCATCCTCATGTGTATGTGTTGTGTCTATTCGCATAAAAAATAAAATGTGTACGCGTATGTTTTAACAATTTAAATTCTATCAAATTCAGTCGAGGTATCTCTGCGTGTGTGTGTGTGTGTGTATGTATGTATGTATATGTGGGTGTTTGTTTGTTTGTTGTGTATATGTGTAGATGTTTGAAATTCGTGCGGCTTACAAATAAAAATCTAGCAGTTATATAACTTACGACATAGTGTAAATTAACCTTCTAAGGAATCTAGGATAAGCGAAACTTACCAGATTAAACGTAACACGCCAAAATTTGAACGGAAACGACGCTATCTATAAAACGCAACAGAATGTTCTGTAATAACAATTTCTTTCTGTTCCTTTGTAGAAAGAAGGGCCTTTTCCCTCTTTCTCTCTCGCGCGCTCTCTCTCTCTCTCTCTCACACACACACACACACATACACACATTCTCTCAATCGCAAACAAGAATCAATTAAACACACCACTTTCGATGCAAAATCTTTACAACGAATTTTGCAGCGAATTTTTTTTTTTTTTTTATTGATCAAATCGAACATTTGTGGTCAGTCGGAGCTAAGCCACGTAGAGTTTTTCATTTTTTTTTTCTCAATCCCGATTATGTGAACAATAGCAAAAGCAACGTTGCGGAAAATGATATATTGTACAACAATCAGAGTTCCGTGAATGATACATGTATACGTATGCAATGTAATGTTCACATATGTATGCGTTTAATTCGAAAAGAAAAGTGGATAATAAAATAAAAGGACTAAAATGAAAAAAGATACAGACAAAAAGTAACGAATGAGAGAAGGCTGCAAGAGTGTTGCCTCTACTTTTTCTTACTCTTATCGTGCTTCTTAGTGAGAAGTGGATGATGGTGCGTCTTTATTCTGCTAGCCTTCTGATGATCACCATGGACTGTTCTCGAGTTCTGGCCAGCCATCGAGATATCGCTGGCACTGTCGGTCAGCTGGCGACTCGTCGATGACTCGTCAAACCTGGCAAAACAGAGAAGGTGACGGGAACAAAAGCTCAATTAGTATTTTGACGCGGCTGTGTTTTACTTAAAGTGTTAGTTCTTTTCCCGAATTGAGCAAGTTTTCCTGCTCTTTTTATTTTTTTAATCTGTTTTAAAACGGGCTCGATCGCTCGAGCTTAGAGATCCAATCACTGTCATCGAATTTCGTCGAGTAATCGCTGTTTCTCAAAATCTCGTTGCTCTCGTTTGCATTTTAAATCATAAATATGTGCATCTATATGTATGTACATGTATTTTGTCGTTTTCTTGTACAATGTGTGGAGAAATGCGTCAACTAACGGGCACTACATCATTTGAACAGTATCTTTTTATATAGAATACTCCAACGAAAAAAACGAAGTAGTAAGTTGTTGAAGAGACAATCTAAATAAGAGAGAAGAACAACATTTTATATTGTTAAATTAACCCGACGATTAACGCTATTTTTTTTCTTTTCTTTTTTTTTTAATGTTCATTTCATTTCAGGTAGCAGGAACACAACATCTCGGTAGAGCGCAGAAATATTACTCGTGACACGACGACAGGAATTTCTCAATTGCCGAGCGGAGATCGAGCGAGCGTTCTTGATAGAGAACTGATTTAAGAACTGTACGTTATTGATTGTGGCACGCCGTTCACCGTCTTCGACTTCAGCACATCGTTCTCGTACGACAATATTGTTTCCTTCCCGTTTTCGAAAACCCTACAACAGAGAAAGAAATTGTTACTGCACACATTTTGTTACAATTCCGAATTGTTCCTGCGATACAATACAACTCTCAAGGTAAAATCTTTGAAGAGTTCTTTCTTATTTGCAACAAGCTCTTACTTTTTGGTGGTGATCTTTTTGCCATTGATGAATCGAGTTGAAGTACTTGTCCGTTTCACAGCACCGCCAACGCTGCTCCCACCGTAACTCGCATACGTATTGAACGAGGTGAAGTTTCCTGACGAACCTTCAAACAAGTTGTTGAATGGTGAAAAACCGAAGTGAGAAACTCCTAATGGGCCAAAGAATGACGTGCTAATGCTGTTACTGCTTGGATGGCTATGCCTGTTGGATCCGAAGCGTATACCAACTTCGCTAAGGTCTTGGGGAGGAAAATTAAACACCAGTTAATCACATGGTTCCCACTGTAGGTAGTCTTTGAACATATGTATATTATTCCATATTAATTAGTACAATACAATTCATTCAACGGAGAGGGTAGATGCAAAACTGTATCTGAGGGTATACACGTAATTGGTATTGCACAAATTCACTGATCACAAGCTAGAATGGTGTTTACTTACCGGAGAATAAATCCTCGAAAGAAGTACCACCAAAGAATTCCTTAAATACTTCCTCAGGATCTCTGAACATGAAGGTGCCGGCAAAGTGCGGTTCAAAATCGTCCTTGTGTCGCCTCTTAGCACCGGGCATTTGAAGTCCCTCTTTTCCATATTGATCGTAGACCCTCCTTTTCTTCTCTGAAAAGCACATAAGGCAAAAAGCGATTATTGCTAATTGCAAGACGAAGTTTGAAGGCAGATTGCTTGGTTTTATTCGCTCCAAATTCCAAGAAGCAGGTACTGCAAGGCTTGTTTGGTTAGTGGAATACTTGTTGAATGATTTCTGACATCAATTTGAGATCGTCCACCACAGGAGCAAAGTCAATTAGAAAGAGAGAGAGAACGATCTTGGGAATTGTGGATGAACGACAGGGATATGGACAAACTTCGAAGAAACCGTAACAGCTTTTTAAGGGGTTAGACAGTTTTAGTGCCGAGGGTTATGTCTCTTCAATTAAAAAAAAATGCAACCATGGTGTGACATAGTTCCTCGAAAATCTGCCTTTCTCGAGAGGAAATTATTGGTAGTAAGTTGGTCGTTCAGTCAGTCGAGCAATGGCAAAATTGTTAGAGATGCGGTAAAGAGATTACAGGCAATATTATCTGCGTTTACGGCGACTCATACAAAGAGAAAAAAGTATCTTTCGAGCTTTCCACAAGGACTCGCAGAGAAACCAATCAGAAAATCTCTAGAAAATCTCTGCTACGAGTTCCAGCAAGAAATGACTCTTTTTTTTTCTTTTTTAAGGTAAATGAAGGGATTAGGCATCTGACACTTGATGAGTTTCCCATCAGTGAAACTTTTGCTACACAATAAATACTTCCATCTTTCTTTTTTGTGTTTCATTAAAAAATTAGAAAGGAAAGAGAGAGAAAGAGAGAGAGAAAAAAAGACAAAGTTAAATTCCAAAAGTAAACAATGAAGAGAGAGAAAAAAAAGGAAAAATAAATAAAACTAAAAGAAAACGGAGAAAAATGTTTGGCCACTCTCAAAGTCTTTTTTCTCTTAAGCGGTACCGAAATATCGCTGGAAAGGAGAGTCAAAGAAACTCCGATAGGTGAATCCACGGCCGGGCCTCGAGGACGCCTTCTGATACAATCGTTGGTCGTAGGTTCGTCTCTTCGCATCTGGACATCGAGCACGGTCACGAGAGATCGACCGGAAACAAACATTTCTGATTGAATTTTCTCTTTTACAAATTTTCTCCCCGCGACACCTCGGTTTGTCGACTCGGCACGACACGACGTTCGTCGGTTGTCGCAGCGATGCTTCGGCTTAAAAAAAAAAGAGTTCGCACCCGCCTGCACTCGACTCTCGAGTTTCCAACAGAATTCTTCGATTTCGTTATCGATCGTTATTCTTTTCGCTAAGTGTAACTAGAAAGAAAAAAAAGCAGAGAGTCAGCCTCGAAACTTAAAAAAGAGGAAGAGAGACGATAAACCAGAGATCTGAAAACTCAAGAACACGTAAAGACGGTGTGCGCGTACGTAGAAACTCAAGGATCAGAGTAAGAAATTGGAGCTGCGAGTAAATTATTCGAAACCTCGAGGGCGATATTGTCGCCGGAATAAATCATCGGAAATGAATTCGTTCTATCGAATTGTCAAGCATCGATTATCGTTGCGGCTGACGATTAACTCTCGCAGCTCCTCTTGGTAGCATCAAGTGCCGGTTGTGAAACAGCCATTCATAAGGGAGAATCGATTCGTTCTAGATCGAACTGCCCGGGCTCCCAGAATAAGTTGTACTACTTGGAGGCCGCTCGAAAGAGAGAAGGCTCATGCGAAATTTGGGCTTTGCTGACAAGTAGGAGTTGCTCTTTGCCCGAGTCTCCCGCGTTGTCATCGCGGCGCTCTTTTGTTTTCGTTACTGAAGCTAGAGGCTAGGTGTCGATTAATCGCAGAGAGACAGAGATCATGATTAGAGAACTATTCTTTCTTTCTTTTTTTTTTTCTTTCTTCTTCTTTTTCTTATCTGGAAGAAGTTCTTCATCAGGTCACAGACGAACGATCCTTCTCGATAATAATTTTGTCGTGTAATCTTTCAATTCTGAGTCGAACACGCCAGGACAAAATGAGGAAAGGAACTCACCATCGATTAATACCTCGTACGCCTCGGATATCTCTTTGAATCTTTTGTTCGCCTCCTCCAGGTTGTCAGGGTTCTTGTCCGGGTGCCATTTCAATGCCAATTTTCTATATCTGCAAGGCAACGCTTTGTGTTTAATCAACCGCGAGCAACGACGATGCCTCTTTACGAGGAGGGCTCGAGGGGAACGTCTCTGCGCGTAACCGAGAACGCGAGAGCCCGACTTTTTGGATCAGAGCCAGCTGTGCCCAACGTAGCTGAAGTAAAAAGCCATTCATTCAATCTTTTCCCCCCCGCATCGCCGCGTTTATAATAAAACAGCACCAATGACAAACAAGTAATCGCGCGTATTTTCAGCCTGTAATTCATTTTACCACGTGTCTGTCTCCGTAGCATTGAACTTGAGATTATCTTTCCTATTATGAATCCCCTTTTTTCAATCCCAAAGGTTGAACACCGACGATGAGTTCTGCTGCTCTGATCCTCCTCGAAAATCGCTACTTACGCCTTTTTGATATCCCCGCTGGTGGCGTTCCGTTGCACTTCCAGTATCTTGTAATAGTCAACCATCGTTCACAGTGCTTGCACTCGGTCTGTTGGGTCTTAGGCAACCACCTGTCGAACAATGCAGAGAAAACGGTTATAATAATTAGCGAGCCAATTGGCAGCCACGCGACGAGCCACGGTGAATCACAGGGGCAGGGGAAAAATACAGCCTCGTCGATCTCGTTCTGGCTCCTAGTTATTATACTTTGAACGAAAGACAAAAAAAAAAAAAAAAGAAAAATGTAAGAAACAAAAGCTGACGATACAACAAAGGCTCTTAGACCTTCCGATCAACAAATCGAGCGACATAATTCACGACATCTGACCAGAGGGCAGATGTAACTGAAGGTAGCTGTGTCTGTCTGTAATCGACGGCCCTCGCGAATTTTCACAACTCGAGGGCTACTGATTTCTTGCAGGAACCCTCTTCAAAGAAAGTTTCCGACCACCTGTTGCCCCCCTGTGGAGGTTCAATCAACGCGACATCCTTTTGCACAGCGAAAAGAACGGTCTGGCGAAAACGGTCTGACTGGTACGTTTCTTTGACGTTGCATTTCATTTTCGTCAGCTTCCCAAAGATCGAGGCGAGAAAAGAAAAAAAAAAAAAGAAACTTAGAAAACTTAAAAAACCGAAGGAATCATGGGTTGGATCGCGTGAACGACGTCCAAGAATCGTCGGAATGCACTCCCATTGAAACGGCGACAGGTTGAGCACCGGCGAAAAATACGCGGCAGACTTCTAAAATAGTTCCCCACGTACTATGCGGCGTGTATTCCAGCGAACGCGCGGTTATATTCCACCGAGTTAATTTTGCGTGCCATCTTCGAAATAGTCGGCTTATATAAATGGCTCCTTTTGCGTCATGGAAAACAGAAAATCGTCTGTGCCCAACAATCTCTGTCTCGGTCCCCTCTCGCCTCGAAAGCGTAACGATCGTTATGTTATGTTAAAAAAAAAAAAGCTTGCGCAAGCTTGCGTCTAAAACTCCTAAAATTTTCAAAACTTACACGCATGCTTCTTCTCTGTCAACGTCGCGCATCTCTTCAATTCGCTATTGAATCATATCGAGTGTCGTTCTCGAACTCGTTTTCATTTTGAATAGGCGATCGGCTTTGAATTTTAAATGGAGTCAACACGCTGCCGCGACAATGGCGGAAGCGATTAAATCGATACACATACACACGCACGCACACGCATGCACGCGCCACGCACAGAAGAGGCGGCTCACAGGCAGGAAGTGAGAATGGAGAGCACGCGTGATTGAGCGTGAGCGGCCCGGTGAAAACTGACGGCTCAAAGTCAAAGGCTGGACTAACGAAAACGCTAAAGTTAGCCGAGACGATGTATCGAAAATAGTTAGAAACACGGAGGTGGAGGTCATTACGTTATCCCACTTCACGGCTCTTCGACGTCCCTCCCTCCACCTGGTGGGCAAGAAAAAGCAGCCTTCTTGCACTCTGCCCGTTTCGTTCGGCCAGCTACGCTACAAAATACACCAGAGAATCACGAAACGATCTAAAGTCGATCCAAAAAGTACTATAAAGAGATCCTCCAGAGTGAGGCCAAGTTTGGAAGTGAATCCTTGGAATCTCTCGTTTACCAAAGGATTATCAGAGATCACTTTCAGAATGCTAGTTCCTCTCGATCAATCTGCCATGTTTGAAACGCTCAATTCCACAATCGATTCCTCATTGTGGTCGGTGTGGATTTTAGCTGAGGCTCTATCGCGCGATGTGTCGTTGGAGTGTGTGTTAGTAGGTGAGCAGGAATTCTCTCGTCGCGCCAGGTGGACCGGGTTTCATGTCCATACGCGATCGTGGACGCCACCTCCGCGATCGGGTCGAGGACGTTGGTACGAGGCAACTTTATATATATGTACATATATATATATATATGTATGTATGTATGTATACAGATCGTTTCCTATTTCTTCTTTTTTCATTCTTACAAATCTTCCACGTTATTTCTATCCAAAAGAAATAATTAAACGAACCGTACCTTTTTATCCGACGAAACGTGTCATCCTGTTTTCGATTATTAATGCTGACGGGCCTCGCCAATCCACGAACTAATAAAGTATCCTGCAGCTGAGGATTATAATAAATTTGCGGCGAAATCACGAAGTCCGTGAGTCACGCCGGTTTCGGTAGTGATTTTTGGCCTACCTACACGAAGCCAAGAGACCCAGCACTGTTCGCAGGTAAAACCACGCGAACAGTCATAGTCATCGTCGACGTGGGTCGTCGTGGGCGTCTTTCCAACAGCTTGTCGCGAGAGAAGAACACCCTTCCTTCCACTTCGCACGACGGATAATTTCCATTCTCTCTCCGAGTCACTTAGCAGATCAACGATCTGAAATCTTGAACCACTTGTTCACTTTTTTTTTTTTTTCCAAAGATGTTGGTGGCAACCTGAACAGCGATCCTAAAGTAACTGTAAAAAGATGAAAGTGGCTGATCTCTTCGACCCATTGAACCGTTTCTCAAGACACCGTGACCAGCGGAAAAACTGCCCGTGCAAGGCGAGCGACTTCTTCTTCGGAGAGAAGCAATGCCGCCGATGGAAATTTCGCTGTGGTCCGGTGCAGCATTTAGCGCGGCCAGGAGGAGGCGTTGCGTTTTAGCGCGGCGCAAGGAACGGGTGTTCGATATTTTAAAATTCATCGGTGCTCCCCCCCCCCTCCCTCCCTCTCCTTCGATCGGCGAGAAAACTGGACTCGAGAGGCCTGGCTTACGTAACGTGCAATTCCGAATGTTTCGGATGCCTATTGTTGTTCGTAACGCGGGCAGGAAAGTCTGTTCGGTGTTATCAATTGCTCCCGGGAACCGCGCAGCCCTTAACCACTTGCGCTGGCAAACGATTGCGGACCATAACGAGTGACCAAACCGTATGCAATAATTCGTCGCTTTCTTCTTGGACTCGTTGGTACGATATCATCTGGATAGAAACTATTGAGAAGCAATAAATTTATTATTATTTTTAGTTTCGCCTGCGTTATGCTTCAATATATACTTAAAACTGAGGAAATGTTGCAATTTTGGGACAAACAATTCTCGACGTGCGTGGCAAGAGGATAAACAGCTCTTAACAGTAATCAAGATGTGTCGATTCTGTAGTTTTTGCGTCGTATTTTTGAGTCGTTGCAAATGAAATGGACAAATTCCTCACAAAACTTTTTTCAATCAATGTAGCATATTCTTCTTGAATATCACTGATTCAATTATAATTCTAAATTTTTGGTCGATTATTGTTTTTAAAGTTTCAGTGACTGTGATCAATATCGGATTCATCGCTTCGACTTTTTACAGTAAATAAAATAAATAAAGTAAATAAATAAAACAGTCAATAAAATCTCAATTGTCAGTTCTCAGTTTTGAGCCACTTTTTAATGTAAATAAATAAAACAGTCAATAAAATCTCAATTGTCAGTTCTCAGTTTTGTATCAATAAGTTATTGAACAATATTTTTAACTACTTTACATATTTGTGATACAAGACGTTTCATGTGCAACAACCTAAAATACTTTATAGAAGATATTTCATATTTCTACTGGAAAGTATTTTTACAACGTTCTGATTTTGGATCTTCAATTCCACAGAAAAATTATAAATGTAGGGAACTACGCAGGTAAAGTTGTAAACGTAGGATGAGATCCCTGGGACCATAAAGTAATTGCAAAAGTTATTTTTTAGGTGACTGACCTTGTCCAACGGTGCAATTTTACAGAAAAAAAACTTACCTTCCCAATCGCGTGATTGAGAAAGGCACAAAGAGAGTTGGCCTCATATAAGGAGCGCTCGTCCCCAGTAGTGAAGACATCTTACATAGTTTGATTCTTAGAACGGTCTACTTCCTCAACGTCTATGCCTGATACGTTTCCTGCTGTCGCTACACACGCCTTGCGACCGCTCGCAAACAATAAAGGTATATTACAACGTGAAGTAACACATAACAAAGTATAGTTTGTTTCCTCGATAACTTAGTGCCCCTAAAATAAAGCAGTAAGAGAACTAAGCAATCCTTCTTCTACCTCTAGTTTGAATGATATCGACTCTGAAGCATCATGTTGCTAATTCTTGAGGATAATTGAAAGATGATTCCACAACGAATCATTCTTCTTGTGTAAATTAATTGACGATTGTTCCATGATAATCTGAAAGACGCTCAATCGAATTGCTGTTAGTAATGGATTTACCATGGAGAAGTGAGATGTCTAGGCATCACGTTGATCGTTAATAAACGACACGTACCAGTTTTGGTCTTGACATTCGTCCAAACATAATCGCCGGAGCCGAGAAATGATCTGGGCAGTACTCCAAGAATGGAAAGATCGGCTACAAGGCGGTCTCGTTGCTCTCATGCTGGATGTAAATCACTCTCTTGTTTCGGATATTAATTTGTTCACAGCTTTTCCAAACTTTTGCGCACAGAGTTACATACTTTTGAACTTGCAGTATATCCTTTCTCACAACGTGTTCATCGATCTTCGTCATATTTTCATAATTAAACAGCTAATTAAATTTGGAATTTTTGGAAGTCAATTCTCTAATATTCGTGATCTTGAGCCACTGAATAAGATAACAGAAGAGAGTGAGTAAGATACAGTGAAGATGTGAAAGAACGTTTTACGTTAATGTGACACGTTGAGAATTTTTTGTTCCAAACTGCAACATTTTCTCAGTTTTAAGTACATTTAAATGTAACCCAGGCAAAACAAATGATAAGTTTGTTATTTCTTAATAATTTTCTATCCAGTGATATCATACCGACGAGTTCAAAAGAAAATGAAAGCGACGAATTATTGTATACGAAGCGAACCAGTTGCCAGCGCAAGGGATTAAAACGAAAGAAGATGAAATTCTTCTTTCATCACAAACGTCGAATTAAAAAGTAGACATTCGTCGTCGAGAATTTCGAACAAACATTTGAAGAACACGCGATGGATTCTCTAATAATAAGTGAAATCTGCCTTGGAGCGATCGAGTAAACTATTGTCCTCGCCGGTGAAAATTGACACAATCGGTTTGAAGATTGGTTGGAAGTTCAAGGTTACTATGAAACATCCTCCAGCAGCTGTTGATCGAGAACCGTTTTAAAAACCATCGTTCGTGGAATTTACGTGAGTAGAGAAGTCCCGCGTAATCGAGAGTATTTCCGAGAAAAGTATAGCAGCTACGTGGGTGGCAATAGCCTACTCGACAAATTAGTCACAGAACATAAGCAGCAAGCGATCAGACGGAAAACAACGCAGAATCAGTACCAACGAAACGTTGGATAAAATCCGATCGGGAGTTTTTTTTTTTTTTAAAGAGTCGATCAGGGAATGGAGAAACGATCTCGTTTCGATTTCCATGGAAAATAACAAAGTACGTAGGGGAAAGAAAGAACGAGAGAGAGAGAGAGAGAGAGAGAGAAACGGTGGGTGTCCTTTTGCGCTCTCCCGAGGAGGTGTGACGTCAGTTTTACATATTCGGGCAGTGTGAGCGAAGCGACGCACTGAGGAAAAAGGATCTTGAAAGGTTGTTGTCTGTCCGTGTTGGTCAACGGCAGAAGGACAATCTCGGCCATCCTTGTCCGTTTAAAATACCATTCAGGCCATTTCCTTTGTCTTCCCAGCCGTCGAGTAAACAATTCCGTAACCTCCGTATGACTGAAACGTTTTCGCCATGAACGTATATTATTCACGCTTATTTCAATCTACTTTCTCATATCTACTAATGTATATTTCAAAGTAATCAGCGTATGCGTCACCTGGTTTTGAAATATGATGAAAGATGAAGAGAAGGGATATTCACCAAGGAAAAAAATTCACCATTTTCTCTCAGATTTTCCACAGGCTCGTGCCGATATCTCGTACCAAGTACCTCCTCCTATTCCTAATTCATCGATTTATCTTCAAACATTATATAAATATATACCAGGACATCACTGGCAGCTTCAATGGCATTGCATGATATTGCGTAACGTACAGATCCACTAAATGTTTCACCGTTTCGTTTCTCCTTGTTCGGAGGATCGATCAGGCCTTTCCTCGAGCCTTTCTAGTTTGGCGAGTCTGCATTTGGGAGGACAATGTGTACGCAACACGTGTTGCGTTAGGTCGCTGCTAGAAAATGTCGGTTAAAAGGCCAATAAAAGGGTCTAGGACAGCTTCAAGCAGCGTCGTTTAATTTTAGCCATGTGTCCCTCTATAAACCTTCGCACCTTTAAGATGTTCTATTGCGTGTCATCTACGCTTCTTGTCAACGAGGATAATTAATAACGTGATGTAATCGATCCGCACAGAAGTTGTAAACGAATTAGTGATTTTGCTCCTCTTCCTTGAAAAAGTCGAGCTTGATGTGAAAGTCGGCTAGGTTTGAATGATTGGAAATAATGGTAATTACGTTAACAAGGGGACAGTATTAATCGTTGCGAAAACATTGTTCCACGTTGATAGCGCCAATTGTGATTAATTATTGAAACGCTGCTCTCAAATGCGTGCAGATACATACAGATAATTAAGTCAATTGCACTTCACACCATTGAAGATTGAACGTGTGGACAACAGAGATTTGGAAGCGAAAATCTGATAATCTTGTCTGATACTTGATAATCTTGATTCTGGAGCAACTTGTTTTAACTCCAACTTGATATTTGGAAGTTGTTCAATGTATTTGATGAATGTATTGAAAGGAAGAGAATGGACAAGAAATAGTCCAACTTTGTAGAAAATATATCATTTGTAGCCAATGACTAGAGTGCGTTTTCACTGAGTTTTATGTAAATGTAATCTGAAATGATGGATAATGTATAATAGCAATATTAGATATAAATGTAAGAGAATAAAACGTGTAATCAGTCCAATATAGAAACTGAGGTATTTGTCCTATGTTTAAAATAACATGACAAATCCAATCTTGCGTTTACATGAATGTGGATGTAACAAAACATTTGAATGCAATGTAAGAAGTTGTAACTGTACGAAGACAGTATAATGTATTTCAAAGTAGCTTCCAAGAAAATTGCTGAGTTGTTATCATTTTCCTGATATCTCTGAAACCTACTGACATCAAGAAACGTAATTATTACTACATTCTATTTAAAAATATTATTTTCTGCATTTTACTTTTAAATGATAACCCATTGCAGCATGTATTATTTTAATATTTCATTTGTTGAGAGAAAATAGATTACCAACTGTAAGACAATTAAAATCAATTGTATATATGCCACAGTGTGTATTAACTATATACATCAGCCTGTGTGTAACAAACGAGACGTAGTTGATAATTAAAAGATAGTAACCGTGAATCATCACGGTTCAAATGGTGAAGTCTACAGATTGAGAAAATAATTTCCGCGAACACGTGTACGTTAATCAAACTGACACCAAAAAAAAAAAACGATAATTTGCGTAATACCATGGGAACCAGATAAATTGGCTAAGTCGATTCGATTCTGCTGACACGACGCAAATCCGGAAGAGCTTGCACGAAAAACGCACGTTTCTATTCGAGCTGAATGACACTAACGGCCGAAATAAATGTCTCTTGGAGGGGGGGGGGGGGGGGAAAAGGAGTGAAAATGTCGTTACGTTGGTTGCTAGGGATGTTTCCACGAGGGCACACTCCGTTTTCGCGATATTTCTACGAGAGCAAACAGTTTCTCCTAACAATGATTCAACGGCTATTGGGCCACTCATCTTTTATCTAGTAACAGCAAACCACGATACGGGCATTATCGGCAACGAGCAATAGCACTCTCTCGCGTAGGAACAGGCGACAGCCCTGCAAATGTACACGGTACGTTCGTTGCGTCGACAAATGTATTTGGAAATGCATTGTCACAATGGGTGAGAGACGCGTTAATTGCAAAATAACGGGATCGTCAGCCGTGACGGGCGAACTGGCACGATGCAACATGTTATTCCCGGAAAATTTTCGAACGAGGCCCGTTTCAACGACTCGTTGAAAATGAATCTCCCCCTCGACGTACGTACGTAGCTCTCACGGTTGATAAACGGTCGAATTCCCTCGATCGAAAGAATCGACGACGTTCGAACGACTTACCGAGAAGTGGCTCCTGCTTTTTCCTCGCTGTTCGCACGCTCGACAGGCGAATCTTCCACGAGTAGGACGAGAGTGATTGTTTTCGTCGGGAACGGGACACACACAGTGCACGCAGAAGCGACAATCTCACGAAAAAGTAGAGAAATGCGAGCGCCGCCTGAAGTTGGCGTAAACAAAGGTCGATATCCAATATGGCCGACTGTTTCGATTTTTCTAGAGTCGTTACGTGTGTGCACGCTTTTCCAGCAGGGTCGCCACAGTGTGCGTTCACGGCCGTAGAATTCGTTTTGAAATGATATTTAAAAATATCGAAGATAATATTCGATGGCGAATATTTTTGTTCTATATGCGCAACACGAGGTAAGAGATTAATTTAATAGTTGGTAATTAATTTGTTTAACTGCCTGACAAGTTCTCGATCAAACGTCGTTAAGACAAAATTAACAAAGAAACTGAGGCTTCTAAATTTATTAATCCGAAATTAATCATCGTGCATATAAATATTAAGTTGTACGAGTAATAAATACCGTTCTTATTTCGAGGACTGTAGCATAAATTTCTGGGGATTTTGCGAGAAAACCGTTAAATTTTGGTGACGAAACTTAAAGCGTCGTTTGCAAACGCGTGTCTATTTTCATAAATCAGCATTGAATTTTCAGTTGAAACGAAAGAGCGATTTGAAACGCTTTCAAAGCGGCTCATTATCGTTACGAGTGCACGAGTGAATCGAGTTTTTAACAAACAAAAGGCATGGACAAATGTCTCCCCGCAAACGGACGAGGCAGCTCGATCGATAACGAAACACAGAGTTCAAAAAGTGGCGCGCGTTTAATGGCGCCACCGGCGGATTGGTTGACGGGACGGTCGGCGAGATGGCGCTAGCTGACTGGTTGACGCGCATTAGTATGGCAGCTTCCGTTTCATCAAGTGTTTTCAAAGAACAGGTGAGCGTTCCGTTGAGTGCGTACCGACCGATCGACGGCGAGGAAGTTCATCAGTATCGTCTGATGTTGCGGCTCGGTGTGTGACCGTTTGTGTGTGAGAGTGCGCCGGCGCCCCTTGCCCCCCAAAAATCTCAATAGATTTTCAAAATTGACTTGTAGAAAAGCGGGCTAGACTGCCCGTCAGGAGTCTCGAGATTGTTTCCCCTCGAATATCCCCTCGAGCCCGTGTGCGCAGGGACCGATCGAGGTAAAAGCTTCCTGCCGGGAATGTTGATGGACTCGCTTCTCGTTCGAGCGTCCTGCCAAGAGGTGGGTAAGTTTTGCCTATCTGTTCACCTGGTCGCGCGGTACGTCGGTATCGCGTACGCCGCCTCCATCGTAACGACATGCTCGTTCTTTCTAGCGTTTGCTCAGGCCTAGTTTTGCTCACGCCCCGAACGACTGATTTTTTTTTTTGCGGTTACAGCTCGGTTTTCATCCACGGTGCTCTGTGCCGCAGGAACGGAAGCGGCACTGGCTCAGTGACATCCGCGAGTTAGACGTGTCCACGAATGGCGGTGCGAGTATCGATCTTTCCCCTCGAAGTCTCTTCGGCCGTGGGGCTGTCTCGCTTTCGAGGTCACCGGGACTTCAGCCGCAACCCTCACTCTCGATCTCGATATCCTCGTCGCGATCCTATGCGTTTCTTCTTTCTCTTTTCACGCATCCCTTTTCTCTCATCAATGCGTGGCTCTGTCTTTTTCGTCCCTCCCCCCTCCCCCTCTATCCTTCCCCCCATCTAATGGCACTAGACAATCACAATGATTGATGATTATTAACATCCTGTCTTCTATCGTGTCGGTGATTGCCCGTAGCGAAGAACGTATAAACCGGGTATCAGTAACGCGTAGTGGAACACGAATGTTACTGGAATGATCAAATATGTACATACATTATCCTGCGTGTTATATTTTGAAATTTCATTGGCAGTGTGACGGTATTCGTGTTGGCATTTTACATGACACGCACAATATATATACGTATATGGATGTTGGTAAAATGTTCTGCGTAAATATCTACGATAGTTACTCTAAAGTTTGTCTGAAGTAATTTTCAAAAATCTATGTATTGATGCTTCATAAAAGTTAGCTGAGTAAAAAAGTAATTTTTTATGTAAAGTGATGAAGTAATTTTAAAAAATCTATGCATTGATGCGTCATAAAAGTTAGCTGAGCAAAAAAGTAATTTTTTATCTAAAGTTACTCTAAAGTTTATCTAAAGTAATTTTCAAAAATCCATGTATTGATGCTTCATAAAAATTAGCTGAGTAAAAAAGTAATTTTTTATGTAAAGTAATGAAGTAATTTTTAAAAATCTATGCATTGATGCGTCATAAAAGTTAGCTGAGCAAAAAAATAATTTTTTATCTAAAGTTACTCTAAAGTTCATCTAAAGTAATTTTCAGAAATCTTTGTATTGACGCGTCATAAAAGTTAGCTGAGCAAAAAAGCAATTTTTTATCTAAAGTTACTCTAAAGTTTATCTAAAGTAATTTTCAAAAATCTATGCATTGATATGCATCATTAAAAATTAGCTGAGTAAAGAAAGAAACAGAAATATGAATTACTTAGATTAGCGAAGTTAGTGACAATTAATGATACACTATTTGTTGATTATTTAACTTTATGACCTCAAATTTTCCGAAGATATTTTAGCGAATCTTCAGAACGTTATAAAACTAGATGACTCTAGTGCGGCATTTGATAGTCGAACAAGATAACGGTGTCGAGTGGGCAGGAAATACAAGATTCCAATTTTCCGGCTCGCGTTTCCGGATTCGAAGCGGTGTGTAGGTACACAGTTTGACATAACTGTGTGAAACTTTGCCCAGTTTTGAAGTTGGAAAAAGATTTCAAGTGTCTTTAATACTGCACTGCGGTGGACGATCTTCAGGTGTTTGGGGAGAGGGGAAAACCTAAACGGTAGAAAGGGAATGGTGAAAAGGTTAAGTAGTACAGTGACCCTCCCCGACGTGTCAGAATTTTGGCGCATAACTTATATAACTAGTCGAGAAGATTGTTGAAAGAGTGGCCTATTTATAGAGCTGCGGGAAGTAGTGTGGGCAATGCAGACGTTCGATCCAAATCGAACGCCATACTACCACTTACGATCACCTTGACCGTGATTGAACGTAGTAATCCTTCCGCGTCGTAATTTCAAATCTTTCATACGAACGCCGACGGATATTTCACGACGGAACTTCGCTTTTTGCAAAAAAGAAAAAGAAAAAAAAAAGCGAGATTTAAATAAATCTCCACGCTTCATTTATTATTTTTCCCCCCTCACATTTTTCGATGTATCGATCTATTCTCTTGCATAAAAAAAGAAAAGAACGAAATTTGTAACACGTTTTCGGACTTCTATCTTTCTTTCTGTACTCGATTTTCTCGATAAATCGATAATTCTTTTTAATTTAATTCTTTTTAATATCAATTAAAGAAACGACACGATGCTCGAGAATCTGCAAATAATTCTTCGCACTTGGAAATATTTGCTAGTTAGCGTTGTGTGATATCTTATATTCGAGCTTGAAATATCAGCTTCGATTATTCAGAATAATTCCTCGAATGAGGAAAATATATATAATTCTTCGAGGTAGAGGTATTTTCTTATTTCTTTTCATCGTCACATTTTCATCTCATTCTCTCTCTCTCTCTTTTCGTTTCAACAAATATCATTACGACAACAAAGTGCTTTGAGAACCGGTAGAAACCGGTATCACTTCAGCGATCTAACGAATTGAATTTTCAGGTTGGGTTGGCTGTGTGCGTTTGCCATTTGGATACAGGAACGCAGTTATTAATCGACGTTCAGCAGGAGGGAGATTAGAGTGAAAAATAAATATTTCATAATGAACATTATATTTTGGACGTCGCTGCGCCTCGCAAACAGTTTCTAATCTGTTGACCGCGCGTAAATCTTCTTCAACAATGATAACGGCCAATGATGCTTAAAGAGAGAAAACAGATTTCGCGTGTCGTAACATCACGTTCGTGAATGTATCGCGCGGCTAAATGTATAACATTTTGGCCGCGCGTTCTCGAGTCACACTCTCCGTTGTGTTATGTAGTTCGTTTATCGAACCTCCGGACAGAGCTTCTTCTTTTCTTTTTTATCCGTACAATGGATTTCGCAAGACTGGCGTTTGTTGTCTGTTTTTATTGAGGAAAGGAAAGTGGAGCACGATGAAACGGCAACGCGTAATAATTTAGTTACTGGAACAATATATGTATGTACGTTCTGTAGATTTTTCTCCGACTGTTTAAAATTTCCAATTGCTTTCATTTCTTTTTCTTTTTCTTTTTTCTTTTTTTTTTAGGGTCATTAATACCGAAAAGGGAGGATTGAAAAAGAAATCATCGGGGTTTTACTTCCTGCAGGCGACGCAGGAACTTTAAGCTTGAATCTCTAAAAAGTCGGCCAGGGGAGGCTAAAGTCGCATTATTTCGCAAGCGATTTAAATCCTGACCTTCGTCCGTCGTTTTTCTGTGTAAAAAGCGGCGAGACTACTCGAGATCCGTTTTCTACGATTTCTGAAATAACACGTGAACGCTTATCGATGCATTGATAGTTTTCGGATTTGATAAAGGTTGGCAAACATCTACGCAAACATCCACGCACTTGATATTACAATTATCTCAAGGTTACGCTGATACCGGGTGGCAAACATCACTGAAATCGCCTATTTATTTCGATTTGCGTGCGTATAATTCGTTGTACAAAGTTGAGTGCCCAACTGCGATTGGTCTCGCCGGCGAATCAATTATCGGCTCTGGGGAGATCTGCCGCGAAGAACACACCGCATTGCCGTAGCCGTTTTCTGCGCAAGTCGCCAGTTTTTCTCAATATAAGGCACAACATTCGGTTGTAACCGGATACTTGCGACTCTGTAAACGAGTCCGGTTTCTTTTCAAGCGTGATACGTTCAGCCATGCTGGACTTGTAATTTCGACTTAACGTAGCTCGATAAATGATCACCTGTATCGGGTGATTATGTAACGAAGTTAATTGTATCGATAAAAATTATTCTTGATTGTGATAAAGGCAATTTTGAAATTAAAGTAGGGATGGAAAGAATTAACTCTTGCCTTGCGATTTTTGTAGCTACAATTTTTTGAACTGAAACGTACTATTTAAAGTACAGTCCATAAAGTCTCTTTACAATTTCAAAAATTTATTACAAAGGCAAATGAAAAGACAGATAAGTGGAAATTATTACGAAGCGAGACGGCATAACTTTGCCAGCGTGTTCTACAAGCAAAAGTAAGAAAAAAATGTTACACGAACATATGCTCTTAAATGTTTTATTAAGGAATTATAACTAATAACACAAAATGATAATGAACTGGTGTTTCAATACAGCGTATACGTTCGTCGACGTATCATCAGTGTTACAGAAACTCACATAATCACATTGAAGCTCTGTATTTACTAACAAAACTAAATCCAACAAAACAGTAGACCTTCTTCTTTATGTAATAACATTTCAAAATGAAGTCCGTTATTACGAATACAGGATTGGCATCTAACAAAAATCGACTCTATCGCATTATTAATGTCTTCCACATTTTCTCTAATCGCAGCAAATGCGTCATTAATCCTCTGTACTAACTACTCACGAGTTAATTTGTGCTTCATAAACTTTTGCTTTCACAATTCCTCACACGTAAAAACTCATTGGCGTGATGATCTTGGAGACCATGAGATTGGTCCTTCTCGACCTATCCATCGTTGTGGATAATGGTCATTTATTATTATTATTGGTACTGCGTAATGTATTGAACAACGTTTAATTGAATCCATAAGTTTTGTCGAAGTAATAATGGAGTATCTCCTGCTACTTCTGTTTCAAATTCGTTTTCTAAGAAATCCAAAAAAGACTGTGCCGTTAATTTACCATCTATCCGGTAAAAAATGAGGTACTAAACATTATTAGCTCAGAAATTAGTGATGATATCAATTACTTCATCAAGAAAACAAGAATTTATGTAAATACAAATAGATATTCATAATACGTTGTGTCGACGAAATGCTAGTTCATTATCATTTTGTATTATTAGTTATAATTCCTTAATAAAACATTTAAGTTTATATGTTCATATAACATTTTTTTCTTACTTTTGCTTCTATGACACGCTGGCAAAGTTATGCCGGAAAAAACTGGGACATCCTGTATATATTCAAGTTTTTTTCTTTTTTGCCTCATTTAATACATCTTTGTATAGGCACCATTAGTTGCACAAAGCACATTAAGACAGTACTCGTCTATTTTCATCAGATGTTCTTGGTCGTCCACTCCTCCCTTTATCGAACACTGTTCCTGTCTCCATAAATTTCTTGTGCCATGCACGAATTGATGGACGGTGGATCTCTCTCTCTCTATTTACAATTAGTTCTGAAGTTTCGCTGAGTCTGCAGATCGGATTTGGTTTCAATAAACCATGATACACAGTGCCTTGTCTTGAGGAGTAGCCATTTTGTAAGGGGTTCACTTAACAGTATCTTATTTATCAACAAGGTACCTGAAATGCGATATGATAAAAATCTTGATAACCACAGAGTACGTAAAACAAATCTAATGAAGATATCATATTAATTGCCTTTGTAATACATTTTTGAAATTGTAAAGAGACTTTATCTCTGTACAATAATTTGTACTGGTTTAAGATCGCTTTTGATTGGTGTCGAAGGACCACCCACTGATATAGGAAATGAGTGAACTGGAGTTGACTGACTGATTTGTTTAGCAAGATTGATTAAGTTGGTTAGCAGATTGATTACTTAAGAAGCCAGATTGCTTTTACTCCATTCAGACAGTTAATTCTGTCTGAATAAACTATGCTAAAGATGACTAATTCTGACTGATTCACTAAATACTGACTGACTTCATAGACAGTTAAAGACTGTTAAAGATTGTTAATCTGCGATGAAAAGATAAAAATATTAAATTTTATAAATACTTCCATCATTCTATCTATCATTTTTCATTCGTGTGAATAACGTAGAAAAATTTGTATAGGAAAAAACAGCTTCAATAATTGCATCACGTCACATACTCAAGTTTGATAAACGTTCAAGAAGTTAAGTCTCCTGATATTCCCGGTATCTGTAATTGTAGCATTCGCAACGTAATGTTAATAGCTTTGTTTATTATATACGTATTATTAATTTTATAATTAATAAATAATGTTAATGGCAGTTTCAGATGTCAGCCGGAGCTTTCGTAATTGAGTGGAATGTCCTTTTCTGGTTTGGTGACGGAGTTGCAGAGTCAATACCCTTAAGAGGTGTGCCCGTAGATTTTAGAGCTGCTTGCGTACCGAAAATACTACGACTCGAGAATTTTCAGGCCGTGCTAATTCCGAGCTCCGGAATAAATTTATGTGAACGACGTTGCGCAAAAACCGCGATACTCGTTCGACATTCAGGTTTTGTTTATTTTTTTTTCTCTTCTTTAATTAACAAAAAAGAACGCCAATTTTTTAAAAGTCTCTTACATCTCTTAGGGAATAATCGGCGTGGAATGCTAGCGAAAAATGCCGACTCGTTCCGAGTTTGAATTCGATCGATAGCCTGGTGCTTAAAAATAAAAGAAGATCGTGAGGCATCGTGGCGAGGATATTTATATTTTTTAATTGAGACGAACGTTTTGAGAAACAATGGAGGAAATATGTAGGGCGCGAGATTTATATTGGGAGTAGCGTAAACACGCGCTTCTTGCTATCTTGTTGACCGGATGCAGTCTACGTATTATTACGTCTACGTTGGATACGTGCCTAAAGGCGCCTCTTCATTTTCGATTTCTGCTCTAATTTCATCCACTACCATCGCCAATTTCCACTGTTACTCTGGAGTATAGTTACCTATAACGAATCACCGAATTAGTATCCAATGTCCTTTTTTTTTCTGTCAACGTGTCAAGAAATTAAATGTCCACACCGTCGGGAAAATTAGGTTTGAAATTACAACGCAAAAGGAAGGAAGAAAAAAAGGTTCGAGACAAAAGTAGAACGTAGTAGACTAAGCAGAAATCGTTTTGTATCCGATGAATTGTATATTTGTGTCTCGTTAAAAAATCTCATCATTGACCTGGAAACAACGTGGAATTTTCTCTCTTTTTTTTTTTTTTGTTTTTGTTTTCGAACGCAGATACAGTTTTCTAGTGAAATGGTACGCGTTTCTCTCACGGTTGTGAGAGATTCATCCTGGATGTTCCTTTCGCATTGACCTAATTCCTTTCGCATACGCGAGGCCTGGATATAGTATTATTATCCCAGCCACGGCATTATTCTACCGTGAATTCGTTCGATTCACTGACAAACTCGCGTTGCTGTCTCAATTCTATCTTCAGATAATTTCCACCTTCATCTTTTTTTGTTCTTCGAAATCATTAGAGGGAACATTTCAATTTTATACTCTCGCCAAGGCCGCATATAATAAGATGTGGTCTATGTATAGTTTGGTCATGTCATTGACACGGTTTTGTTTGAAATTCTTTGCGGTAAGGAACAATCACTAAGTTGTTCAATCACTTAGAGTTAGTTTTCGCATGTGTCTTAAAATTAGTTTCTAAAATATAGAAAATCAATCATATCATTTGAGATATAGGAACCTGAGAAGTAAGATCTTATTCAAATGCATTAAACCATATTAAACTTCTTGATTTCCTGCCTATCAAGAATTGTGCAAAAGCTTTTTCACTTTCGTGAGAGTTAAGTTCAGTTATGGAATAAATCGGCTGGAAATGTGGCAGGAATGATTGCATTAGTAAAAGCTAGCGATTTAATCAGTATATTCTTTCTAAATATATGCATCTATCTGATCTGGATGAGTTTCAACCGGTTTTCTCATGTTGTTTGTTTCTCGGACTGGGTCTGGGTTAGTCCAGGATCCCAGCTTGGCATGGATACGCGGGCAAATCCAGGTTAACCGCGAGATTTCGCGTTCCCTGGCTTCTGACACATCGGACTCAGTCGCAGAATCAGGTCGACCACGCTAGGAATTCGATTTTGCCGCAGTTTCCTTCGGGAATTCTCTCTGTTCCTTTGGTGTGTTTGCGCGTGTATTTTCAGTCGCCTTGGCCCTTTGGGAGATTTCCTAGAAATAAAAAAAAGAAAACTAGACATTTATCATGGAACCTATTAAATAAAGGTTTAAGAAGTTTAAATTTATTAAAGCAGAGGAAAAGTTTCAATTTACAATTGCAGTTTAATTTTAAAAAGAAGACGACGCTGGAATTGGATGTTTTGCTCGAGATCAGCTGGAGATGGATACACTGACTGACCGTGCAAGGCTGTGCGATATATCTGGGCCTTCCTGTAACAGTTTTCCCCGTAAGCGGGTCGGGGACCTCGTGTCTACCTCCCCAGTTTGTGCGTAAACCTGCACCAGTTGCGTCGCGAGGTTAGCGTGAGCTCACCGCCAGTCACGCCTGGATCGTTCTCGAGGTAACATCTCTCTAGAGAGCAGGGTACGATCCATGTATATCGCCGTCATGTGAGTCGGGACCAAAAGTCGTATCGTTCTCTCTTTTTCGTCGTGTTTTTTTCTAACAACAAAAAAAAAAGTAAGTGACCAATTGGTGTGTTGGATTCTTGCTCATTGAACGAGAAAATTGGATGAGGAAGTGAGAATGTATGAGACGAACAACGGAAGTTACGAAGAGGTTAGCTGAGCTGTTACGTTTTAAGTCTACTTCTGCAATGAAATTCATCATTTTTAAATCGATGTTAATTGTCCACTACACGGTGCTTCTAACTATATAATCGCTCGTGAATAATCACATCTCGTGATTGTGACTGTGTGAATCGTGGTCTGTTGTTTAGTTTACGCTTCTTGGATGAAACGGAGAAGTTCCAACCGGAAAATGTGTTAACCGTGACTCTGTGATACCAGAATGGAAAAACAGCGGGGCAATTTTATTGGAATGCGGTTGATTGCCGATTGTTAGTTGCCGATTTTGTTTCTTTTTCCTCTTGTTGAATTTGATTGTCCTTTCGTTACGTGAATACGTGCTGTACGTTGGGTATTCCATTAACAAGTATCTATTTGCTTCGTTGCTAATTGAATTTTGCGGCGCGAAAGAATTGTTAGATGCAATCTTCCGCCTTGATATCCGATACTCGATGTCGAGTTGATAATATCGTTCTTATCCATCTAGAAAATTCTCTCCTTTAGACTCTCGGAACATTAAAATAAATATTAAGTTTCTGAAAAAGTTTGAATTAAGCCTGTTTCAGATGAAGCAGAATTTGCTAAAAACTGAAAGATAATGTTACAAGTGTAATTTCTAGGAGAGGTAAATTTCGAAAGAAACGGAGTTAAAAGGTTAGGTTTGCCAGACAAATTCCAGCTCGATACTCGAGACAAAGAAATGATCATAAACTTTTTATCAAGAGAACGGTACTTTGTCAAAATGATTAGGAGTTTCTCAGCAAGATACCCGAGACTCGTGTAATTAAAATTACAAAATGGTCGGACGGATAATCCGCAACGAATGACGCGACCTTGTAGTTGTCGATCGCGTTCGAGCCGATTCATTAAGTAAATTCGCAGTCTTGTTTTTGTTCAGATTATCCATCGGTGGTCTCTCCTGCTAGCAGACTGAAATTCCTTAACCGCATTAGATGCCTTCCAAGTTAGTTATCTGTCTCGATCCAATACGGGAGATCTTTGACTCGCGCACACACACTCGCATCAGATTATCCATCGTCGCTTTTGTAACCGCCCTTGCCGTCTCGGGTCGCACCTGTTGCTTCTTTTCTTTTTTTCCCTTGCCAAGTCGTTCCTCGGACCGATCTGACCGATTAGAAATGCGAATGATTTGCAAAGAGGGATTAGCGTATTGGAAGCCAAGCTGTGTACGTATCGTTTGCGTTCTTATCTGAAAAAGGTTCGAGCTATTGACGTAACTGATAGCGAGGCGTGTATCCAGGTAATTCAGTGTAATCAGATGGTACAGATATCTTGTCTTTGTTAAAACGTATCCGGGTGGCTGTGATTTCCGCGCGACGTGGAATCGAAACGTTGGACCTTGACATTACGACATCTACATTCTCCCGGTGTTCATGGGAATAATTGTTAGTCAAGTTTAACCTCTTCTGTTAGTAATTGGTTTTCGCGGACCATAACGAGTGACCAAAAACGTATACAATAATTCGTCTCCTTTTTGAATTCATCGGCATATCATTGGATAGAAATTACTGAGAAGTAAATAAATTTATTATTTATTTTGCCTCTGTTTATATTTCAGTATACTTAAAGCTGAGAAAGTATTGCAATTTTAGGCCAAATATTCGCGACGTGCGTGGGACGTCATTCCAGCGCAAGAGGTTAACCTCTTGCGTTAGTAACCGGTTCGCGGACCATAACGAGTGACCAAAACCGTATACAATAATTCGTCTTCTTTTTGAATTCATCGGCATATCACTGGATAGAAATTACTGAGAAGTAATAAATTTATTATTTGTTTTGCCTCTGTTTATATTTCAATATACTTAAAACTGAGAAAATATTGCAATTTTAGGCTAAATATTCGCGACGTGCGTGGCACGTCATCCAGCGCAAAGAGGTTAACGTTTCGCTGTCGGAGTAACGGAGTTCAAAGAGACAAATGGCCCTGGACACGTTTAGTCACGACTAACCGCCTTTAACGTCACTATAAGGACTGACATAACGGCCGAGTGGCCTTCGTTCGTTCTAATTATAAAAATTCTCTCCATGTCGCGAGATTGGGAATTACAAACGTTTCCTCCAAACACTCTCAGCCGTTTCTTTTCAATCATCAGCACGAAATGTTTGCATAATTTCGCTCGTGCCCGCTGCTGGTATAAATCGCGCCATTTTGAATTGTGTCATCAGCGAAGGTAAAACGATCCCCCATTAATCCGAGCACGGCAGATAGAGTTCTTTGCACTGATAGAATTTCAGTTTCCACGAGGGAAACGTCTGTGTACCTTCCACGGGACGAGACAACAGCGATGGAAAATTATATCTACTCGATACAGGCCACTATAAATTGTGAAACGTGGCAGGAAATCCTTTGGGCGTTACTTCTTTTTATCGTCTATTGATTACATGGCTCTTTTGCGGAGAATGATTGCTTCTGATTCACTTTTTAATTAAGCCACGCTGTTTAGTACCCCGCAGAGGGGGAAGAATTATAAAACAAAGAGGTTCCTGTTTTAAAGCTAAGCTCCAATATGAATAAAATTAAATCTAATCGTGATATGTATTGACAATGTACATAAGTTAATTAGAGGCGATTACGGTCTGTATCGTCTAGATGTTAATTTGATGTTTAATTTTCGACGTACGATCGTAAGAAAGAAACAAAAAGATTGATTAACTGGTTTAATTAACGTAGCTCGGTAAACGGCACGTGCATTTGCGTCGAGAACCAGCTTCTAGGATTACGTAACACATGGCGGTTGCAAAATGGAGGCAACCGGTCGTGGCAAGGCACGCGCTCGTGAGTACACAAAAATACTTGCTCTTGACAATGATCGAGATCTCCAATGGCGTCTCACAACATTGCTCTCTCATTCAAAGAAACACAAAGGAGGCAACGGAAGAACTGGGAAGAACAGAAAAAGTCGAGAATACTCGACAAAGAGGAAAAAGGAACAGACGAAGAACGAACGACGTGCGTGTGACATTGGAGGAAACAAAAAAAGTAGTTGTATTGATACCGAGGACACACGAAGGGTATAAAGAAGACCCAGAACGTTGGTTGCTCATGTTGTGAGTTACGACGTCAGTGACGGCCTCTTAACAATTCATTTTTAAAATCGGTATAAGGTATCTATGACGATAAAAGGTATCTATAACGTTTGAACAAGTAGGAAGAGTCAGTTTAAAAATACCTCACGCCTCCGAGATGCTAAAGCCTGTAGTACGCAACTCTGTAATTCACATGGATTTCTAGATACAACGAGAGGAGTATTATTTGCACAAGAAGCGAGGCGATACGCTATCGCTGAAACCGAAAGGAAAAAAAAAGGCGATGATCTTCGAGGGAGGAGGAGCTGGCGGCAAGAGAGGAGGAGGGAGTTGTTCGTGGCAATGTTCTCTTTTCGTATGGCAAGGCCGATTCAGTCTCATCGTGACTTTCGCGTGCGTGGCAGCGCCCACTCGTTTTCTCATTGTCATCCTTCAATCGTGTGTAGCGCACGTATGCGTGCCTCAGAAGCGTTCAGCGATCGTTTTTTTCTGCCATCTTCAACGCCAGAATGTTGATCCCAAGGGGAAGCTGACGCCGTTTCTCTGAGGAAATATTGTACCGTTACGCGCCATCACGTCGGATTTGTTTCACTTGAGAGAATCAAAGAGAGAAGAATCCAGAGACCTTGCGATGGTATGTGGTTTGTCGTCACCAGCGGTATGTTCGCGTGAAGAGGACGCCTTTCTCCATGTTCCGTCTCTCGTTACTTTGTAAATCGGAATGCTCACGCATCGGTGACCTTTCGATAACTGTGTGGGTTATCTGCTTGTTGGTGAAGTTACAGTTAAGAGCGCTGGAGTTACGTGCCACGCATCGTCGAGAATTTTTTTTTTCCCCCCTCCAAATTGCAACATTTTCTCAGTTTTACGTATATTTAAATGTACCTAACCCAGGCAACAACACAAATGATAAGTTGATTGGCTTCTTAATAGTTTCTGTCCAGTGATATCAAAGGGAAGAGGAAGCGACGAATTATTGTATACGGTTCGGTCACTCGTTATGGTCCGCAATCGGTTGCGCCAGCGCGCAGCGGGGTTAAGCCCGCGAGAACACTTTAAAACGAGCAGTGTAGAACGAGGATTATTTTGAGAACAGCTGGTATTTCCTTGGTAGAATGATCGAGTTATCATAGTACACCACTGGCACGCAACTGTGTGTTGCACTATAGCCCGGCGTTACTTTCAGCGTCAAGTTCTTGAACGACGCGCGTGACCGTGAAACAGCGAATATAATAAAAGGCGGCTTGCTACTCACGCGACTAGTACGTGACTAGTCTCATGCACACGTATATCAACGTTAGTTAGTTAGTTAAGTAAGAGTCGCGATCGCTTTGGCGCATTTTCTCTCGCTTGTTTGTGTCATTGTTGCCCTTCGACTAATCATAAATGGGAGTCACGGCATTCGGTTTTTAAGTATTTCAATTAGCGGCAGAATTCCGCTAATTTCCACGAGCACGTGTACCTTCAGGTTTCAAGGTCGCTATCCGATAAATGCTATGTAAATGCGAAGTTTATGCAAATTTAATTCCCACTCGCTCAGCCGCTACGATTCATTTTACATACTTTTCGTTGTATATCGGAGGGAGGGGGAGCGAACATCGTTTCGCGGCTCTTGTTCGAATTATTAAATAAGGCAAACCGGGGTCGTGATCCCTTTATAGAATGGTTAAGTTCAGTCTTACATTTGAACTTTGAACTATACGATCGGACAGCTGTTACGATGTCGAACGCAAATTAATTTAACGCCGGTTATATTATCAACGAGCTAGCCGTGTGCTTCATATTTCGTTTGATTTTATTACACGTGGAATTTCATCAATCAATCACGCGTTCGAATCTCGATATCACGAACGCCGGTTTACGCAATTCAATGCAAATCTTCCTATTTTTTTTTTTTTTTCTTTTATCGCGTAACGATAAATTTTGTCGCTGATAACCCGTGGCTCGTAGCCTTCGTTTCGAGATAGTGTCATTATATATATATATATATATATATATATTTGTCATTATACTAGTGTAACAGGGTACAACTAATCACACCGAAGGTCGTCAATGTTGCAGTAAATCAACGGACATTACTTAACTTCGAATGTCTATCGTATTGTTTCAACAATCCGCTGTCATTTTTCCTACCTCCGGACTGATAATGTCTGCAGTCAACGTCACTCGTGCGACACTTTAACTCGTTCATAATTTAATCTTAAGAGAATCTTTCTTTTTTTTTTTTTTTTTCTTTTTTGCCATCTTTCATCGAAGGGTCGTTAATTTTTTACATTTGATTTCCAGGGTTCCGGATATTTAAAGCGTGCAAATACTGAACGCCTCCATGAAATATTTAATCAGGTAAACAATCTTCTTTGCAATGATCAACTCTTATCAGTAGACTGCGAATCGGTTCATGCATTCGGTAGTGGCAGTCTCAAAACTGTCGTTTGAAACGTCTATTTAAATTAACATTTAATTAGTTTTGATTGCAAAATTGCGCAAACTTTGGCAGCCTACCTTGATTTTATTATTACGTCGATATTACTATACATATGCTATACATGTTTAACGATTGAAAAAAAGTAAACGAAGATTTGGAAAAATTGCAGTACGCTTCAAGAGAGAAGAATGGCGAGAGGTTCATGACCCCGTCTGACTTCGTCCGAAGTTACCTTGGACTCTACACCAACCCAGACTACAATCCTGACTCCGTTAATCTGCTCGCTGGTATCGTCGATACCAGTAAAGATGGGTTTGTGTTCGATGGTTTCGTTTCGAAGGAAATTGCCCGGCGAATGAAAAATTCTACCAAACGTACGAATCTGACTGACCTCTTTCTTTTCTCCCCCGCAGACTCATATCATTCGCTGAATTCCAAGCGTTCGAGGGGCTGCTCTGCGTGCCGGATGCACTGTACAAGACAGCCTTCCAGCTGTTCGATACTAATGGAAACGGAATGGTTGCATTTGGTGCGTAGAAACCTTTTCGTAAGTCGTCGTTGATTAACCAACAACGAGTTTCTAAGTTTGTATTTACGCTCCAGACGAGTTCGCTGAGGTGATGAAGAAGACGGAACTCCATCAGCGGATGCCTTTCAATATGGACAGTAGTTTCATTAAACTTTATTTCGGAAAGGATAAGAGACGGTTGATCAACTATCCGGAGTTCAGTCAGTTCTTGCATGTAAGTTCTCATTTATATAGAGTTTATATAACTTGTTTGTGTACCTCTTTGATGTTAACATCTGTTTTTCTTTTCTTTTCTTTTTTTTTTTTTTAGGATTTCCACGAAGAGTACGCGACAGAGGCATTCAAGAAATTTGATAAGGACGGCCAGGGTTTCATTTCGGCGTTAGACTTCCAGGATATCATGCTCAGTATCAAAAGTCACTTGCTGACCAAAGATGTGAGGGACAACCTAGTTGCCGTGAGTTATCGATTTTAGAGTGTTCCTCTCGTCGGCGCGTGAAGGAACAGTTAATTAATTAATTTAACGATAATGACAGGCGGCCAGCACAGGGCAGGGTGGACGGAAAGTCAGCTTTCCATATTTCATGGCGTTCAACTCCCTCTTGAATAATATGGAGCTCATTAAACGTATTTACCTTAACGCGACCAACGGCCACAGATATGAAGAAGTTACTAAAGGTATTTGATTTGCCTCGCTCGTTATAAATATGAAATGAGCCGTATTTTGAAAGGTTTGATAAATTTGAAAATATTGGTAACTGATAACATGGTAGTGTAATAGTTTTGCGTTGCCAACCCAATTAGTACGATAAACTTGTTGTTTAGAAGATAGCACGTTTTTGATGACTGTAAATGGACTTGATCCACTTTCAAAATTAATGAATGAATTGTTTAATTTTTACAAAGGCACAAGTCCCTGGAAAAAAATAAAATTCCCTTGAAAAAAAAAAGGTATTACAATTTTGTGTTATAAAATTAAAAAAATACTCAAGTTTTATTCACTATTAAAGAACTGTTACATTCAAATAATATATTTCTTAATTTATAATTCTTCCCTAATTTTAGTGTTGCGTTTTAGTCTTACGGTTTTGTACAGTGGTGTCAATTCAATATTATTAAAGTTTCTTGGCCCCCCTCAACGCGGTAAATCCAGAATTTTGAATCTGAGCGAGTAGTGCGAACGCTACTACTTTAATAATAAAAAAAATATAGCTCTTAAAATTTTACTGCATAATATATTTCATGTCGGTTTAAAACTCTTAAAATGCGACTTGAGCCACTTTCAAAATAAACGGCTCGAATATACGTCGAAACGATAAATGGAACGAAACGATAATTGATTGTGATTCACCGTTTCAGAGAGGTTCCTTCATTCCGCACAAATGATGTCGCAGATCACGCCACTGGAGGTGGACATTCTCTTTCAACTGTGCGACCTCCTACATCAAACTGGGTGAGTATCTCCAATCCTGAGAGCGAGCCATCCTCCTCGGCACCGATTGATCACAGAAAGGTCACACGTGGAACGAGCCAAAACCGTGCGATCACGATGTTTTCCACGTTGGCCTGGTCAACGAGAAGCAATGTGTGCAATTGTGATGCAAGCAAACATCGTCATCATGCAAAAAAAAAAAAAAAAAAGAAAAAAGAAAAAGTATATTGCGCTTTGTGTACCCCCCTGGCAAAGGAAGGATGGAGATTATTCCCGCTGAATTGAATCATTTCTAAAACTCGCCTTCTCTCTATGCTTACCGAATAAGAAACTAAAAAATGCTTCCCACAATAATTATTATCCGATCTTCTGCAAGCGCCGATCGAAGTTCCCATGATTGAATACATTTGTTTACGTGTTTACGCTGCCTGGAACACAGATCTACGGAAGATGACGAGGCAGATTCGCGGCTTGGGTGCGTCTTTTATGCGATTACAAGAATAATCACGTGCTATAAATTCGTTCTAATTAATTGCATAATGCTGGCCTCGCGCGAAAGCAACGGGAATTCCTCTACAATACAGTACGGGAGGAACAAATGAATTTTCGAAAGATGAAAATTTAATTGCAAGACCGCGATTCTTTCTAGCTCGCAATCAGTGTTTCAGCGACGAGAATTGTTTCGCTTCTAAATTTCACGTTTCCTTCTAGAGCGATAATTCCCATTTCTTTTGCCAATGTATCTTGTATGTACATAAATCGACATATAATATTCACATTGTCTTCACCTACTTTCTTCAGCATTTATCTTAGGGCGATGGTATTTGTAAACGTTTGCACATCGTGGGCACTAACGATATTTCCATTTTGTCCAATTGTGTATGACAGACTTGAGGACACGTTTAAGGGTCTCACTTGTACTTGACAGGATCTACGTTTTTTTTTTTTTTAGTATCACTCGAGGCAGTGCCATCGACGTCCTTCTTACTATAATGACCATCCTAGAAATACCTTGCTCTTTTTTTTTCTATCTGTTCTTCTTTTTTCTTTCTTCTTTAAATCGGAAACAATCTCTTTCTTCCTTTCTCCCAAGTTCTTGTTTTTCTTAAAACTGCTTTATCCTCTCGGCCATGGCTATGAATCTACGTATTGAGCATGGATTTTCTCGGGTTTCAGGAAGATAGTGTACAGTGATCTCGTGGCTATTACACCCGAGCAGTATTTCAAGCAGATCACCAAACGTTTAGCCGAGATCAAGGCGGTGTCGGTAAGTGTGGCGACGGAAGATGGTCCCTCGAGACAATCAGCCCATCTCAGAATCGCGACAGTCTATTTGGAAAACAGTCCATGTTATTTGTCGCGCTAGCTTCATCGTTCAATAGTTCAGCGTTCTTGTTTCAGAGTCCTGACGAGCGTGGCGTGATCGTGCAGATACTCGAGAGCGGATACCGTTTTGTACTGGGATCCATCGGTGGTGGTAAGTTCGTACGTTTCCATCGTTCATTCACTCTCTTTGCAGCCGTGGAGATTTTTGGGATTCCAAAAAAAAAAAAAAAAAAAAAAAAAGAATTATTTGGAAAATATTGCTTTTTCGAAGTTGGGACGCCAACTCCCTCGGGAGTGGAGTCGAGTAATTGGAAATAAGAGAAACTAGATGGAGAATTTTCTTTAGCTGTCGGCGCTACAGCCGTCTACCCCATCGACTTGGTGAAGACGAGGATGCAGAACCAGAGAACCGGCTCATTGGTTGGGGAGCTGATGTATCGAAACAGCTTTGACTGCCTCCAAAAGGTTGGAATCGAAAAGTCTCGCTACGATACACTGTCTGCATTGTTAATTATGAAGTTGGTGTCCTGCGTTTGACAGGTGATCCGGCATGAAGGCTTCTTCGGCCTTTACCGAGGCCTGGTTCCTCAATTGATGGGCGTAGCACCGGAGAAGGCCATCAAGCTGACCGTCAACGATTTCGTCAGAGATAAGTTCATGGATAAAAACAGCAATCTGCCCCTTTACGGGGAGATTATAGCCGGCGGCTGTGTAAGTGATCCGTGAACGTCACTCGACCTTTCACTCCAATCGGCGGACGATCAATCGTCCCGTGATTCTAATTTTAATCCAGAATTTTCGTTTTCGTTTTGTCCTTTAGGCTGGAGCCTCTCAGGTAATATTTACGAATCCACTGGAAATTGTCAAGATCCGGTTGCAAGTTGCCGGAGAGATAGCAGGTGGAAGTAAAGTGAGAGCTTGGACCGTTGTAAAAGAGTTAGGCCTCTTCGGTTTGTACAAAGTGGGTACACGGCGAGTATAGTCTGCAATTTGAAATAGGTGTTTAACAAGAAAAGTTGAAGAATCTTTTTTTTTTTTTACGTTTTAGGGTGCAAGAGCTTGTTTCTTAAGGGATATCCCTTTCAGCGCAATTTACTTCCCAATGTACGCTCACACAAAGACACGGTTGGCGGACGAAGGAGGTTACAATACTCCGTTGTCGTTGCTGGTATCTGGTGCGATTGCCGGTGTTCCTGCAGCAGCGCTGGTCACTCCTGCAGACGTGATAAAGACCAGATTACAAGTACGATTTTTTTTTCCTTTTTTTGTTCATATTCATAGAGAAAGAGAAATTGTAGAATTGTATAAATTTGGTTGTATGTTGTATTAAATTGTTATGTTAATTTTTAGGTTGTAGCTAGACGAGGTCAAACAACGTACAGTGGATTATTAGATTGTGCGAAGAAAATTTACAAGGAGGAAGGCGTGAGGGCGTTCTGGAAAGGAGCTACAGGTATAAGATTCTACTTTGCGATTGTATTAGAATTGAGAGAACGTTTCGTAGTTCTAGCAGGGCGTGACATTTATTTTAAGTTGTACTTTGAGAAAGTTAGTAATACATTTTTGATTTGGTCGATTGCATGCGCGGGCGTCGGCCCTGCTGCATCGATCGACTATTCTTTCCCCCCAATATGACCTGGCGTCTTACTTCTAAGTGAGTACTTCTTTTTCTCTCTGCCTGCCAGTTATCGTGATTTTTCTTTTCTTTCTTTTTCAATTTCCCAACCAGCCACCATTCTTTTATTTCTTCTTTTTGAGCCATTTGTTTTTCTCTCGTGATTCTGTCTTTTACCAGGTTTATTTTTTTGTATGCAGAGTGGTCGTCAAATAAAAAAAAAAAAAAAAAAAAAAAAAAAAAAAAAAAAAAAAAAAAANAAAAAAAAAAAACAAAAAAGAAAGAAACATTGCATCGCACGGTTTCTCCTCACGTAACTTCATTTCTTATTTCATCTTTGCCCCATTGTCTGTTGATTTATGAAACTAATAATCACGTACATTGTCAATTCTAGTCCTAGGAGGGAGATTTTTCGAGTATTTTCAATGTTGAATCTGAAGATGTGTCCATTCATTGAAGGTCATAACATTCATGTTCACTTTTGGGATTCAAATCTTTATTCAGACAAAGAGTATGAACCAGTGTGTGAAAATGTCACGGGGATCAAGCGATTTCATTTAACTTGCCTTTCCACTTTACAGCACGAGTATTCAGATCATCGCCTCAATTCGGGGTCACCCTCTTCACCTATGAACTTTTGCAAAGGCTCTTCGTAGTTGATTTTGGAGGATCGTAAGTATAGTTTTTGATTATATTATTTACACTCTTGTCCATATCCGTTGACTTTTATTTACTCTCCACTCCGGTTAAGTCTCCTGTGCATGCAAATTATTAAAACATCATTTGGAACTCCTTATTCTTTTGGTAAGTACCTTTCCTTCAGAAATAAAAACTGTATATCCTGTATATCCAGTTTAACATCTCCGAACTTCCAGCGAATTCAAGCAGACACCAACAGAAAATCATCACCATCATCCTCGCAATAGTGTGTACCCTCTGTAATGACACGGAATATTTTTTTCAGCCGACCTACGGGATCGGAGCAAAAGGTGCCTGCAACAGGGGTGGCACAAGAGATCCGATCGACGAATCCAGACCACATAGGAGGGTATCAAATTGCCCTTCCGATCTTCACTGGAATTGAGACGAAATTTGGCCTCTGCCTACCCAGGTTCCAAGCGACCAGCCCTCAAAAGTAACGTCGCCAACCAGCTTCAGTTAGACGAATAAGCTTGTAGCGACCCCTACGTCATTGCAGAATTCCGTATCATGTCGTTCAAGACTCAGATTGAGAGGAACTAAGTGAAACGAGCTCTACGAGAACCCAAGGATCGGATAAAACGAGAACCCGTCGTCGATCGACCTGGCGAATTGCGCTTCTAAATCTAGACCTGGACTAAAGAAAGGAACACCATATAAAAGGACGTAGGATCTTAACTTAACGGCAAAGTGACGCGGATGTTGAACGCAAGATAGAACGAGAAGGAAGAACAACGGATATTCTTCCAAATTTATTTATGTTTGTTTAACTACGCATACGAGAGTAAAGGAAAGGTGTTTAGAAATACATAGTGAAGGCTAATCGGAGATTCGTTAGGTCTCTAAGTTCGGTTAACGTGTACTTGGGAATCATTGAAATGATGAGAGAGCAGCGTCAACGCGCACAATCTCGTCGGTGATAGTCTGTTCAATCACCAAAATCAAGATAAGCCGTGGGAGAATATCATACACAGGGTTTAGACAAGTTTAAACACGGACGGTTTAGCCTAAGACGTTGTTAAAACGAGTGCGGTCTCTTCACGCAAGCGCGAGGCTCGAATGGATTTAGCGATGCGAAGAAGCAGAGGAAGTTATATCTTCTTTGTCTACACTTTCTTTAGTCTACAGTTTCGTACTTTCCACGTTTTCACCCTTTGCACTCGATTATGAATAAGAGATAATTCGTCAAATTACACAGGCTTGCATTGCTTTCACATGATCTTTCCGAGAATGAAAACGAAGGAACTGATTGTTGCGCTCGCGGAAATTGCGCGAAGGGTGAAATCACGCGTCCCGACATGTTCAGTATCCGCCTTTTTCAGCGAGAGAAACCCTTCGGTTTGCGCTTCAAACCTTGCTTTAGCGCCGCTATATTATTTTTTCTACTTTTTATATCGTGGATCGAAGACGTATGTACTTGTTTGTACACGGTTCCGCGTGCCCCGGAGAGTTCACGCTATTTTTGTAGAGTTCTATTCGATTGTAGCGGAGGCAGAGACACCACGAAAGGGTTTCCGTTTTCCCTGCGAACGCCGACAAGTTTCAAAATCGCTTTACCGTTTCTCTCGATCCCTTTAGAGCTCTTTACAGAGCGCCAGGAGGGCTGCACGACTAGTTGATCTCTATTTTATCGGTCGAACGTATGCAGAGTCTGTGTCACGCTGTGTCGCCTGTTTTGTTTTTCTACTCTTCTTCTAGTCGCAACTGCCATTCGTTTTCTTTTTTTGTTTTTTTTTTCAAGTGTACGATGAAACAACGTTACGTAATAGTTATCGAGTCGATAATTGCAACCTTCGACGAGGAAGTTTCACTTTAATAATATTACTGTTAATTATTCTGTTCGTTCTATCGCACAGCGAGGTCAAGAGTCTACGCCGTTATGCGTTTCTTTCTTTTTACCGAGAACTAGTGGAAAATATCCTGACATGTTCTTATGTATCGTACGAGACTCCAACACCGTCAGGGATCACGTCGTATTTTGTCCTGTCCAAGATAATACTCTGACAGGTGCCAAGATTCTCGTGTGATATCAAAGACCGTTCTAGAATAATGTTTCTTCTCGCGAGACGTTCTCGTCTGCTTTGCGAAGCGATTCGACGCGGCCTCCAACGCGTTTACTGTGTTACCTATCGGAGATAAATCGAGTTCTATATGTAAGTAAGGATCTATCGAGGAGCGTTTTAAAACGACAAACGGAGGACTGGCTCCTTCGTCCGTAGTTACGTTCGAGGACCTCGAGCTATTTTATATCGCAGGCGCGCGGAACGAGAAAACTGTGTGAATTATTCAGTTGATCGTCCAAAATATCAAAGTAAGCTTAACGTGTTTCAACAAAAGGAAATACATTCTTTTTTTTTTTTTTTTCATTTCTTTCACGCAAATATCAACGGCGTCTTTGGTAATTTCGGACGATCGGATCGACCAATATATCGCGTTGATTTTTCGTCGAAAGGAAACCGAGAAAAAACGCTCCTTCCCGCAGTTCGATACATATTGTTTTAACGATACATGTCGGCTCGTACTTGCTGCAGAGGAAATCAAGTCACTTGGGACGAGCTTTCGACGCTTTTGATCGAACATTCCGAAGTGTGCGGGCACAGATTCGCGAAAGTAATATTTATACCATGCTTTTCAAGATCGTCTGAACTGTCATATCATCGTATTTCGATACATATATATATACACATACATACATACATATATATTCGGAAATTCTATAAATATTATTTTCAATCGTTTTGTCGGGAGAAGAAATTTTCGAAATATTCTAGTTTACGTAAATTTGCCATTCGTCGCTTTTTTTTTTGTGAGATTTATTTACGATTGGAATTGATTCAGGCGACATTCATCAGCGAAATGCGACTTAATTAAGTAGTTTTCACAGTATCGGCTATATTGCGTATTCCTTTTCATGTTCATGTCGTTGGTCGAAATCTCGGGCCAATTCCTACAAAAGCGAAGATGAAGGAAAGTTTGTCGGACCTCGATATAATACTTTAAGTCGAGTTTTTTTTTCCTTCACACAGTTTCTTCTTTTTCTTTCTTTTTTTGTCTGCGAATTCTTTTTTACAAAGTTTCTTCGGTTTCTACAAGTGGGACAGAGAACAGCTGTTCAAATAGCAAATGGTTTGCAAAGCGTGTTTACTTTCTCCCGGCGCAGCTTCACGGTAAACATAGTCTTCCTTTAAAACGGTAGCGTGTAAATTAAGTTCTGGAGTTCAACATTAGCCTATATTTATCTTAAATACCGAATCTACTTACGTACCTAATCTTAACTATCTATATCTAACATAGTGTTGACCAATTTAAACTCCAGAACTTACGTCGTAGCCTTGGTCATCTTGAAAGTGTTATACTGGAGGGTCCATGGACGTCCCAGTAGTGAGGTGGTTATTAATTGTTAAAAGCGTCAAAGTATTATCTTGCGAGCTGACAAGTTGTCAATATCAGATTCAAGTGATCGATATATTTTAATAACACTGAACCAAGCGACAGAAAATCATGGAACGAAGGGAGAAAAGACGCACGCTGTCTTCTTGACTAGAAAAAAGAAGAAAAAAAAAAGAGAAATGTATTTGTACTTTGATGTACCCCTTGATCGATGAAATTGGATCGTGTACATGAAAGGTGACATGAATGTAAAGATATCGTTTAGGGCAACTAAAACGCGGAAATGAATCGCTTTCTGGCCCGAAATATCAACTCGACTATCCTAATTCATAGTTCGATGTATATACATATGTTGCATATGTAATATAATTAGCCGATGTACATATGTACGTGTTGTGCACGTGGCACGCACAATTTGCAAATGCGAATACTGGAATGCAATTCAGTTACGCTCGACTCGACTAATCTACGGTCGGTAAAAAGGAAAATAAAAAAATATGCGGTCGGTAACAAGCTTAGCTGATAAATGATTGACGATCGATAACAAATTTTCGCTTGATAAATGAAAAGTTAAAGAGGATCAGCTTGATGTTCCAAGTGCCAAACAAATATTTTTAAAGCTACAACGTATTCGTTTTGTGGCACTTTGCGGATTATTTCATTGGCTAGTGATCTTCGAGTCGAAATGGATGGCTGTAGGAAAGTATTCGCAGGTGTTCGGGAGTATACAAAATAATAATAATATTAATAATAATAATTATAAAGTTCAGGAATCCGTCGTGTGCATTCGCAGCTCAATACACTTTGGTTTTTATACTGTCACACCGTCGAAACAATTTTTCTCGATATTTCTGCACTAATCTCTAATCATCGTTCTTAGTACAATTTTATCCCTTTATTATCGTTGTCGTCACAATTTGTAATGTTGCTATGAATATTTGTCAAGTTTAAGGAAAACCAAGAAACATTCATTGTCACACATACACACGCAATACACATGCATAAATACGCAGCGGATATGATTATCAAGCTTGTGATAGAGGAAAGAAAAGAACAGGTGGAATCAGACACGTGGTTCAAAGGAATTGAAAAATTTCTGCTCTTCATAAAAAGCATCCTAAACAAGTAAATAAAATTCCATTTCTTTTTCTTTTTTTTTGTTTTACTTCACATTTTATTTTTCAAGCCACATTGCCACATCGAAATTTTTCCGTTTCATTTTAGATGTTGAAATCCAGGGTTTCTTCAACCGGCCTAAAACGCGAAGACGGTTTGCTTTTGTTCACAGTGCGTTTCTGATGAGCACCTGTTCTTAGTTTCCGTCGGTACGATTCACGTTCTTTTCCAACGGAGATCGAAGTGTGAAATCGCGCCGGCAAGAGGCACAGACGGTCCAATGGTTGTTAAAATAAATATGATAAAATATTGAATCAACGATGGATATCGAAATTAAGCAGTAAACGAAAGGTTTGATGTTTCGATCTCTGTTCGCAGGCTTCGATATTTCACCTGTTACGACCACTCGTTAGCGGGAGACCTAACAATACAAAAAAAAGTAGCTACGCGATTGCACAAAAGATATAATACCAAGAGGGGGAATTAAATAAGTGAATTAGGATTAAAACGAACTAATGAAATTAAACGAAGAATTATCAAGTATATTATTCAAGTGAAACAGACACAAATAATTAAACTCGCTTCCATGATCGACCGTCTCATATCTCATATTCGGCGCACAGTCGAATCGTGTAATGATGAAGAAAAAAGGAAAAAGAAAAAAATAAGACAAAAAAAGAAAAAGAGGATATAAGGGATAATTTAACGAAACGATTATTATACGACGATGTAACTATCAAATATTATACACACTAGGTCTTTCTTGTCCCCCGTTGACGCAAATCGAATCGACGTTCTACTGATCTGTGATCATTGTCAGATTCTTGACGGTAAACCGGAAGGCCGATTAGTTAGACGATTTTGAATTCAATTCTTACGAACTATTCTCAGTCGTAATATCTTTGATAACTTAGGTTTACCTCACTGCAAAAGATTATATATATACATACAAATGTAAATCAAGAAAATGGAAAAGAATGGAAAAGAAGAAAGAAAGGAAATACCTAATTGTGAATAGCACTTAAGCTGTTGTGCGTATATTTTAAAATCAAAATAAATATTATTTAAAAGATATTACGCGTTGCTTCAGTGTCGTCAGTTTTGGAATCACGACGATATAAAAAGACCGCGACGCTGGAAGTCGGGTCTTGCCATTTTGAATTTGGAGGCTGTTGAAACGAGTCAGCTGCATGTTGCACAGTTGCCGCGAAAATTGAATTAAGTCGTGATTCTGGATGCTCGCGTTACACGCGTAATTTTCATTAATCCACGCGCCTGAGGTTTTTATCCCCATTTCTGCCACGCGAAAATTCTCTTGGAAACAAGGCTGGTCGTATTTAACTCGTGTCACGAGCGAATAGAGCTGTTAAAAGGAATTTCAACGGAACGCCAGTGCAGGCCGTTGTAATTTTAAATTCACTTGGACGCGGTCCGCTTCTTTAGGACGGGTCCTCGACAGTAAAACGACCTCATAAAACATCCAACTTTACGTCGTTTAGCCGAATACCAAAATATTCCTGGCATTTATGTTATTCTGCTCGCTAAACGTGGCCCTTGCAATACCACGAGCTTCCTCGGACTGGCTTCAAATTTACATTACGTTGCACGTTAAAGCATTTTGCTTGACACATTACTCTCTGGATTTACGTAAATTTTTATCATTTTTGTCCTTTCAGGGACCCTTTGCTCTTCGCAGGATTCAGAGACGTCAGATATTTAGCATTGGAGATTCTTAACTGAATCACATAACCTTAAACATCGGGAAATTAAAAAGAAAAATCCAGAAACGCTTGATATGATTAACCTCTTGCGTTGGCAATTGGTACGCGGACCATAACGAGTGACCGAACCGTATACAATAATTCGTCGCTTTCTTTTTATTTTGAACACGTCGGTATGACATCACTGGATAGAAGTTATTAAGAAGTAATAAACTTATCATTTGTTTTTCCTGGGTTACATTTAAATATACTTAAAACTGAGAAAATGTTATAATTTGGGACAAAGAATTCTCGACGTGCGTGGCACGTCATTCCAGCGTAAGAGGTTAAGCGATATTAGAGATTTTTAATTGAAATTTAATTGTAATCAAAGTGAATCACATAACCTTAAAAATCGGATTTCATTTCAAGGAACATTTCTCCCAGAAGACCTAGTTTCCTCGAGATTTTCAGTGTCATCGATGAACGAAAGTCGTGAAAGTGGAATCCACTTGTGGCGTCTTAATTAATTCGACTCTCGATTCCTTTGCTCCAGTTTGAATTCAACTTGATTGATCAGGTATGCATGCACGCGTTACTAGCAGACATTTATAGGGAAATTTGATCTTAGAGGGATAGGGATTTGCGCGTCAATCGCAAAATTGAACGATACGTATCGAGCTTGCGATGCAGTGGTCGAGGTTTCGATTGTATCGCGGCCGAGATCGAATTCATCATCGATTTCATTCTAATAACGGTTTAACGGTTTAACTTGCAAGACTGTGCGAGAAGACAGTGCTTCAGTTCGGCGAATCTCAGATTTCTCCGAATCAGACGATGATTTGGTTTGTAAATCAATTTGTAAATTGGATCGTTAACGTTAATACCTGTTATTCAATGTAATCACGTGGATTTACATAAGAGTGGATGACATTTCTTCAAAAGTTGATACAAGATGAGAGGACATCTTAGTTTGAAGTAATTAGTAGATAACGCGTGGTTTTAAGTATTTTACCCTTTTTATATTTTGTTTTATCACTCGTCTTAAGATAAATGTCATTTACATTTGTGTGATTTCACATAAATTAGGTGAATAACGGAGACGAGTAAATTTTTTATTTGTCCATTAATAAAATTTAAATTTAAATTAAATTAATATTTAAATTGTATTTATAGAACAATAATAGATCTTTACTGTGAAAATCTTCGTTCAATTTGGAAAAAATTCGTTGTAAGAAAATTCTCTCCCCACCACTCCTTTGCAGAATGGTACTGTAAATTCGTTATTTAATTTATTATTTATTATTCATTACATCAGTCCACGTTGAGTTGAAGGTGTATTTTTATTTTTCTAGAATGTTGGTGTTTTTTTATTTGGATCAGAGGAAAAAAGTAAGTAAATTGTCAACAATCCTGTTCTTCACTGGTGTCAAATAAAAATTTAAATATCACTTTATATTTATGCCGTATACGCGGCTGGTTTATGGCTGATTTGAATATTCGTTGGCGACAAAGACAGAAAATCTCCCCTAGTGCAGTACTCTAAACTCCTCTGAATCAACGAACGCGCATCCATTTGTCTAATTAGCATACGTTTAGACTAAAAGCAACTGAAAATTCGTTTTAGAGACGTGCTGTCTTCGTTGACAACGCCTCGAAAAGGTACACACACACATACATATATATATATATATATATATATGTTTCCATAACAGAATTTATTGTCGAATTGGTCTCATCAATATTTCTCATTCGAATCGAAAAGTGGACCAACTTTCTCTCGATCGCACATGTTAGTGAGTCGCCAATGAGTTTCTTCTCTCGTAACAAAATTCTCAAAAATGATACTGAGCAAATGGACAGTAAGAGAGAATGTTTCGAGGCCTCGTTCGTTTTCCATGGATCATTTATTTGGAGTTTCTCGGTGTCTTCGATTAATCTGATCCTTTTGTAGGATCAGAGCTTCGACTTGTGTATTTCACAATTAAGCAATGTTTGGTTTTCATGGTTGAGGAGCGATGCCCAGAGCCATTATCCTGCAGGGCTACCAACTGTTATTGCAGCAGCTTGCATAACATGCAATTCAAACACAACATACGCCAGTCACCAAGATGTTTTGTTAATGTTTCACGTGGTGTTCTGTTCCCTGCGTTTTGAATTATGCCATTAGACGTGCCATTGAGATTCCTAGAGGGCTCGTTGTTGACTTCCCCATCGTTTTAGAAAGTGGCTTTGAAACAGAGAAACTAGGACTTACGTTTCAATATATTATCACCATGGCAATAAATGTCTAGGCTGTATTTTCTTCAGTTCTGTTCTTATTAGAGGTAGAGAATGTTATTAGTTAAAGCAAAGCAAAGCAACTTAATGTTGCATTATTTTCAAAAAATAGAAATATTATTTTTATAGAAAAGTTTCCTTATATTCTGAATGCAATAAGGAAACTGAGGATCTTCTGGTAATTTAGAATCATAAAATGGAATGTACACTTGAATGATTTTTTTTTTGAAAAGCTTTTGTTATTCTTATATTTTTAATAGATGAATTTATTAAATGGCTATCTATGAATGTTTTTATCAAAATGATGAAATAACAAGGGACGAAGATCTTGACTAGTAGTTAATCCATATTTTTGATTATAAAATGCTTTATTGACTAGAAGTTTACGTTCTGCGTTTGAAATATATATATATATATATAAATTTTTTAACATACATCTAATATCAACAATAATTTTTTCACTTAGAATATTTAACTACATACGTTGTACAGGAAGTGAAACGTCTGTCATTCTATAGTCTATGCCAAAATATTGAACTACATAAGCACAAAATAGAGTAGCAAGTGCAGTAACATTTCTCGATACTGCATATATTATAATTTTCATGTTACGTTCTTACCTAAATCCAACCACTAATAAATATCAATGTATCTTGAACACGTTGCCCGATATAGAGAGAATCAACGTAGATTCCGTTTTGCTCAGGAACCATTTTTTTCTTTTTTGTTAGATCGGGATAAAACAATGCGAAAGGCCACAGACAATAAATCGAAAAGAATTGCAGAGGAAGCCTGCCGCTTGGATATCCGGGATTTCGCTGTCCCCGAATAAGGGAATTAAAGTTTATTGCGCGATTTTTGCGTTGGTATAATCCGCCACTTTATCTCGTCGCTGTGTTTTATTAAACGATAATTCCATACTCGATGCCCGCGTGGTTCCTCCTGTTCGATCTTCCTGTACAAATACAGTGAAACATTCGAACCAGAAAATTTGTTTGTTTCTCTCTCTGATGCATTTTATTTTCGTTCGATACTCCCTCGAAAAATTGTTTCCAGATGAAAAATAACGACAATATATTTCAGTAAGCATGTTGCACCAGTAAAGTATAAATTTCTCGTCAAATTAGAATAAAGGTAATTCTTCAGTATGTTTCACAACTGTAAAAGCAATGAAGTTTACGAAGTCATTTTAAATTCGAATATTTTTTCAGGTCAGGGGGAACCATCACCTTTTTTCTTTTTTTTCTTTTTTTGTTTGTTTGTTATGCGGACAATTAAACGGCTCGAAGCGAATTGAATTAATCTAGACAGCTTGGGAAAAAAAAGAACGATTCCAGTGCACGCGTTACAAAAAAAAAAAAAAAAAGAACAACCGTGCGTCGTATCTTTCTGTTCGCGTAAATATTTATAGCTGGCGTTTGCAGTTGCAGTCACGTAACGATCGCGATGCAAAATGCATAGGAAGTGTAGATATTAAATGAGGGGCAAAGTTGGTGGAATGGTACACAAGCCTCGTTCACGTAGGGATGTTCGGTTTCGACTTTGGGAAATGTTCAAATCCTATCACGATGATTACACTTTTCTAAACTGGGTGAAAAATAAAAATCGCCACGCAGTCGCTGTTTGATATTTTTCTAAAATTAGCGACGCATTACACGTTCAATTTTCCATCTCTCTGCCACTGTTGTCCCAGAGCAGGACATTAGGAGTAGATTAGGCTAACGACTTCTCATTTATTTCCATCAACAATTATAAACAAAACAACTATGGATCAGAGGATCAGAAAAATAATTCCAGAGAAAGATAAAAATAAAATACAAATTGTAAAATAACTAAAATAAATGATATTTCTATATTCATAGTTGTACAATTGTAAAAGATTAGCGATTAAAGATTTGAAACGACTTCATGTCTCAGGAACAGTCTTTTACAACTTGTACTTTGATTTTGTTATATATTTAATTGTATATATTTATTCGTACTAACATTGCAAACGCCAAAAAATAATTCCATTATGCAATGTGAAGTTTCAACAGCGTGAATTTGTGTTCTTTTTCTTTCACGTGTTGCGGTAAGACATTAATATTTACAGAATTCCATGCTCCGCGCACGTAATGTTATTTTGCCATGCCGCGAAGTTGCATTGCAAGCGAAGTCACAATAATTGTACTAAATATTAGTGAGACGCGAAACCTCCGTTCGGGGGTTTTCGAATATTTCACATACGAGTCCACCAATTAATTTTGCTTTAGGTAGCCGAAGAGATTTGCCAGCGAGATGATCGAATTTCAGCTTAAACGGGTATTTCAGCGCAAACTCGCGGAATGATAACCAGTGGTTAACCAACGCGGAACGATTAATAGGTACTAACTTACACTACAATAACTTTTCTATAAAATTTCATCTCTATAATCACGGACTATCTTTCAGAGACTAGAATAGTGAAGCGAATCAGATAGAAACGGTCTATCGATCAGCTTTGACGTGTGTGTTCCTTGATAAGCCAATTGTATCATTTTGTGCATCGCTGTCCAGTGATGAAAATCGTCAACCGTAGCTGCACAGTGCTCCCAGGTAATAGTAGTGTTCTCCAGCTAAAAAAATGTAAAAACGTAGAGATGTTTGCAAACGTCCTGGTAAATATTTTAAAACCACTTGCTATTAAACAGTAGTAGTTATTCATTGAACTTGTTAAGTATTGTACTGAATAAATTTTAAACACTATGATTATAATTGTTCAGTTATAATTAAATAGTGAAATATGATTATATCATGATCAACAAATTTCAAATATTATGACTATATTGAATACATTCTTAATTTAAGTTATGTTAATATTTGTGATGGATGTTATAGATAATTCACATGTCCGTCTATCAAGAAATTTAATTAGTTTATTTAATTTAGTTTTCATCTAACTATTTTGTGTCGTAAAAGAACAATTATGTTTTAGTAAAATTGTACAAGCTATTTGAATACATTTTGATGTATTCAAATAGCTTGTTTCAGACAAAAATTGGCTTATAGTATATTATAATGTACATGTATAGTATATAGCATAGTATGCTATTTGTATATCTTTGATTAATATATACTATATATTATATTATGTAGTTATATCATATACATATATACTATATTATGCATATAATAGTATAGTAGTGTATATTATATAATAATCATGTATTATATATATTATATTATATTATATTTGATAATATATACTATATATTGCGCATATCTTTGATTTACTATGAGCTACGACAGGATTTTTACAACCACGACGTTTGCAAATTGATGTTAAAATTCATTGTCGTTTCTTTTGTGCTGGAATTAATCTCAATAACTGGACACAATTATTACATGAAACTCACAACAAAGGCCCGCGTATCGATTTGAATAAACCATTCCGTAATTGCCACAGGCAGGCCGCCCCGATTGATACGGTTCAAAGCCGAGTACGTTCCCGCTGCAAATGTAAAATAAAAAACGCTAAAACGTGTGATTCGTCGTTTAAAAATTGTTAAAATAATTACATGTTATTAAAAAAGAAAGAATTACTATTATTAAAATTACAGGTAGTATAAAAATATAGAAGAATTATAGCAGAGAATTATAGAAAGTTGTAATTTTGGAAACGTGTAGAGAATTATAACTTGTAGAAATATAGTTGTAGAAAATTGTGGAAGATTATAGAGAATTATGGAGGCTTATAGAGAATTATGGGTTATAGTTGCACAGGCTTGTAAAGAACGTTCACTGTAATTATATGGATTTTTTACAATTATTGTGGGCTAGAAAACGTTGTTTAATATCGTTAAAATTACAGATAGTATAAAAATATAGAAGAATTATATAGTAGAAAATTATAGAAAATTATAGAAAATTATAATTTTGGAAACATATAAAGAATTATAAGTTATAGAAATATAGTTGTAGAAAATTATGAAAGATTATAATTATGGAGACTTATAGAGAATTATGGGTTATAGTTGCACAGGCTTGTAAAGAACTTTCACTATAACTATAATGGATTTTTTACTATTATTGTGGGCTATCTAGAAAACGTTATTTAAATTTTAGGGACGCCTAGAAAATTATAATTGTGGAGACTTTTAGGTTGTACAATAGTTGTAATGATTTGTAGAAAATTAATTATAGAGGCCCACAGAAAATTATAGAAAGTTATAATACAGGTGATTTTAAATTCCACAATTGTGGAGGAGGATTATAATTAATAAATCACAGTTGTAAACAATTATAAAGTATTATTAGTAGGTAATTGAAAGTAATCATTTTTTATAAATTATCAAAATAGGAGGCTTACACTTGCCAGAGCTTTATTCCTTTACGAAAAAATATCCATAATATCTTTCTTGTTGCTATTTTCATAAATTATTAACAATTTCGGTTTCTAAGCTTTATTCGAGAAAAAAGTTCTCCAAAAATTTCAGAGGACTAAAGAGAATTTGTTCGCGTGTCGATCGACGAAAATTCAAGCGTTTCAGGAATATGTATTGAGGGTTTTCTTCTTCTTTTTCTTTTTTTTCTCCTAAAAATTCAATCGAACCACGGATTCGTGAAAATTGCGGATTCGAGGAAGCCTTTTCATAGTGGGTAAAAAGGCGGCACCAGGCGTGTTCAATTTGTTGACAGTAATAAGCTGCCGATCGACAGGAAATACTCGAGAAGCAAGGAAATTTATGGTAGAATTCAATACGCGTCGCGTTTCGTTTGAAAGCCTTCGACTTCTCCACGAGGGGAGAATATCGAGGCCACCGATTTTCATCCCTCTTTCCAACTTCCTCGATTAAAAACTGACACAACGCGAGCACGATCCTTATCAATTTTTCTTCCTTTTCTCGTCAGATCAGAAATAAGCAAACGAACATTCCTCTGACAGATCCCGATAATTTTCCAACAAAATATTCGTCGTATTATATAGTTTCTATAATTGTCAACTTATCAATTTTATAATCTGGTCAATGAATGAAGATCATTCATCATTTTCATCATTCGTTTTTTTCGATAAAATCGAAGATCCTGAATGTAGTTGAACGATAAATTTGATCGATTATGAAAGTGTACATAATAATCTATACAATTCTCTCTTTAGTTTCGTCACACTGTTTCGATTTTTCACAATGCAAAGCTAATAACGTGTCCTTTAAAAATTCAAATGAAAAGTACGAAGCATTTGCTCGTCAATTAACTCTTACACGTTATTTTAATTCTATTGCTTTTATAATAAATATTCTCTACTGACAAATGATAAAACAATGAGAGGATAATAAAATGATGTGAATAATAATATATTAACAGTTGATAAATTTACGAAATTTTACAATTTTGCTAGAAGCGTGTAAAATCTCGAAAAGTGGCATTGTTTTAAATTAGATGATAAATTATTAATCTTCGAGTGACGAATCAACTTTCACACGTTACTTTAATTCTATTGCTTTCACAATAAATATTCTCTAGTGACAAATGATAAAACAATGTTAGGATAATAAAATGATGTGAACGATAATATATTAACAGTTGATAAATTTACGAAATTTTACAATTTCGCTAGAAGCGTGCAAAATCTCGAAAAGTGGCATTGTTTTAAGTTAGATGACAAATTATTAATCTTCGAGTGGAGTCGTTTATGACGACATTTCGATATTTAATATGAACAGATAAATTTGAACGCAAGTATAACAAATAAATCGTCGATATTTCAAACTGTCATAACAAAAAGTCAGAGAGAAAAAAAAAAAAAAAAAGAAAGGAAACAAATCGCACTGATATCATTTTAAAACGCGAGGCTCCACGTTGACAGTTACGAGTTCGTTTTTTTCTCAATTATGTTTCTACGTATTATGTAGGTGTTTTAAATCATTGTTAAAACTCGAACGTTCTCTAAAATAAACGAATTTTCTTCACGGGGGTGGTCAGATCCACGGTTTTCGAGATCGACACTCTCTCTTTCCAACGACCTCTCGACAAAACTTTCTGTGTATGATTTTTTTTTTCCTTTGATTTTATCGAAGATCGGACGTTTCGAATTTCTCGGATTCAACGATAACGTTCACAATAAAACGGTAAATTCTGTAAGGTCACCGCGAGCTGAAAATTTCGACAGGATTATTATGGAAAACGTCCGTTTTGAATCCGTGGACTCTCTGGATCTTTATTGTGTAATTTAAAATTTTTTAAATCACCGATTCCTCTGGAAAAAAAAAAAGAACAACATTGAAAGAACGTTCGTGTGTCTGGCGGCTCGGAACCGAACGTTTGATTCCACAGACGAAATATTTTGCTTCGTGTGTCGCCTTGTATATTTACATTGTTTTTCTGTACTTTCTTAAGCTTATATCCCGTGCCGTGAGAGAGCAATTATCGAACTCGTAATAGTCGTACGCTCGTCGTGTACGAGTTTAGTCTTCATTCGTTATTCGCGAGAGTGGCAACGATGTTCAGCAAGAAGTGTGATAGCAAGTGATGATCAGTGGACGAGGACAGGTAAAATGTTGCAACATTAGTACGTCGAGTCGCGAAATTATCCCTCCGTCGAAAGTGATAGCGTTAGGAAAAAATATTAACTATTAAAATATTAAATATTAAAAAAAAAAAAATGAAATTAAACGATTGTGAAGATTGTGAGAACTGAAATGCATCATTGTTTTCGAATTCTCGAAAGAACGGAAGTGGTTCTGTTCGAATATTCTGCCAAATTTTTGAGAAATTTATATATATATATATATATATATAGAGAGAATTGTAATGCATTATTATATATAGAGAAAGAATACAAAATTCACAGAGGATGGTGTTTATCATAACGCAGTTATTTTTTTATATCGTGATTAGGATGCGGATTTTGTGAGTTAAATTTTATGAACGTCACAGATAGAGCTTTTTCTATCTACTATATGTGCTATGTACATATTTTTTTAATATATATACATATATATATATATATTATAATGTGTAACATATTATATATCTACTATACATTATATTATATAATAGTATATAAATAAATATATTATTATACTATACATTATATTATATTATAGTATATAAATAAATATATTATTATACATATTTATCATAATATACTTTACCTTATAAATATTTTGTATAGTTTATTTCTGTATTAAAAATCTATATTATACACATTTTTGTATCTCCCAATTTTCTATAAACGAGCAAGGTCCGCATTCTAATTGTAACGTGCTTAAGTCCTATTTTTATGCAAATTTTTTATGTTTTCATCCAATAATCGTATGTTCAAATCCAACTGGAATTTAAGCAGCTTATAATTACATTGCAATACGCCTCGATTCCAATTGGTATTTAGAATAATAATAGAATAATATCAGAATAATATTTAGAATAATAATAGAATAATATTAGAATTATAATAGAATTTAATAGAATAATATTTAATAGAATAATAATAGAATAATATTTAGAATAATAATAGAATTTAAAAATCCATTGCTAACTAATTTTCGACGAAGGTTACTTTCTTTTTTTTGTAAAACTAGCCAATTTTCGTTCCTTTCTACGATGCAACGCTTGCTTCTGCCATCGGAATATATCGCTACGTAAAAAAATTGAAATATTGGGTTAGTTTTCGTTATTGGAGTGTCGAAATAAAAATTCCGAAATGGCCATCTTCTTCGAATAGAAGCGGAATGGTTCGTGAAATCTCATTAGCGTAGATCAAAAAAGAAAAAAAAAAAAAAAAAAAAAAAAAATGGTAAAAAATATTTGTGACGTTTCCAGCAAGAGCTAGTTTCGACAAAGATCATTTTTGTGATAGCGCCGCAAGTGAATTTTCATTCGACAATGCGCGACGATATATATAGATTGCTCTTTCATGAGATTACTTTCATCACGTTATACCTCTTGCTTTTACCACCAGTATATATACACTGTACATTGGATTAGAAGTGATTTCAGTGAAACTGAAAACTTCTCGATTGATTTCGACTGAAATGCTGTACGTGTGAGCGTTTCAAGCGATAATAATTGAAATATATACCTTTAGTATGCGGATATTGATTTTGATCTCCGATTAATATTTAAAGGATTAAACGTACGTTCGTTTGATAACATTTTCCTCGATACGTTACGTAATTATAAATTGTCAACTGCTCAAGGAGCGTTGCGAATTAACTGTTTGAAATAATAATCTCGATCGTTTCAGTTCGAACAGTTTCGAGTAATATCTTCTTGCCGACTGTAATTTTTCACTTGTCGAACAATAAATGGTATTTATTTAATAATTTGATATGAAAATATTTATTTAATATTAAATATAAAAATTTTATTTTGTTTGTTTCAAGAATAACTATATTGATTTCAGGATTGATAGCTAATTTTGAAATAGATTTAAAAAAAAATTATTGCTTTCTCTACTTTATCTCTGGCCAGTTTAAACTGCGAGAAGAAGTATTAAAAAGTCCTTCAATTGACGGTTTTTTAAAATATATTCGGTTATTTGCCTTCGATAGTGTTTTCAAACAAGAAATCAGACGTGGCTTTGACCTGCAAAACTAAACAATCTAGACAATCGTCGTATGTTATCTTATTTTTTTTTTTTTTTTTTTTTGGACATTGTTAAATATGTGTCCTGATCTTTCAAATATCGTGAACAATCATTTCACGTCTGACGGGTGAAATATTTATTTCAAATAATTATTTCGATATAATGATCTCTCAAACTGGCTATAACAATTGATAACTTCAAGTATATTTCAAAAATATTTGGAAAAATTCATTTCAATTTTATTTATATTGATATTTTTCATTTATAACATTATTTTAAAATTATTCATAATTTTATTTGTAAATAATAGTTTTATTCATAACAATTCAACGTGTGAATAGTATTGGACTTTAATTTATAAATAGTTTACATATATACATATATTGAAGTTATTTGAAATATTAATGTTGATCAATATTGATTCGATTAGAATTGTATTTTTTCGATATTGAACGTTACACGATTCGTGTAATTAAATAATTTTATATATACATATATATATATATACACATACTTACATGTATATATATATATACTTACATGCGCGTATGTCTATATATATATATATTACAATTATATTACAGTATACAATTGTACATAATATACGTAATATATAAACTGTATGTACATAATTTATGTGTGCAACATACATATTACATACAATTCAGAATTAATCATCAGTATCTCAAACGATATACTTCACTCAATAAAGAGGGATAAATAATTATTTCAAACGCCACTTTATACCCAGCATAGTGCTGTAACAGTGATCTTCAATTTGATCTTCAGTTTCCTCGAAATAATAATCTTTTCTTCCTTTCTTTTTTTTTTTTGAAAATTGACGCGACGAGTCGAGTCGAATGAAATCGAATGGTGAAAGGGTTAGGGTGGAAATGGGATTCTCACCTGGGCCCGTAGTTGCAGACGTAGTTCTTGGTGTAGCCTTGGGCAGGATCGTAATAGAAGGAGTAGCCGCAGCCCACGAGGTATGTGTCACTCCAGACGAGCTGCAAGTAATTTAAAACCTTCTTCATCCCTTTGCATACTCGAGATTTCTTGCCTAAGGTCCTCGGCGGAACCTCTTTCAGGCGAAATTTCTCGAATGCCACCGCCTTTGTGTATACCACTACATAGTACTTTCAATCTCATGGATTATTACTTACCGAATGCCGTAGCAAATGTCACACGCTTTAAAATGTTTTACACGTGTCTGTGTATCATATTAATTGACAGATAGTGAAATATATGCTAATGAACATTAAATTAAATAAGTAACAATATATTTAGTTACAGCGTTATATAGTAATATGTTAATACTATATTGATGTAATATTAATAGAGTACTATATAATATTAAATAAATTTTATAATATAACATTTGATTTTGTTTTTACTCGCATATTTCACTATCTGTCCATATACTATATTAATATAGTATTATATAGTAACATTACTCGTTATATTAGTACTAGTAAGCAATTATTATCGTTACATAATAGCAAGCAGTTATTACTCATTTAATTTAGTTTTTACTCACATATTTCACTATCTGTCCATATACTATATTAATATAATATCATATAGTACTATATTAATATAGCATTATATAGTAACACTACTCGTTATATTAGTATTAGTAAGCAATTATTATCGTTATATAATAGCAAGCAGTTATTACACTCATTTAATTTAGTTTTTACTCACATATTTCACTATCTGTCCATATACTGTATTAATATAGTATTATATAGTACTATATTAATATATAGCATTATATAGTAACATTACTCGTTATATTAGTACTAGTAAGCAATTATTATCGTTACATAATAGCAAGCAGGTATTACACTCATTTAATTTAGTTTTTACTCACATATTTCACTATCTGTCCATATACTATATTAATATAGTATTATATAGTAACATTACTCGTTATATTAGTATTAGTAAGCAGTTATTATCGTTACATAATAGCAAGCAATTATTTATCATTTATTAATAAATTAACGAATAATAAACAGTATAGCTACAAGTTTCCCCCTCATTTATATATTTATGAGAAAGACTGCATAAATTTACAGAATAATATACAAAAAAAACTGTGTGAAACATCGAAAAACTGTGATACTCGTGTTACGGTATTCAATAAGTTATTCCCCGAAAAACTGTGATACTCGTGTTACGGTATTCAATAAGTTATTCCCCGTCGTATGGTTGTATTTTTTAAATTATATTCATAGAAACGTACATTTGCTTCATTCGTGAGTTAAGTTGTACTATATCGTTCTTCCAATTTGTTCTTCACTGACGTCTCCATTTAGAAAAGACGTACTACAATGAACTTTCATCTATTATTTTTAAATGTTCCTCGGCGAGTTGCCGGATTGGTGAATTCTAAAATTGTAAAATCGGCGTTCTATCATCGCGATCGATCGGCAGACGATCTGGAAATATCTTGGAAATTCTCCTGCGTTTGACGTCAGTTAATTTCACTTTCGATAATCGTTCCTAGGGCAATGATTCTTAATCATTTCGAAAATCACGAAAGTGCACTTTTTGACTTTTCGCAAGAAAAATTTGCGAAATACCGAGATCACTAACGCTATGAATTTGATAGTAATAAGAATAAGTATGTTGGGTTAATTCAAACAGACGTGTTTGATGGATGATTTCACACACATATAACACTAGAGACAACATGATCAAAACGACCAATTTTTGTCTGAAATTTTATATTTCTCAATGTTGTATTTTATAATTCTATTATTTATGAAACACTGTATTTTTAGAGATTATGATCGATCGCGATGAATAGAACGCCTATTTTGCAATTTTAGAATTCACCAATCCGGCAACTCACCGAGGAACTTTTAAAAATAATAGGTGAAAGTTCATTGTAGCACGTCTTTTCTAAATGGAGACGTCAGTGAAGAACATATGATGTTTTGTAACATATATAAATGAAAGCTCGCGTGATTTATTGCTGAATGAAGCTCCTCTATCTTTTTTATTTTAACGCCTTTGATAATTTTCTTACAATACACATATAGATAAATTATTTTTAGCAATGATTTCAAACGAAAATTCGTGAAAAAATTATTTTAGTACAGTGTTCCTGAAATAATAAAGAAAGACACGGCTGTGTCTTTCATTGTAATTTCAGAAACATTGTGCTGAAATAATTTTTTCACGAAGGTTCTTAAAAGTCAATCTCAATTTTCGCGAATTAACGTTTAAAAAATTCTCAAAATGACCAATTTCGTAATTTTTTAGAGTAGCCCCGCTAAAATTTGCAATGTTACAATGATTTTCGTGAACTTTCGTATGAAAGTTTGCTCTATTGTATCACAAACTCTAATTTCTCTAACGTCTCGCGGTGCCAGTGTTAACGAAATCTCTCGCGTTTCTCAGTTTCTAAAAAGTCTCGAAGAAAAAAATCGGGGAAATCGGCGGAGGAAAGAAAAACCCGAGCCCAAGAATGTATTAAGAATCATTGGCCCTGCATTTGCTCGTCGATATCACGACGCAGTGATCTTTCGCGAACGAGTCGAAGAGATTGGAGCATGTATCTAGCAACTGAGAGGATTATCAACCTGTGTGTAATGGCCGGTGGTTTCACTGTAGCCAGCGCGATAGTGTTGCACCTCGTTGAACCAGCTGTAAATACTCTGACGCCAGTTTGGCCGTTCGTCGGAGGATCCCGCGGGCCTCGTCCATGTTCGAGCCATATTTTGTCCCACTGGGAACCTTCCTGTACATCGATCGTCGTTAAACATGATCGATAGTCTGTTTTGACGTAGAACGACAGAGGATCGTACTTCCAGCCGATTAACGGCTGATGCGTAGATCGGGGCTATTCGAGTCTCATGTATGAAACAAACTTTTTCAGTCAACGATGATGATGATAGGAGGTGAACGAAATTTTTATTGGATTCTAACGTCTCTCTGAATCAGTGTTCTGATGTAAATCAGATACGTTATATCGTTATGGGCTGTTTGCGGATGTTTTTGAATATTTATGAGAGTTATATGAAATATCTGAACGTTTTGTTTTAACACTGTAGTGAGAGTATGTAATGTGCTATCGTGGTGACATTGGCCAAGTTTACAGATGTATATAGAAATTACAAAATGTTTAATACAAGTGTATTTATGTAATGGAACTATATATGTGTCAAATTATAGCAAAGATATCACAAATTTAATATATAGTAATTTAATTCAATGTAATATATTTATATCTTAAATTTATTAAATTAATGCTGAGTGTGAGATTTATGTTTATATATAATAATAATATTACAAAATAATTTTATATATATTATTGTATTATTGTATATTTAGAAAATTTGGAGCTGGGAAATTGCAGTGAAATAT